ACTCAGTGGTAGAGTGTCTGCTTTGCATGCAGAAAGCCAGGCGTTCGATCCGCCTATCCTCCACGGATGTTTTTGTTTTATTTTGGTTTTGTTTCTGGATGCCTGTGCCTCCGTGCGGCCGCGGTTCGATTCCCGATGCGGCGGGCTTTGCTGTTTGATCCGCTGTTTGATCCGCTGTTTGCCTGTTCGCTTCCGGGAACGTGTGCTGTTTGCTACTGTTGTTTGTTTGTTTGATTTGTTGTTTGATTTGTTGTTTGATTTGTTGTTTGATTTGTTGTTTGATATCGCTGTTTGACTTGTTGTTTGATATCGCTGTTTGACTTGTTGTTTGATGGTGTTCTGCATGGCTGTCGCTTGGTCTCGGATCGCTCACTCGCTCGCTCGGTCTTGGTCCCATCCCCGTCATGTCCATTCCACATCCCCAACATGTCCATTCCACATCCCCAACATGTCGATTGCATATCCCCAACATGTCGATTGTATATCCCCCGATGTCGACGTTGTATCGATCGACCGTGCGCCGTCACCAGGACCACCGATCGGCCTCTCCTGCTCGCTCCCGCCAGCATCCCTCGCTGCACCGGCTCTCCCGTGCCGCCAGTCCAGACCACTTTGTCTGTTTTTGGCTGGACCCAAGTCCGATCCAACGCGAGGGCGGCGTCGCAGTTTGCGCTTCGGCCCTCGCCGTGGATATATGGATGTGCGCTTTTTGCGCTCTCGGTGCATTGCCCTCGGCCTCTCTCGACATCCTCGTGGGCCGACCATTCTCTCCCCTCTTTGCAGAGGTGTCCCTTTTTTTCATTTTTCATTTTTCATTTTCATTTCTCATTTCTCATTTCTCTCTCTCTCTTTCTCTCTTTGAGGTGCCTCTGTCGGTTCTGGTCTTTCTCAGGCGCTGTTCGATCCATCGGATATCTGTTCTTTCATCGTTTGGCACCTCTTCCTCCTTGCTCTCTGCACATCGCTTCGCAGTCGCCTGCTCCCTCCTTGCCCTCTGCTCGCCATGGCCACTATTGCAAAGCCTGCATCCCTCTCGATGCTTGGTTCTTTCCAGAGCGAGTTGGACTCCGATGCCCAGTATTCGGACGACGACAACGATATCCTCTACAACACCGGGACTGCCGTCGCTCATCGCCGGGAGGCCGACGAGCCCGACGCGGACTTGGCTCTCATCAACCGCAAGTTTTCGACCCAAGTCTCTCTCAGCGGCGCCGCCCCCATTGACCAGGTAAGCCGTGTTCCTCCTCAAAGCCGCTCTGCCCCCACATTTCCTGCGTCGCGACACCATACGATTTGATTCCATCGAAGCCTTGTATCGGGCAGAGACTTCTGGGTGTGTGTGCGAATCTGGGGCCGCCAGCGCCACCACATGCTTGAGCCTCTGCCGTCGTATCAACCATCGCATCATCCATCGCCTCGTTTATAACCATATATTCGGTGTATGGTTTTATCTCCCTACCGCCACGCCCAGGATGCTCTCGACATCAAGAGCATCGCTGCTGCTCTCAAATCTGAAGTCTCGGAATACAACATCCGGGCCGCTGCCGTCATTCGCAAGCACATGTGTCTCAAGGACGTCGACAAGGCCGCCAAGGACGTCATGTCCATCAACATCGCCCTCGAAACTATGAAGTCTTATCTCGTCGATCCCTCGTCTTCTTCGGATCTGCTGGTAGCGTCCGCTTGCTCGCTCCTCCCCCATCGTCCTCGATGCCCGCTTGCCCCGTCTTTTGCCGCTCCCACCCGATCGGGGTCCTCGTCCCTCTCGTTGCTGTCCGGCCCTCGCCGCTGGTCCACCTGATGCGTCGCGTTAACAACGACTGCGCCTTGTCGCTCTGGTTTTCTCGATGCCTTGGGCATCCCGGACATGCAGTACCAAACCGAATGGTAATTCCGGCCGTTCTGGCGCCGTCTGGCTGCTGCTGGTAGGATCCTGCTCTGTCCCATCGCATGCCCGATTGCCGCCCGCGTCGCTCCAATCGACTCCCCGGGTCTTGCCGGGGCACCCTGGCGTTTTGGACGCGGGCGGGTGACATCCAGGCCCGCAACGGATCGGTCGCTTGACATGACTTTGGGGGCTAATGCTGTCGGGTTTTTCTGCTTCAGTACCGCCGAGTCTGCTTTGCCATTTAACCTCGCCGCGGTTAGGCATCGGTTCCTACCACTATCGCCACCCAACGACTGATCGGGAATATACCTTCGCCTCGAAAGCAGCTGTGTCTGCCATTTGTGCTTACCGTTGCCATCACATGAATCTCCAGGGCCATCACCAACATGTGCGCTGGATCCACCGACACCACATCGGTGATCGTCAATGCCGGCTTCATCGAGCCGCTAGCCAGCCTCCTGACGCACGAAGATGGGGCCGTTCGAGTGCAGGTTTGTTGACCGATCGAGTGACGGCGATCTTAATCCCCACAGGGCGGACTCGGCCACATTCCAACCTCCCACATGCAATCCATGTGTGCCCTTCCGTAGCCATGGATCCTTTCTGACCACTTCCCGGTTGTCTGTTCCTCTATGAACTCTGCTGATGTCGATGATATCGCTCGTCACATTCTCGGCACATATACTTTGTTGTGGCGCTCTCCTTTCGGCGTCGCTGTCCACGACAATCGACTCGCGGCGCTTTCTTCCTCGTCTCCTCAGGCCGCGTGGGCTCTCGGAAACATCTGCGGTGATAACGAGCAGTTCCGTAACCTCGTTCTAGAAACAAAACGGGCACTCTACGACATCCTGCACATCTGGCACGGCGACTTTAAGCGACAGCAGGACCGCCCTCTGGCAATGGAGATTGCCGCCTGGGCCGCTTCAAACATGTTCCGCTACAAGGGGCTCGATTGGGATGCGGTGAGTGCGGCAGCGTGCGACGCGCTGGGTTGGTTTTCGCCCGTTGTCTTTACTCCCATGGCTGCTGACTCGGTGTAATCGATTTATTCGGGCATCTCAATCGTTGGCGGTGCGGTGCCACACGGCTCGCGGGTCTTGGGTAGGTATCGCAAATCCCTCAAGTTGTCTATCAAATCCTCTGCGAGACCCGAAATCCCCAGGTCCTGCTCGAGTGTGCGTGGGCGCTCCAGCGTATCTTCAAGGTCAAGCCCGAGGACTTTAAGCTTGTTGATGCCGAATTTTGCAAGACCCTCAACAACATCCTCGCGTAGGTTGCTGCCATGGTGTCGAGGCCAAAGGTGATAGGGTTGGCAAGCTGGCCACGGTTAGAGGATGTGTGCGGCCATAGTATCCGTCGCCTGTCCGCCTGCCCGCCTGTCCGCTGGCCTCACTCTATTCTGGTGCACCCAGACATTTGCTCGACGAGTACAAACACGCCGTCGACAGTGACTTGGAGCATGATGACTACGGCCAACTGATCGCCGCCTTCTTGAAGATCTTTGCAAACATCACATCCAAGGATGATCCGCTCGAGCTCCAGGTGCGATCGCGCGTGTCAGAGATGCTGAGGCGTGGCACTTGGATAGTGTTGCTGCACCTTGTCGAGGATAATGTCGTGGTATCGGCATGTCAACCGCTGCTGTGTCGGGCTGGCCGCCTCGTCGATGGACAGACTGTGTTCTCGTGCCTCTCGCACCACTCCATCTGATCGCCTCCCACTGCCCACGATCTCGATCCACTTCGTGACCATATGCTACTTGCAGATGGTTCTGGACTCGGGACTGCCGTATCTGCTGAGCGGATGCCTCAACATTGCCAACAACCGCATTATTCGCGGCGAAGCCCTTGTCGTGGTCGAAAACATCCTTGCCGGTACCCCTGCCCAGGTCGACGAGGTGATCCGGCGCCAGGAGGGCATGATCAAGTCTCTGCTGGTGATCATATCCGGTCTCGGCGTGCAGAAGGGATACAAATGCCAGCGCTTGGATGCCTTCTCGGCCATGCACAACATTGTCGTCAAGAAGAACTTTGATCACATCAAGTGCGTATGCCCGGTGTTTGTGCGGGATGCCCTGGCGGTGGGCGTGGCTGCTGCTGTCGGTCCGCGCTGGGATCTAGTGGTCTGAATCCGCTCCGGGCCGCCGGGAAACTGTGGTCATGATATGTCCCAGCCCAGCCCAGCCTAACCTCACCTAGCCTGACCTAGCCTGATCGTTTACTGACACCGATGCTGCTTCGATCTATCCAGCATTCTGGTTCAGCAGAGCGCGGTCGAGATGCTCTGTCTGTTCATGCAGGCCCTGATTTCGCCCACTCCGCCGAGCCACGACCCGATGGTGCTGATTCAAGTGATCGACACCATCTACACCATCATGCTCGTCGGCGATGCCCACTCCGAGCAGGGTGGCCGATCGTTCCTGACGGAGATCAGCGGCATGCGGAGCCACGACGCCTTCTTCATTTTCCAGGCAGCCCACTATGCCCTCCCGGCGCTTCTTGCTCGGGACCGCCACAAGCAGTCGGACGATACAAGCCAGCGCGATACCAAGGGCGTCAACGCCGAGAGCCTGAAGCGCAAGGCCCAGCGCCGCCTCGGGGCCCTGATGGAGCGGGTGTGTCGTAGCGAGTACGATGCCTGGTATACCAAGGAGCTCGGCCAGTGTGTGAACGAGTTTGGCGGGATGCAAGTGGATAATGATGCGGTATAAGCCAGGGGACTCGCCACCGGCAGACAAGAATGGAAATCAAGGGATATTGAGTGAAATCAAATGAGTGAAACGGCGGGGACATATCCCATGTTTGAGGTCGATGACCGCGCTGTTGTCCTGCTGGATCCCGAATACACATTGTGATCAGTCTCGCCCACCGTCAACGGCGACAATCCTCGGGGCTGCTGATTGTTACGAGTGTTGTCGCTGTTGTTATCGCTGTCGTTGTTGTTATCGTTGTCGTTGTTATTGTTGTTTTGTGGAGCTGTCATTTCGGACTGGCTGCTGCATGGACACACATCGGCCGTGCTATGCATTCGCCTATCGATCTGTCGACGTATCCGCTGCACAGCTCTTTACACCTCCGATGCGGTATACACATCGATTGTACATCTGTCGACACACCGACTGCACATTTGTCGACACACCGATTGCACACCGATTGCACACCGACTGCACATCGATTGACACATCCATCATCGGCCCATCCATTGCCGCTGACCCGTCGTCCCATCCCCCCCCCTCGCGTCGATCCGCTGACTCATGCCCGCCAGGCGCGATCGTTTGGTCTTCAAAAGACCTCTGTCTTCCCGCCGGCTGCTCCTGAACATCTTTCTCCATCTCGCAACCCAGGTCGTCCGCCGTCCGACCCCGCGCCCCCCAAGCCTGCCTCTCGGCCTCGTGTCCACCGGCTGTATTCGCACAGGCTTCCCCGCAATTTTTGGTCTCGTCTTTTTTTGGTTCAGTGTCGTGGGCTCGCCGCCGCGATATCGCCTCCGAACGGTCTCGTCCTGCCGCAGTTCGACACCTGGCGATTGCCATCAACAATCATCATCAGCGATTGCCATCGGACTTGTTCGACTCAACCCGCCTCACGGCTATTTATTATCCATTTGTCTGGACGCAAGCGGTACGTCGCCGCCCTCTGTCTTCGCAAGCCATTCGCCCTCCCATCGTTCCGTCTGTCTTCGTCTCCTTGTGCTTCTGTTCTCTCTCTCTCCTTCCTCCTCTCCCCTCCCTTCCCCTCCATATTCCTTGATTCGTTGTGCATGTCCCGATGCCGCCCCATTCCTGCTTCCAGGAGCCAGTCTTCACCCTGCTCAGAGGGGGACCCGTTCGGCGCTCGGGGTCTCCGTCTTGGTCGCGATTCAAGCAGGCCGGTCGACTGCAATCGGCTGCATGTCCGCCGACTTGCACTCTGCCGCTCCGTCGCCGCCATTCTCCCTGATTCGCCTTCTGCGGACAGAGCTGCCTTCTGCACGCGGGCCTGCTGATACGCCAGGTCGCCGCCCGACCATTAATCTTGCCCTTCAGTTTTCACCGCCCGCCTCGTCCTCTGGCTGGACTCCTTTGCCTGGCTGCTCCCTCTTTGCGGCTGGCGCTTGCCTGCCTGAGCTTTCGTGTTCCGCTCCTGCGACTCACCTCTCTGCCTAATCTCGTCCATCCGGCTTCCTGCCTGGGCCGTCCGTTCAACCTGCGCTCCTCTGTGGGGCTTGCTTGCTTGCTTGCCTGCCTGCCTGCCTCTGGGATTCTTTGGCTGTCTACCCATCGCTGGCCGGTCCACTCGCGCACACCGTCTCCGGCCCTCCTCCTTGGACTCGCCATCCTGCCTGACGCAGTCGATTGCCATCCGTGAACGTCACTCATGATATCCGGAGCAATGGATCCTCTTCCCTCCTCCTCGGGCGGCCACCACCACCACTACCAGTCCAACAGCGGGGCTTTCCCTGCTAGCTCGAAACTGTCTTCACGATCCGGTGGTCCCGCGGCCTCGGGGAAACCAGTGGGCTCGCACAAGCCTGGCGGTCTGGTATCGTCTGGTCACTATGGTAGGCCTCTTGCCGCTTGCCGCTTCCGTCAACTCGGGAGCTATCACGGGCTGCTGGATCTCTGCGGCATTCTCCGGCGTTATAATCCAGTGACATTATCCAGTGACATAATCCAGCGGTATAATCCAGCAGCATCGGCTTTCCCTTTTGTCCCTTGCTATTTGCTGGCCGCAACTTCAATATCTGCGACGATCGCCCCACCCCCCCATCCACATCTACTCTTCCTACAAAGCCTTTCGCATTTGATTATTTCGTTCCGTCGATGCACTTGGCATTTGTGCCCTTGCGCAGTGCTCGCGCTGGTCGGCTGTACATCGCGGATGCTAATTTCTCGTTGTTTCTCGATGATCATCCTCGACAGCTTCCCGCAACAACCACACCCCGGGCTCATCCAAGCCGAGGCTGCAGTCCGCCATGATGGTTGCCCCTCCACCCGTTGATTTACCCAGTCTCCGACGTGAAAATCGGGTCGAGGCCGTCCAGCTCAGTTTGGCGGCCTCGGCAGCCGCACATAGCACTGAATCGCCCAAGGAGCCGGTAAAGCCCGCTGCTCCCGATTCCGCTCCCCCAAGCGCCCCCAAAGCTAAAACCTGGGGCACGATCGCGTCTTCGTCTCCGAGCTCATCGGACCATCCAGCGGACTCCAAGTCAGCGCCTGATGTGAGTCTGTCGGACGGGATTCAGCCTTGGTTGTCGCTTGCATCCTTGCGGTGCTCGCCGATCATTTTCATCCTCCATGTGCTGATGCGATCGCCGTCTTTCCTTTCGTCCAGGCTTTGCACACAACGCAGGCGTCCTCTCGACCTCGAGGTAGATTGTGGTTCATTTCGCTTCTGCATCCAAACGTCTCGGTCCATGTTTGTTGATCATGTCCATATTCATCCTGCTAGATTCGGCCGACCCAGCTCGGGTCAAGAACGATCAGGAGTCAGTATCGGTCCTGTTGACTGCCTTGTACTGTGCTCGGCCCCCAATTCCCGTCGATTTGAAACGTTATCACTAACGCATCTCTGTGATGGTCGTTCTTGCTCGCCAGACTCACCGAAGAACACGAGCATCTGACCTGGGTCGACGACGAAGAGATGGATTTCACCAAGATGCCCGTTTTCGAGGACTCGATCGATGGTGGGTCGCGTCTCTCTGGGTCTGGTGGCGCACGGCTTGATCTCTATTGTGTGTCGCTTCTCTGACCTCCCAGCCTCTGTGGCGACTGCGGCCGTGTCTCTGTAGATGGCGCCAAACCGCTGTCTTCCCAGGAGCTTCCTCTCGCTTCCGACTCGGCCGCTTCTGGTCCAGCAGCTGCCGATTCGCACGAAAAAGGCGAGCCCCTCGAGCCAACTCGCGATCAGAGTGTCGACGGAGATCCGGGCGCACATGAAGATTCAGAGTCTCGGTGGCAGTCCGGTTCCTCAACTACGCATCGCCGGTACGACGACCGTGATTATCCCGATGACGGCTACCGCGACCGCAGTCGATACCGTGACTCCCACTGGACTCCGGCTTCTTCATCGTACCGATCGCAAGAGGACTACCGCTCCAGTTCGGGCAGCGGCTACAGAGAGCCTTCGTACGACCGACGAGACTGGAGACAAAACTCGTTTCGTCGGGGCTCAAGCTCGCGGTACGACGCCGACGACCGATATGACGGCCGACGGGGCCATGTGGATGCGTCATATGGCCACGATGATCGAGCGAGCGACCATCACCGTCCCTATCACAACGATCAACGTCCGCCGCACAATCGGGACGCCTCTTCCAGTCGGCCCGACGAGCCGGGCTCACACGACGCGCGAGATCACCACAATTACCACGATTCCCGGGAGCCCAGCGATCACCCCCGCGACCCCTACGACCGGCACGACCAGCCCGAGCGCAGAGACCGATACGAGCGACATGATCGCTACGATCGCCACGACCGATACGACCGCCACGACCGCTACGAGCGACTTGGTCGCTATGACCGGCCTCCCGATGACCAGTATGCCGCTCACGACCACCGACGCGAGCCGCGATACGGCCGTTCCGACTATGGCTATGCGAGGGGCTCTCGAGGTGATAGCGTCCGATCCCGACCGCCGGTCGACTCAGACTCCAGAAACGAAGGCACGGGCACGAGCGCCTGGCGCCGCGAGGACCGCGGGGCCCCGCCTAACCATTCTGCCGATAGCGAAGCAAAGTCGCCTCGCTCCGTGACGATATTGCGGAACGAACAGCACGTGTCGCCAAACGACGACGACGGCAGCTTGGCTGAGCCGCGGGCTGTTGTCGATGGCGCTCACCCCCCTGGCTCTCCAAGTGCCATGAATGAGGATGCATCGCATGCCGACAAGCCGAGCGGCCGTGCAGAGCTCTCCGCTTCGTCGTCCACGGCCTTCGGTGCGGCGTCTCGAAACAACCAAGCCCTCAAGATCGAAGACTTTGACTCTGTCCTTGGTCATCTGAAGCTGATGATCAAACGCGATGGCCCTTCGCCCCAGGCTGATGACGCTGACACGGCTGATTCCAAGAAGGAGCCCACAAGAGCCACAGGCAACCAGAGGCGTCCCAGTCCAGCGCTGGCCTTGGCTGAAGGCGCAGGCACACAATCCCCGGACTCTGACTCTCACCAAACGACGGACTCATCCGAGTTGCTCCCTGCACCCTCGCAAGAGACAGGCGGAGCCGAGCCTGTTCGCAACGCGGCCCCTGACACGGCTTTGACTGCGGTTGTCGGCGGCGATTCCGCACCGCAGGTGTCCTTAGGATCAGGGGACCATGCGATGGAGGTGGAAAGTGCCGTGTCTGGCCCTCGTCGCGGCCAGCCGTCGTCTGAGCAGAGCAAAGGCCGAGGGGGCTCAAGGACACGACGATCCGCCGCGCAGTCGGAGCGCAAGGAGCTGGACAACTGGCGAGACCGAGATACCAGCAAATCGTCGGCAGTCGCCAGCCCTGGAGGCTCTTCACGCAAGTCCAGCACGCCTGGTCGGCTCAACTCGGCCGGCTCCGACTCACAACGTCGGCGACAGGGTTCTGGCGGAACTTCCCGTTCTGGACGGTCAGAGTCAGAACGGCAGCCTCGATCGTCGGCCAGGTCTGGCGACGACGGCGTCAAGGCGGCTCGCGAACAGCACCCGACCGTCGACTCGGCGCCTGAGCGGACACGTACTGCGGCCAAGGACGTGCTTGGTCGAGAAAAGCAGTCGCAATCGCCTGTGCCGACCACCCCGACCAAAGAAGCCGAGCGGTCTGCACATTTGGGTTCTGCAAACTCTGGCCAGCTCCAGGCATCTCGCGACGAGAGCCACGACTCTGCTCTGAGTGGGGGCGCAATCGCTGCTCCTGGCCAGACAGCCAGCGCCGATGGGTCCTACTTGATCCCGATTCCCAGCACAGTCGACCGCAGCAAAAAGCTCACCTTCATCGTGTCCGACAGCATCGACGAGGCTGACTGCACCGACACAACGAGTGGTGTGGGCGACGCGCCCTCCGAACCTCCCGCGGCTTCAGTTTCATCGCAGCAGCGGCAGCTCTCACCCCCGCAGCAACCCCGGGTCCCAGGCCAGACTGACGGCACTTGGCCAGCCGCAAGTCGGCGTGCTGCACCGAGCTCGTCATCGCCCGCCTCATTCGACAACACAACCACCACATCGGCGCAACCTCCAATCAGTCGACTGTGGCCGACTGGGCCCGATTCCAGCGTCGCAGCCGAGAATGTATCCGCGCCTACCGACTCCCCAGATGGCTTCGACAACAGCATCGCCGATCTCGACGCCGACATTCCGGCGCACATCCTCGGCAACCTGGAGCGAGTCGTCAAAGACAACGAAATCCCTGCAATCGGCGTTGGCTCGGCACTGCTAAGCTCCCCCAACCCACCTTACGATGACATCAATCCAGCGACGACGCACTCCAACGGGCCATCCTCGTCGGGCCACCGGCGACTCGGGGCGCCACATGCTCACGACGCCCACGCACATTCCACCGAGAAAAAGCCTCTGCACGGCGGTGCACCTCGCCCTGGTAATGGCTACGGTGCTAGGATCGGCCCACACGGCATGGGCAGCTTGGGCCCGCATCCCGTTCCGCAGATGGCCATAGTGGGCATGCCTCCGATGGTCGTGTCCACCAAGCCACCGACAGTCACGGCCGGCTACGCCCCGCATTATGGAGACATGTACAACCCGCCGGGCATCCCTGGCGTACAGCCGCCGGGCTTCCCGCCACAATATGTGCTCATTCCCCACCAAATGTTCTCGCGGCCGCCTCCGCCTTATGGCCAGTGGATCGTTGGCCCTCCGCCGGTAGCGGCCATGGTCCCACAACCCCATCCTGGCTCGTCGGGATCGCCAGCAGCTCCAGGGCTCTCGGCAGTTGGCATGCACCCCGCGCACTCGTCCAAGCATCACGATGCGGGCTCGCACCATTTGCCGCACGAGACCAAAGGCGGCCGTTATCCGCATGCGGGCTTGTCGGCATCGCCCGCGACGCTGGCGCTTGCTTCTGTGCCCATCGTGCGGCCCGACCCTCAATTCGGAGCGCCCAAGATGGGGCCGCTTGGCATGAAGGGCACCGTAGCCACCTCCAGTGCTGTGCCGACGATCTACCCCGTGCACGAAGGGTATCCAGGTCCAGCCTTTTCGGCCTCGCCCTATCCGTTCTATCCGGCTTCGTTCAAGCATTACATGCCACCACCACCGCCGCCGATTGATCCGGCCGATCCGGCCTACCAGAGCTATCTTGCCCATGGCAACAACTTTGCACGGGGACACCAACGCAAGCACTCCAACTCGAGCCACAGCTCCAATCATGGCAGAGTTCCCCCCGGCCAGCATGGGCCCAAGTGGACTGGACACGCATCCTCGGAGGTGGGTCTTTCTTTGGTTCTGGTGATGGGTCCTGTGACGGCTTTGGTTGATGCTGCTACAATATGCTGCTGCCTATACTGAGGGTCTCGGTGCATTGGTGATGCTGCCTTCCAGGTCCGCGTCGAAACCTCGAGCAATATCGAGACAGCGTCTGCTCAGTCTGGTGCAAATGTCGACCACCCCGCCGCCTCCGATGTGGCGGCGTCGGACGCAAAAGCTCGTGGCGAGAGCGACCAGGTCTCGGGGCCTTCCCTGGCCTTGAGCGACCCGGGCTTGGCTGTCGCCGAAACCGCCAAGGGCGTAAAGTCGGGTCCGGCCGCTGTGGTCCAGTCTGATTCTGTCGTCTCGGCACAGCGGCCGACGAATCAGACTATCGCCGCTCGTCCCCATCAAGATAGATTCAAGGCGCCTCGATCCGGGCAGGGACATGGCCACGAGAATGGAGCATCCAAGACGACCGTGCAAGTCGGCCCGAGCAAGCTCCAGGTCCAGTACTCGTACAACTCGACACAGCCCAGCGCCAGCCTTGCGACTGAAGCATTGCCCGATGGGGCGGTTGACTCTAAGCTGCAACCCAAGAGCGAGGCAAGCAGCGCACCGGCGACGCAGAAGCACCGGACTGACGGCGAGACTCACCGCCCGGCCTCATCCCTCAGCCACCGCCGCGCCAGTGCTTCCAGCGATCGGACCCAGCTGATCTCGACGACGAGCAAGATCTCCAACATGACCGTGACACGATCGGTGGTTCCCCGGACAGCAACAGCAACAGCAACAGCAGCAGCGCCAGCGGCGACGACCACAACCACATCCGCTGCCGCGGAAAGTAGAGAAAGCAGCGCGGCGGTGGCTGTACCCGAGATCAGTGTGCCTGCCTCGGGAGACTCTGAAAAACCTCACCAGGACCTCACGGATGCACCTCGCGGCCTGCCACGGCGTCAGCACAGCGATGGGCAACAGAAGCACCGCAACTCGAGCCGGGGCCGCGGCTCATTCTCGCGGTCGTCATCTGGCCGAGGTCGAGGTGGCGGCGGTGGCAGCGGCAGTGTCCACCATGGCTACTCGCGCAGTCTCGACAGCAGCTCTGACATATCGGGATCTCGATCGAGTCGCCCGCCTCGAGACAAGAACTGATCATGGACCACCCATCCGTGAGAAACACGGGAGAGGACTCTGTCTCTCCTCTGGTGGCTCGCGCGAGCGTGGTCGCCGTGTGTGCTTGTATATGTGTTGTTGCCATTGCTTTCTTGTTGATGCTGTTTCCTCTCCCAGTCCTTCTCCTTCTTCCTTGCCCTTCTTTCCCACTCTTGACCGGTCTGTCTCACACACTTGGTTCATTTGTCTGATTCGGCTTGTCTGCGTCTGGCTTTTCAGTTTTCTTTTCCTTCATTTCTTCTGGGCTGCATGTGCTTCCTTGCCTTTGACTCTCCGCTGTTGACGAGAAAAGCATGAGAATATCAAACCGGTCTCCTCGCATACACAGAATTGGCTGGATGGATGCGTAGACGAGCGAGAGGAAGGCCGTCAGCGGACAAGGAGTGGGCCTGTGCAAGCTCACCACTTCTGCGTCGCTTCTGGCTCGCTTCTGGAATCAATGTGTACATACAAAACAAATGAAAGTGTTTATTGTGGATAGGGAAAGAATTTGGCCTCCGTCCTCAGAAACACATGGGGTGCTTCCTGCTCGTCGCACTGTGTTCTCCCTTCGCCTCCTTCTCCCTGTTCTTGCGCTGATCGGAGGATGTAGATGGGAAGAGGGGGGAAAGGCTTACTCCCTCTTGACCATAATCACGCGCGGCGGGCGGATCGTCTTGAGGGTGATCAAGCTCTTGGCTTCGAGGCACTCGGCCTCGGTGACGCCCGGGATGGGTCGCCAACTGTAGCGCTGGACGATCCGAGCCAGAGCACAGACGTACTCGACCTGGGCAAACTTTTGGCCGAGACAGGCGCGCGGACCGACGCTGAAGGGCACAAAGGCATTGCGGTTGTAGGGCTCGAGGAAGCGGTCGGGCCGGAAGCCGTCTGGGTCAGGCCCCCAGTACTTGGGGTTGCGGTGGAGCGTGGCTGCGTCAATGTACACCTCGGTGTCGGAGTCGATGGTGTAGTTGCCGAGCTGCTGGGTCGTGCGGGTGCATTTGGGGATCAGGGTGACGGGCGGGAACAGACGCAGGATTTCGTTCATGACGGCCTGTGTGTAGACGAGGCTCGAGTAGTCCTTGTATTCGGGATCGCGGCCCTGCAGAACGGTGGAGACTTCGGCAAACAGCTTGTCTTGGACCTCGGGGTGGTAAGCAGCGATGGCGAGCGTGAAGGTCAGGGCGTTGGCGGTGGTTTCGTGGCCCGCAAACATGAAGATGAAGGCGTTGCCGATCAGTTCCGTCTCGGTCAGCTTGCCAATGTCTTCGTCGGCGGCACAGACGAGGTTCTCGAGCAGGTTTGTCTTGGTCTGGCCCGAGGCCTTGGCATCCGCAATGAACTCTCTCATGTACACGACGAACTCTGTTGGCGGAGGCCGAGACACAGGGAAGGAGGGAGGAGGCGGCATGGCCGAATCAGCGGTGGTCAATCAAGCAAAGTCGATGCGCCCTAGCTATTTCCAGTTGCAGCATCTCTGGCTATTTCCAGTTGCAAGATATCATCTCTGTCGCCGCGCAGGTGGGCCACTCTGCTTGGCCTGTTTGCGGTCCAAGGTTGAATTGTTCGTCCTGCTCTCGATTCACCACCGCGCAGCCCTTTGACCTGGCATTGCCTGCACTCTCTGGGGAGGCGGCGCCTGGCAACATACCACTGAACCCGGTCTTGATGCTGGCAAGGCCCGTGAATGGAAGCGAATACGCCCAGTCGGGGAGGATCAGGTAGACAGGCAAGTGGTGCGACATGATCTCGAGCGATGCCTTGAGCGTTATCTTGTGGCCCTTGGGGATCGTGGCCTCGTCCTGGCTCCATTGGAGGGGCTTGCCATAGGCGGCCGCGGAGAACACCGAGAGCGCGAGGTTCATGGCATCGTCCGAGGCCACGATGGTGGTCTCGCGCTTGCCGTCGACGGTGGTCTGGGCGGCGGCGTCCCAGGCCCTGAACATCTCGTTGGTGACGTCGATGGTGGAGTTGTGCACGAGCATGTTGTTCTTTTCAGAAAACTGCGGGGCGCTGATCTTGCGGTGGCGTCTCCATATCTCTCCGCCGGTGGTGACGACATTGGGGCCTGTGGAAGCGAGGCGGCGTCAGAGACAGGGCCAGGACTCGGCTGTGGGCTGCGAGTGCCATGGTCGAACGGGCAGGCCGTGGATCGATGCAGTTCAACTCGCGCCGATTGGCCGATGTGATGAGAAGGTCGAGAGAGGGATGGGCGGACGGGCAGACGGAAGGACGGATGGCAGACAGGGAGACGCCGCTTGCACAACGCATACCAAAGATGTCGAGGAGGACGTAGATTTCCTATGGCAAAGTCGATGCGAATTGGAACAGCGGCGAGTCAGCTCCAGGAGACCAAGAAAAGGCTGGCACGAGTGCTTGGGTGTGGGTGAAACGGATCGGTGCCAGAGTGCTGTAACGGAGGTGGGTGGTGCTTGGCGAAGGGACTGGCCCATGCATCGATGTGGCGCTATGGGTTGACCGCGGTGCAGCAGGGCAGACGAACACTCGGCAAAGCTCACCGTAGGCTTGGGAAAGTCCTCGCGACGATCAAAGATGATCTTGGCGAGGTCAGGGTTGGCCACAAAGACATATTTCTTGCCGCCAAAGACACTGAAGATGAGATCGTCGGTTGCGCTGCGGGACGGGACGGACGTGTTCAAGAGCACCGCTGGTCAGACTGGGCTGGAGACAGCAGGACGGGCGACTCTGCTGTCCGAATGATGCCGCTGGTGCAATCCGACGGCGAGGGCGATGCGAACGGGCCGCTTACTATTCGCGGTACTGCTTGTAGCCCTTCTTCCACTCCCAGTTTTCGTGCCAGGTCATCCAATCGGTTGGGATTATCTGCGAAGGAAACGCAGCGTTGGCGGTGGAGCCAGACGGAGGTGGATTGGAGCGAAAACAGCATTGAATAGGGTGTTGGTGACAGGCGGCAGCGGCAGCCAATGCAGATGAACAGAGTGTTGGAGCGACAGAGCAGAGCGCTGACCACTCAATGGCGATATGGCAAGGGCGAGAAGATGTGACCATCCATGTCGTTCGAAAGAAGCAGATACAGGACGCAGACGGAGTGGGGTACCTGCTGCAAAGCGACAGGAGCCAGACAAGCACAACAGAACCCGACTGGCAAGTTCCGTCGGATATCAACCACATACCATGCTCAAGATACGGTTCAGAGGATTGATAAACTGGTGGGCGATCTTGTGGCTCGGGGAGATGCGTCGGACCCGCCGGAGAGTAGCGACGTGGTTGACAACGGAGCTCAAGACTCGGTAGGCGACGTATGCGGCGACGGCAGCACCGGCATAGCGATAGACAGCGAGGGAGCTCATTCGAATGAGGCGTGGACAGGGTCGATGAGGTGTGAACGGGGTGTGGACGCGATGAGATAGAGTGTGATAAAATTCGGTGCGGTGCAGTGCGATGCGGTGCGATGGAATGCGATGAGATGTGACGGGATGGACTCGATGTTATATTCGGCGGCTGCTGAGAAATGACGGAGGAAACGGGCGGCCGTGGAGTCCGTTGGAAGGCCATTGTGTGCCCGCGTGCAGTTTTACCGCGTTCCCATCAACTGCAACGGCGTGTTGGCGGAAGCGCAGGACGACGTTGAACGATGGTGTCAAGCGATGGTGTTACGCGATGGTGTTAAGCGATGGCATTTAACGATGACATTTAACGATGGTGGCCTGTCATCTCTGCCGATGTGCTATCACGCTATTGCAGAGCACATCGGTTTGCACCCATGGGCTCGCAGCCGACGAGCCGCCGACTTGCCGTCGTTTCGATTTACCGCACATCCCGTGACCCATCCGCACATCCGCGCATCCGGCCACAACTGCACTCGGACTGCCTGTGGAGCCAAGTTCCGCGCGCTTGGTCGGCCTTGAGGGCGGCAAATCGGCTGAACGGGAGTGCACAAGCCCGGTGGCGCGGCCATCTGGTTGCCACAACCGCTCCCGTATCCACCATCGCCGCCACCACCACCAACACCAGCAGCTCGTTGTGGATTGCACTCCATTCTGCGTATGTCACAAACGTTTTAATCACATCCGATCTGCTGTACTGATTCTGCCGGCCACCGCGGGCGCTCACATCGGCCGGTGGTTCTGGTGCGGGTGCAAGTGCTGCAGCATTTGCATCTCCTGGTGCACTTGCGGGTCCAGCATCGGCGCATCCCAGTACCCTGGCCAGTGCAGCGTTTGCGGATGATGCGGCGCTGGCCAGGGCAGCATGCCCGGGCCGTGAGGCATCTGCGGGGTCGGGTACATTTGCGGTCCCGGCGGCTGGTACGCAAGCGGGCTGTGGTGTTCTTGCCAACTCGGGTGTCCTTGCGGGCTCATCGCTTGAGGATTCTCGTGCCCTTGCGGCTGCATCTGTGCCTGTCGCAGCATCTCCAGGCTTTGCTGCATCTGCAGGTTCTGCTGTTCCAGCTGCTCCATCCGCGTCTTCATGGACGAAATGAGATCCGCCTGCTCCTTTGCATGCATCAGATGGTCGATCGCGGGCTGTGGGTATCCCACCGGCGGCACATTGACATTGCCATCCCTCGGGAGGTACCCAGGCCACACAGCGTGGTCCAGGTTGGACATATTCATCTGGGCTGCTACCGGCCAAGAGGCGGTCGCAGCGCTTTGCTGTGGCGTGCTTAGCATTTGTCCTGACAGGCTGGCCAGCGACCCGGACGATCGTGCAGCTGTGAGGCCCGGTGTGCGGTTGCCAAGAGACGCGAGCGCTTGGCCATGCGACAAGGAAGCCGACCGCGGGTTCGAGAGGCTGGACGAGAGGTCGATGATGGTCCATAGCGAGGGCCGATTCTCAGCCGACCTGGGGGGCTTTGCGCCAGATTGGGGTTGCTTGGCGCTCGATTGGGATGGCGGTGGTTTTTTGGATGCCTTGGTGTCGGTGTGCGCTTTCACCAGCTCCACAGCCGCGTCCGAGTCTTGGTACTCGTCGTCCTGCTCGTCGGCTTCTCTTTCGGAGGTGTGGCTGCTGCCATCTTCGTCGGAGGTGTCCTCGATCGACAGCCGCGACTGTTGGGCTGTAGACGGAGAAATGATGCGCGTTCGAAGGCCAGGTCTCCTCGACGTCCTCTCGATCAGTTCCAACGGCGGCGCTGGCTTTGGTCTCGGCATTGCTGGATGAGATGGGTGGTGTTTGTCCGGCAACTGAGGCAGCTCCATCAACGGCTCCGTCAACGGCTCCATCAACGGCTCCGTCAACGGCTCCATCAACGGCTCCGTCAACGGCTCCGTCAACGGCTCCATCAACGGCTCTATCGGCGGCTCTATCAGCGGCTCCAGCAAGTCCGGTGCGTCTTGCGGTTGATGGGTGTATACCGAGGCCGGCTGTGATTCACTCTGGCTGGGCCTTCCTCGACCCCGCCCTCGTCCTCGCCCTGGCGGTCGACCACGGCCGCGGCCGCGGCCACGCCCTCGCTTTGCGGATTCGTCGAGCCTTGGTCGTCCTCGTCCTCGCTTCACCGAATCTTCAAGCCTTGGCCGTCCCCGTCCCCGCTTCATCGACTCTTCAAGCCTTGGCCGCCCACGCCCCCGTTTGACCGGCTTCTCGGGCTGTGATGGGCCTGGCTGCCCGGACTCTGGCTCTTGGTCGCTGAGCCCTTGTAGATGTTGACTGGCACGCTTTTGCGCAAGCCGTTGCGATCCTGGCCGTTCTGGAATGATAATGTCAATCATCGTCTCGATTTTGATGCACTCACGAGATGGAGATCGGCGCAGAGGTGACTTGCTACCTGGGTGGCCGGCTGCCATGGAGTCGTCCCGGCAAGTCCGAGGCTCATCCTGATCACCTTCGGGATGATCACTTTCGGCGCGATTGTTGTTCTGGGAGTTGCTGTCATCGTGGTCGCTTTCGTCGAAAAATACGCCCTCGGACTCGACCTCAGACATCTCGGAATCGCTATCTTGAAGCTCGAGCTCATCGGATTCGGCCTCCTCGGATTCGGTTTCCTCAGCCTCGGTTTCCTCAGACTCGCTCTCGTAATCAGACGGCTTCCGCCGCTTCCTCTTCATCGCCGATTGTGCCTTTGCCCCTGTTTGTTTGGGGTTGGGTTTTCTTGGCTGTGGCTTGCGTCGCTGCTGCGTCCGTGAGCCGAGCTTCTCCCCGCCCGACAAAGCTTCGGCCGAGGGCTCCATTCCAGGCAACGTAGGTGCTTGATCCACAGCGGGGACGACAGTCTCGTCTAAGAGGGGTATCGGTAGCTGTGTAAGTTGGAAGGGATCCACGAGGTTGAAGGCGGCATAGGGATTCGACTCGAACTCAAGCTTGTTCGGATCCATGTCTGCATTGCTTGCGGCGCTCACTGCAGTTGGCACATTCGGTGGGCTAGGGACACTCGGCACACTCGGTGGGTTCGGCATGCTGGGTACAGCTGTGACTTTGGATGTGCCGAGAGTTTGTTGGGCCTGAGTATCTGTGCCCTCGCGATGAAAGCCGTGGTCCAGGTTGCGTGGGCGCTTTCGGTTCTCGGCGAACATGGCCGACGATCGAGCTGCATTGATCAGAGCCGATTCATCATTATGAGCACTGTTCGTCGGATAGCTGGTGTCGCTGTCATCGCCATGCTCTCGTTCGGCCACTGTTGCGTCTGGAGCTGCTTGCATTGCAGATGGCGCAGGCTCGTTGGTATCGTGAATGAAGCGCGTTCTCACTTCGGTCATTGTATCCATCAACTCCTCGTCGGTGGGGGCGGCATCGGTGGGGATGGCGAAATAGTTCGGCGGAGTGCTGCCTGCAACGGTCAGGCTCGCTGAAGCCGGCCAAGCTTGCTGGGGGTGCCGGCCAACGTCGCTCGCGTATTCTACTTGCATATGAGCTTCCGGCGAGATACCTTCGGCGGCTTTGGGTACCACATCGCGAGTTGGAGGCAGGGCCAAGAATGCCATAACGTCAAAGCTCGAGGCCTCGTCAGCTGCTCGCCCTATGGATGGCGGGGTAGTTGGATGTGTCGATACGGTCCTAGCAGTTACTTCCGCCGAGACAGCATTGGGTGTTACTTCTGCCGATACGGCATCGGCTCTTGCTTCTGCGGACACGGCATCGGCTCTTGCTTCTGCGGACACGGCATCGTGGCCCAACACCTGTTCAAATGGCGCTCGTGATCCGGCTTGAGATGGCTGTTTTTCCAAGGGCACCTCTGGTTTTGTCCTGAAGATCATTGCAAAGAGATTTGAACTCCGCAGCAACTCTGGCTCGGCAGGCTCTATCGGTGCGGATGCAGATGTAGGTGCAGATGGCGCTGGTAATGACTGTGCTGGGAGCGGTGACGTTGGTGTTGGCAAAGGTGATGCTGGAGTTGATGACAGTGCTGGTGGGATCTTGGACTCTATTGGCGCGGCGGTATCGATTGGATTGGCTCGGTCATGTGTCTCGCCAGGCGCATCTACGTCAGCAAGCTCACTGTGTTGAGCCGAGATTTGTCCTCCAGCAACAACTTTCGTGGCATCGATTGATCTGCAGTTCGGCAATTCTCTCGCACCGGCCACCTTGGTGCCGACGGAGCCATCGGCTTCGGGTCGTTTGAGTGAGCCGTGTCCATCGATGCCGACATCGACGTCAACGGGATCTGGATCGGGATCGGAGTTGGAATCGGAATCGGAATCGGAATCGGAATCGGAATCGGAATTGGAATCGCGATCAGGATCAGCGTGCTCGCCTTCCAAGATATCATCAAACTCAAAGTCCATGGTCGAAGCTGGATCGCCGAGGGACTCCACGTCGACACTGGCATCTTGGTCCGTGATGCCAAACAGGGCAGGCTGGGTGAACGGATGGAGCTCTCTGTCCATGCCCAACTGACTGAGCAGAGTCTGCCGATTGGGAGAAGGGGTTTGATTCTTGTGAGACTCGGTTTCGCTGGAGAGCGACGTGGCCGGGCTGGCTGGGCTGGCTGGGCTGGCTGGGCTGACGGGTATAGACGGATCCAGATCGGAGATTGGTATATGTGCTTCAGCATCGCTATGATGCACTTTGACGCTCGCCTTCGGGGCCTGTGATATAGCCGGATTCAGCATCAGATTCGGAGCTGCAGAGCTCGACGCGACCATGCGGCACGGGCCCGGCTGCTCAGCGAGCACGCTGCTGCTTTCGATATCCTTGGCGGCTAGCTTCGGCGCCAAGTGAGTGGACGCAAAGTCTGCCGGTCCAGCCGACTCGACCAAAGGATTGGCATCGGGGTGAACGACAGAGGGCTCCTCTGGCGTCGTCAAAGTATCCATCAAGTCTCTGGGGCTCCCTACCGCAGGGGTATATGACTCATCGAAGGCTTTGGCACTTGAGCAGGCGTTGGTCTGCTGCCGATCAGGAGGCAGAGGCGGCTCGCGCAGAGCATCAAAGGCATTCTGCGACGCCGGCTCGGCCACCGACGCCACCGGTTTGACCAGCAGCGAATCTTGCTTCTGCACGAGTGGTGGATCTGGCGGGCATGTCACCAGCATTACCATATCCACATCCATCCCGTGCCGCTCTTGGTGGACTCGGGGTCGGCTCAGTTTGGGAGCGAGGCCATCGACGGATAGTTCCTGCGCTTGTGGCTCGGTAAAGATGAGATCCACCTCCATCTTCACGATATTTGATGGCTCAGCTGTTTCGGCTGTTTCGGCTGCTTGGGATGGCTGGTGCGCTGCTGGCTCGCCAACAATTTTGGACGGAGCTTGGTTGATTGCGGCGGCAGTCTCCGCGGGCAACTTAGAATCGGCCCGGGTGGCATGTAAAGTGGCGCCCTGAGGTTCATCCACAGAGAGCGATGGAGCATATTCGGCCATAGGCTCGTCATAGTCCCCAGGGCTGCTCTCATGCACCTGCTCGCCGGCTTCGGTATCGCTGTAGCGACCGGTTCTTTCGGCGTGTATGCTGGTTGGCGTGCCCGGCACAATCACCTCTGACTTGACGATCCCATCCGCCGCCAAGGAGATGTGATCTCGGGCCGTCCCGGATGCAGACGAAAGTGGCGAAAAGACGGTCTGAAGCCGCGGAGGGTCCGAAGGCAGTGAAGTCGAAGCGCCAGTACTGCCCTTTGGTAGCCCATTTCGTTGCTGCTGCTGTTTCTTCTGACTGTGGGTATCAGCTGTAGCAGACGTGTCACTGCCATTGCCGCTGCCGCTGCCATTGCCGTTGCCATTGCTACTGCTACTGCTACTGCTGCTGCCGAGGAACAGCTGGTCCAAGATCTCTTTTGAGTCCTGAGGCTTGTTTTGCGGCTTGTTCTGCGACTCTCCGTTCCGGTCCGCGGACAAGTGAGACTGAGAGGTCTGTTGCCGACGGGAGCCACCGGCGATGTATCTTTGGAAAAAGTTCATAAAGATCGATGACTCGATATCTGTCACGCGACCAACCGGCTGTGCCTTGGCTGGCGTGGACAGCTTTCGCGCGGACTCAGGCCCGGGTTTAGACACTACCGGCGCTCTTGCTCCTTGATTCGGTTCGCCATGGCCTGTTGCCTTGATTTCGATCTCGGGTTGATCTCGGGCCAGACGGGTCTTGGGTCCCAAAGTGCTGACATCAGACGCGGTCTCGTGTTGTGGGTTGATTTGCGACAGCTCGGTCGCACAGGCAGAGGATTTGCCGAGCGAAACATCTCCAGGAGGTTTGCTTTGGGAGGCTGTGTCTTCAAGCTCGGACTCGCTTTCAGCCAGTTGAACTGGACTCGCCTGAGAGCTTGTCGCCACCGAGCCGTCTGTTTCGTTGCGAACAATCGATTCGACGGACGCGCCACGCTTCGGACCCTCCGGCGAAGAAGGATAGTCGTCCATGACATGGTCAAAGCTGTTGTCAGCCGCCCCTGAATCGCTCCACGCGACATCTTGATGATCATGGACGAAGGGCTCGCGCGGAGTCGCTGTTTTCGACTCGGTAATCTCGCTTTCATCGCTCTCCGAACTATGGTCGATGGGACTGGTCTCGAGTCGAGTTGGTGGCAATATCTTGATGGAGAACCGAGGGATTGGTTGCTGTTTCACGCTGCCCTGGCTGTTGTGGTGGCTGGTATCGTGGCTGGTATCGTGGCTGGTATCGTGGCTGGTATCGTGGCTGGTATCGTGGCTGGTATCGTGGCTGGTATCGTGGCTGGTATCGTGGATGTGTCTAACGCCAAGCTCCTCGTCGCGTGACATGGCATCGCTGTCAGCGCTGCCGTCACTGTCATCATCGTCGGCGCTGTTCGATTCCGAGCTGGAGCTGGAGCTGCTTGAAACGGAGCGCGTGTCGTCCGCTCCGCCAGCGAAATGCGCCATGAGAGAGGTTGGCCCATATCCTCGGGGCCGCAGAGGTGTGGGTGTTGCTGGTGGCGCCTTTGGTACATTTACTATGGTCGGCGATATGGTTGGGTAAATAGGATGGGACGCCGCCATGGAGATATAACCGACCATGGATTGCGGTCGGGATGGCGACGAGACTGATGGCGAGACTGATGGCGAGACTGATGGTGAGACTGATGGCAAAGTCAAGGTGGCGCCGGGGCGGTGACGGTCTGGGATCGTTGCCGACGGCGATGTGGCGATCGCGGTTGGGTGTTGAATTGGCGAAGCACTGGGGAATGTTTTTCGAGCTGCCTGTGGCTTCCGCTGAGGCGTGCTCATTGATGGCCCCCCACAAGCAGCAAGCGAGGCCGACATATATCCAGGGGACTGCTTTGTCGAGGAGTTCGGGGTTCGAGAAGTTCGCGAGCTGGCTTTTGAGGCCGATTCGCCGCTGCGACTGCCAGCCCTTGAAGCTTGGCCATGAGCGCTTGGGCTACCGGAGGCGAAGTGTGGCTGCGGAGATGGGCTTGGGAGCGAGCTCGAAGGCGTTGATGTGCTGGAGGAACTCCGGCGGCCTCTGCCGCGTTGGGGAGTTGTCCTTTGCTTGCCAGGGGAGCTTTTGGGACGCTGATACTGCTCCTCCAAGAACTCTGCGGTTCTTGTCGGATACCCAGCGGACTGAGCCCAATTGTTGTATCTGTGAGTTGATCGTTTTGGTGGTTGAGTGCGCCGCCGGTGGAGGGGAGCGTAGCAGAGAGTAGCAGAGAGTAGCAGAGAGTAGCAGAGAGTAGCAGAGAGTAGACACAATGGACACGGTCGCATTTGGCAGTGGGATCGTTCGGCGGCGGGAAGCACAGGCAGGATGTTAGTTCAACGCCATCAGCAGCAGTTCCAACAACTGCGTCTCGGTCGCTCGCACCGCTTGCCTGGTTGGCAAGGGACATAAGGGCAACAACAAGTAATTATAGCGTGCTTCCAGCGAGGTGGGTGTGCGAACCTGTGCAGCAGGCTTCCGCGAAAGTTTGGGGATCTGCCCGTGACCATGATCTCCATGGCCATCGCCTCTAGGGCTGCCATCTCGGTGGATCTGGATAGGAGGAGCGGGACAGCTGGGTTAGGTTGGACTGGCCGCGTGGGGCGATCGTGTTCCGAAAGACAGCTGGCCGAGGGAGACGATTTGGAAGGGCCAGAGTCTGTGGCCAGCCCACATGGCAGACTCGATAGCATCATCTCTCGGTTCACCCCGCTGGGCGACCTCCTTCAATATTGCAGGATATTCAGACACAACTCCTAGGGGATGGGATATCCTTATGCACGAAGAGACAGGAGGCGGCGGCGGCGGCGGCGTACCTGAGTTTGCTCATGGTGTGGCTTTTGGGGTTGGCTGAAGCCAGGGAGTTATGCCGTGTTATCGAGCGAGATGGCTGGCTGCGCTTGCTCTCCAAGGGACAGCAGGTTGGTGTGCTTTGAGGGGAGCAGGCGGATGTGGAGTTTGGCAGCCGCGGATATGCCGATGCTGGAGCGGGAGTGCCGGTGTCAAGCAGAGGTGGTGATGGTTGGCAATGTGGAAGCCCCGCGATGGGCTGCGATGACGGCGGCGAAAGGGCAAGGAGACACGGGCGATTGCATCCGCATTCGATCCGCGATCCAGCCGGGCTCGGCGGGCCAAGTGGGTGCAGCCACAGCGACCCGATCCTGTGCCCGCATCGATCCAGGCCGCTGCTCTCGCATCAACCCCCCCCCGTCGCCGATCTGCACGATGGCCCGTATGTACCGGGCGAGATTGAGACCGATAATGAGACCGATAATGAGACCGATGTGATCAGTCCTGGTCCTGGTCCTGATGATGCCCCCAATCGTGCTCGTGCTAATGTCCCCGATCTTGCTTCGACAACATCATGCGATTCTGCCTCTGATCCCGTCTCCAAAACTGGCTCCTGCGACCAGATCATCTCGCCAGCATCTACGGCACCGAAAAGGACAAGGTCAACTGCTCCTTCTACTTCAAGATCGGCGCCTGTCGCCATGGCGATCGATGCTCGCGCAAGCACGTCAAGCCCACCTTTTCGCAGACGGTCTTGCTTGCCAACGTCTACCACAACCCCTCGCATGATCCCAACTGCCACATGACCGAGGAGGAGCTCCAAGAGCACTTTGATCTGTTCTTTGAAGATATGTTTGTGGAGCTGGCCAAGTACGGCGAAGTGGAAGAAATGAATGTTTGCGACAACGTTGGCGATCACTTGGTCGGAAGTATGTGTCGATATGGTTCTGATGCTCTGCCTGCTCCTGTGTTTCGTGGACGATGGAGGATGGTCGCCAGCGGGCCCAACTGATCTGCTAGAGGCAGGGGACTCTTGCTCCTCGTTCAAGCTTTAGACAGACTCGCTGACCCTGTTGCGCTATTGCTGGCTCCAGATGTGTATATTCGCTATGCACTCGAAGAAGACGCCCAGAATGCGGTGGATGCCTTAAACCAGCGCTTTTATGCAGGTGAGCATTGTGTCTTGCTTGCCGAGCAGCTATCCGGCCATATACAGCACGGAGATCGCATCGCCGATCTGCGCTGCAGCCTTGTCCGCCAATCCCGACGAGCCTTTTCTTCAAGACCTGGGTCTCCATGCATCCCCGGCCGGCCGACCCGACTGTGGCCCGTGTGTCGGCTGATGGACTTGATCGCTTCCGCATGTGCTTACCGCCATCGATCTGCCTCCAGGTCGACCGCTATACACGGAGCTATCGCCGGTGACGGATTTCCGAGAGGCGTGCTGCCGACAGTACGAGAACAGCGAATGCCAACGAGGCGGCTTCTGCAACTTTATGCATTTGAAGAATCCCAGTCGAAAGTTGAGACGAGATCTGCTCGAGTCGCAGAAGATTTCGATGAAGATGCTCGGCAAGGAGAGCCATGGCGAATATGGCGATCAACGAAGAAGCCGCTCGGGCTCGGGCTCACGATCTCGCTCCAGAGATCGCCGACGCTCTCGATCTCGCGAGCGACGCAGGAGCCGGCGCGACGATCCCTACGATGAGCTTGATTATTCGCGACGAGGCGGCCGAGAGCGAGAGCGAGAATACCGCTGAGCAGCCTGCCCAAGCCGAGCACTGTCTGGGCACAACGACATTGCATTTCTGGCCGCACCGGCTCGAGATTTTTGCAGTGCTTCAAAATGAAATGGGACATTCTGCTTTTGCTGTCGATTGTTACTGCCCTTGACAGAGAATACATACACCCGACATCCACAGCGATCATTCGCATCTTGGAAGCAGGACTGGGCTATACGGCCGGGTGGTTCGTTCGCCCGAGTATCTTGACGCCGATTGCCCCACATCCACGACGAAGCGTCCGTGTGATCTGATACACTGCACTATGTTCGTATTGTGGAGTATTGTCAGGCACTCTTTCATAATCGGTGATGGGTGAACTGGCATTATCCAGGGGGAAATGGGACACCTGCCCACAACCCATTCGTCAGCGTAGTATGTGATGTGCTGGTGTCAAGCAAAGCTATAAGAAATAGAACAGATCACTTTGGCAGTCTCCGAATGAAGACCACCGGTCGCTCTCCGGTCTCCACAATCGACCTGCACCCTGGTCTCGGAGTGCCAGCGGTGAATGGTGCTCTTGGACACACTGAAGATGGTGGCGACCTTGCGCAAGCTGCGGAAATCGAGGGTGCTGTGTTTGGCCATGAATGCGATGAGTGGGTGGGTGTATTCAGGTCATAGAAAAACACTGTCATGGCTCAAAACGGGGGTGTCCCATTTCATTTTGGAATCGCTGTAACGGGGCAGGACCATTCGCTACGCATCGGACTTTCGCATCGCCAGATGACTTCCCACGGCTGATTGAGCGAGCGATGCACTTCTGGGCGTGAATCATGTCAACTCCGCCATTTTCACGATCATATCCCTGGCTTGAACCTCTCGGCGATTTTTGAACAGGGTCACTTCCCCAACCAGCCCGCAAAGACGGGCTCCTGCTCTCGGGTATAAATGCCACACCTTCGTCCTGCTGCTTTCTTCCCTCATCTCGCCTTGATCTGATCATCGCGCTATTGTACGATAAAGAAACGTCTCTGCTCTGACCAGTACCACTGGCAGACATCCAGCATCCTCTGCCCCCATGCCTCCGAAGCGTAAGGGTACCGGTGATGGCCAGCCTCGGCCACCCAGGCCCAAGAAAGCCAAGTCACAGTCGGAGCCTGTCTCTGGTTCGTATTCTGATCCCACGCATGTTTGTTCGTCTGTTGCTCCGTCGCTCACCACCACTGCTTCTGCAGATCCAATGGATGTCGATCCCACCGAGCCTGGTCCATCTACTTCCTCGAGTACCGGCAAGCGATGTCCCAAGTGTGATGGTACCGATCACGAACGCTGCAACACTAGCAAGTGTCCCGAATACCGGCCCCTCAAGAGCTCCGTCGTCCCACTCGTGGATGGAAGGTCATCCGCCCCTCAGTTCAGCTGCTTCAAGCAGACGATGGATGGCTGTTGTCTCAATCCCGCTCTCCGCGACAAGATCCAGGCCACCGTCGCAGCCATGACCCAGATCCAGTTCGAGGCATCCAGGCTGCTCAACCTGCACATCCTCCGGTGCATCGAGCAGGATCTTCCCGTCCCCGTCATCTCCAAGTCCACCCCTGCTTTCGTTCGCCAGTGCTTCAAGATCGTCCAGGCCGATGCCCTCTCGACGGCCAGGGATACCAAGAAATACAACGAGCATCTGGTCGCTTCCTTTCGCGACTACCAGACCACTCGGCACGCAGACCTGCCTCCGGCCCCTCGTCTGCCTGATGGTGCTCACAGTCAGCTTCTCACCTGGCTGTCAATGCCTATGCCACCAACTGCACCACCCACCTCGACCTGGCCTACTGGCGACTCCTTCGCCGCTTCTGCGCTGCCGTCTTCCCAGCCAACAAGCATAAGCACGAAGCCATCGAGGCCTGTCTCGAGCTCTTCGAGAAACCAGGGCAGACTCCACCCAAGGCCGATCTCGAGTTCCTCTATCCAGACTTTGGCCACGTCCTGGACGAGTTTCGGTACAGCAACGACCAGGACCGCTTCCGGGCCCTCCATCGCCTCTCACACCATGTGAGAATCCTCGCCCGGGACAAGATGGTCGACAATGTCCACAAGTGGATCGACTGTGACATGCCCGCCCTCCGAGTCACCGAGCTGCAGCGCCAGGCCAAGCTGGACGAGCTCACTGCCAGAGGCATTCCCTCCGACGACAAGAGGTTCACCACGGCCAAGTCTGAGCTCGGCACCACCAAGTCCAAGATCAACCAGCTGGCCGCCAGGATCAACTGGGCACTCAAGCAGCTCGCCGTCGACACTCCTCCGGCCGTGTGCACGATGGTTCCTCTGTGCACCACCAAGGCCAAGTATGTCAAGATCGACACGGTCACTCTCTGGCAACTCCTTGACACCGATCATCGTCTTGGACTCACCTGGGACAAGCTCAAGGAAGAAGGTGAGGACGGTGTCAACAACCAGGATCGTCTCTGGCGCAGTTGCTTCAAGCTGCGTAGTTCCCTCTTCCAAGAGCGGGACGTGAACAAGAAGCTGTTCAACTACGAGATCAGCACCGATGGCATTGGATGCACCATCGGCCTCGTCAAGTTTGTGCCTCGAACCGATCACACCGAGACCATCGAGCCTCCTCCGACTGCCGAGCAGCGCATCCAGGCCATCGGCAACCCAGACCCCAACCGCACCACTTGGATTGGAATCGACCCAGGCGTCGGCTCCATCTTCACGGCGGTCATCCAAGCACCGGGCCACCAAGACGAGGTGGTCTCGTTCTCCAATGGCCACTACCAGCAAATGTGTGGCCACAGGTCCAACACCAAGTGGCACAATATCATGAAGTATCGACTCAGCATCGAGACCTGGATGTCGACCACCCCCTCGCCCAAGGTGTCGTCCTCGGAGGCTTTCAAGGTCCATCTCACCCATGTCCTGCGACCGGAGCTGCGAGTGCAGCTCGACTTCCACCTTGGCAAGAAGGCCCGTCACCATCGATTCACGGGCCACAAGAGACGCCAAGTGGCCGTCGACAGGATGTGCAAGGCCGTCCTGAAGCACGCCCCGATACGGACCGATGTGGTGATCGCCTTTGGCAATGCGTCATGGCGACAAGGCAAGGGCTATGCATCCAGCCCTCGGAGGCAGCGGTTTGCTCGGTACTTTGAGCAGTTCGAGCACCACCGACGCCGTCCCAATCACCATCATGGAAGCGTCAAGGTGGCCTCGACGAACGAGTTCAACACCTCGCAAGTGTGCTCCAAGTGCCTGGAGCCAGTTCGGTTGGAAGGACTCGATGCGCCCAGCGTTGCGAATTCCCACTTTGTCAGGAGCTGCAAGAATCCCAGCTGCCGGACAGTGTGGAATCGCGACGTCAATGCGGCGCGCAACATGATCACAGTGTGCAGGTCGATTGTGGAGATCGGAGAGCGACCGGCGGTCTTCACTCGGAGGCTGCCAAAGTGATCTGTTTTATTTCTTGTGGCTTTGCTTGACGCAAGCACAGCACATACTACATGTTCATGGAAACGGCTGTGGTGTCCCGTTTGCTATGTGTGTAGTGTACATTGCTGACTAACGACTGTGGCGGTGCATGAAACAACGACTCCAGCCAGTAAACCATCGGATCGAGCCAGACTTGTGTGTGTGTTCAATGGCCAGGGTCTGGCCTGCCAGTGTTTGGCTTGCTTCTCCACTGCCCTCTCGTTCTCCTGTCCAACTCCATCACCCTGTTTCCTTCCCTCCTGTCTCCGTCAACATGGCCAGCATGAGCGAGCCTGCTTCAAACACGGCATCATCTCCCACTCAGCAATCACAAGCTGAAGCCAGAACAACATCGTCGATGCCCGATATCGCCGACCTCTCGCTCAAACACAACCCAGACATCTTCACCATCATCTGCTGCAACGACAGCTTCCAGCTGGCACTCGACCACGACACAATCAAGACCCTCCTCCGAGCGTGCAGAAAAACCCGGCCTCTCCTGGGCTCCAAGCTGGTTCATTTCAACAAATGGTGTCAGAATGCAGGACTGTGTCATCCAGACGGACAGCTGCGGATCGGCCTCACACCAAGTGACCAAATCGCCCTCTCGCTGCACTGCGAGGATCAAGCCACAGCCGACCGATCCTGGCTCGTTACCTTGGCAGAGCAGGGCAATGCTGTGGCCTCCTATCTCCTGGCTCGAATGTTGCAATCTGAGATCGACTCAGAAGCTGAAGATGATGGGCTTGAGGAAAATACCAAGCAACACCACATATTTCACTATCTGAAGAATGCGGCTGAAGCTGATCATGTCATGGCCCAGTTCCACCTGGCCGAGTGTTATCACAGCGGACTCGGGGTCGACCGAGACCACACCAAGGCCATCGGGCTCTATCGCAGTCTTGCTGAACGTGGAATCACTCAGGCCCAAGTTGCGTTCGGAGGTTGCTATGAAAATGGTGAAGGTGTCGAACAAGACTACGACTCAGCTATCGAATGGTATTCCAAGGCCGCAGACCAAGGCAGCGACGATGGCCGTCTCCACATCGTGTTCCTCCGAGGATGGTTCTCGTTCATCGGCCATGGTGTCGCACAGAGCGATGTCGACGCCTTCAACTACTGGCATGAAATCAGCACCCAATCCACCGACCCAGTCATCAAGCCCATTGCCACGCACATGGTTGGGTGGATGCACTATCTCGGCCGGGGCACCGTGCGAGACGAGCAGAAGGGTGTCAAAATCATCCGTGAGAACGAATCGAAAGTGTTCTGGCTCGGGGAAAATCATAGTCTAGCAGAAGACTATAACAGCATTGAGTCCAAATCACCCGCAGCCCGCAAGTTCTTCGAGTTGTGCCAGATGGGATCGGACCGTGACTGGCTCTGCAGACATCTCATGGCCGTTTGTCTGTTCCATGGATTCGGAACCACTCCGGACCGGGTGAAGGCAGCGGGCATCTTTGAGCAACTCGCCCACGAAGGTCACAGCGACAGCCAGTTCTGGATCGGAATTTGCTACTTCTGTGGCCGGGGAGTATCGACAGACTACACGAAGGCCTTCCGGTGGTTCAGCGAGTCCGCCGACCGAGGGAATTCGTATGGACAATGGAGGGTTGGAGTGTGCTACTACTGGGGACAAGGAGTCACTCAAGACTATACCTTAGCGGCCGAGTGGTATCGCAAGTCGGCCGAGCAGGTCAATCGATACGGACAATATTATCTCGGCCACTGCTACGAAAAAGGCCTAGGAGTCCCCGAGAACATCGACACCGCCGTCTTCTGGTACCGCAAGTCCGCCGACCAGGGTTTGTTCGATGCAATCGATCAGCTCGATTGGCTCATTCTGATAGAGAAGGTGAACGAAGTGGACTAAGCCTGTATGCGTGAAGGAAATACGTTATGGTGGACAGAACAAGAATATCCTCGAACAAGGAGCAGTTCTGGGACGGGGTGAGCATTGGCATTACAGCGTTACCAAAATGAAATAGGGCACCCCCGTTTTGGGCCATGACAGTGTGTTTTCTGTGACCTGAATACACCCACCCGCTCATTGCATTCATGGCCAAGCACAGCACCATCTTGATATCGAGAAACCACACTTTGTCCGGAGCTGTGCAAGCTGCCATACGCTGTGGGATCGAGACATCAATGCAGCCAGGAATATGATCTCGGTATGCCAGTCGATCATCGCCACAGGAGATCGACCGAGTGTATTCAAGACTGTGCTCCCGAAACCAACCAAAACCACTCGATTGCCAACCAGAACGGGAAACAATCTCACGGCTTGCTCACTGGGGCCTACGGAAGTTCGGCAGGCTGCAGGCCGCTGAAGCCAGGAAGGAAGTGTCCCGTTTCTTTCTGGACCGACTGTATAGCAGGATGTCACACCTCGGCGCGCGGATAATGGCATGACGGGTATATTCCCGCCAGAGTTGGTTCATGACACTTTCGCCATGGTATGTATAAATAACGGCGAGAGCTCCTCCCGACTACCACTTCCAAACAACCAATTCGTATCGCTGAGCACGAAAGCTGAGCAGCCAAGCGATACCAATCCCAGCCACCACGATATCCAAATGTCAACTTGCAAAGTGGTTCCGGTGAATCGGCAATGGCCGAGTGGTGTTGAATCTGATATTCGGTACATCCAATATACAGACCACGACCATGGATTGATCCACTTGGTGTGTGGGTTATCACTGTAGTGTCGAATGGATTGCCTATAGAACCGGGCATCTCCCCCACGACCTGTTGTCCTCCTTATATCCGCCCATCCCCCACTTCTCTCGAAATTACGGCAAGCAACCGAGTACCCGCTGGGTTTATACTACAGGAGCAGCCCGAGCGTTGTCTTGAGCATCGACATGATACAATCACTTCGAGCCACCATGTCCGGGTGCCCTGTTTCACTTTCGGAGGCGCTTCGCCAACACAGGTGGCTCGTCTGCTCATGGGGGCAACAGAAGCAACAGAAGCAACAGAAGCAACAGAAGCAACAGAAGCAACAGAAGCAACAGAAGCCGATCACCAATCAGTTGCATGTATCTTGCTTCCAGACAGACGCACGATTGCCGAGGCCGCATCTGCTGTCGATCCTCAACGTGGGTGCCGCCTTGGCTGATTCGCTGCTGCAGCCTTCTCGGTCCCGGAAATTTTGCGCCAGCCCAGGGCCTAAGAGGAGTCTTGCTGCAATCTCTGCGTTCGCTGGGCGATGCTTGGCTTCCCGCTTGTGCTCTCCTTCCTGTCGGCTCGTCTCTCACTTCGGATCGAAAGGCAGTCGCTTTCTCCCAGACCGATTCTCACGCGGCTCTACCTACTCGGCTTGGAGGTGCAGTGTATCGCTCGTTTGGGTTGCTTCGTTGTGAGTCCCTGCTCGCTCCGTCGGGAGTCCCTACTTGCTTCGTTGAATTGGCTCGTTTGTTCTGAAACAACCAGCTCTCGTCCTCGCAGTCGACGATCGAGACAGCCAAAGCCCATTATCCCCGGATTTTGGCAGCATTCGCTCACTCTACAGTATTAAACCTCATTCTCGCGCAATAGAGCCATGCTCCAAGAGGTGCAGGAGACAGCGGCCATCTCCCGAAACCGCATTTACCACACACCTCCGGTCAAGGGATTACCAAAGGCACCCAAAACCCCCAAAACTCCCAAGACCCCAAAGACTCCAAAGAACGAGCAGCCGGCCCAGAGACACCCGCGTCGCAAACTCCACGGGCGGCCCGAAATGTATGCGCCGTATCTTCCGAAATCGCATGACCAGCAAGCCGACGAGGACGGCGGTGCCGAAGCCGGCCACGATCCCGTAGATGTTGGGCAGAGCGACGACGTTGACGAGAAAAGCGCTGAGCTCTCCAAGCTATCGCCGCTCTTGCATGACCAGTTCAAGCACAAGCCCGTCCACCCACATCTCCACGGGCCCTCGACCCTGACCAAACTCCCTGGCGGCAACATTGTCGCCGACGCTCTCACTGCCGTTGCTGCCGCCGCTGCCGTCTCGACCCGCGACATCAGCCGCCTCCGTGCCGACCACCTGGGCATGAGTGAAGAGCAACACATCCGAGAGTTCTTTTCGTCTTCGACGGCAATCGCGGCCGGTAGAAGCTTCCCACGAAACTTTGTGATGGAGCAGATTGAAAAGCTACGAAACATCTTGCGAGACCGGGAGATCGAGACGCTCAAGATGAGACATGAGAACATTCTGCTGAAGCAGGTATGGTCCTTGCAGAGCTGTGTCCGGAACAGGGCTCTATGGTTCAGGAGCCGCTCCCACAGCTGCGAGAGCAAAGTCTAGTGGTGGTGGTGGGAGCGGTGCTATATTCGGTTACACTCGAAGACGACACACGGTGGGTATCTGGATACTAAATCTCGCTCGCGGTCTGCTCACTGTCAGATCGAGCGAAGGCACCAGAAGGAGCTCGAAATGATCGAGGTGCAGAATCAAGATGCTCCACGCATCATCAAGGGGCTCCGCGATGAGATCTTGGCGCTCAAGGTGATTACACATCCGCCAAAATTCAGCTTCGTCATGGCGGACGGAGGCTGCAATGATACGCATGCTTTGGGACTCACCATGGCTCGAGCGGCTCACTAAGAAAGCAAAACGACCACGCGCCATTTACATGTTCTGTGTTCTGGATCCATGGGTGCGCAATCAATATATTTCAAAGGCCAAGATCAAGACTTACTTCTACCAGCTATCTGCAGATTCTCGACACATTCGGCATCTCAACGACGAGCTGGTCCGACTCCGCGAAGTTAACGAGCGTCTGGAGCAGCTTGTCGCCGAAAACGAGCTCCAGACACGAGAGGAGCTCGACAGCCTCGTGAAGGAAACTCGCAAGAAGATCGAGGAGATGGAGAAGAAGGCTGCGGTGGGGTCGCCTGCTCTGTTTGCAGCCTAACGAGTTGCGCAATCACACCGATATAAGTGCCCACGCATTCTCATGGAATGATATATTCATCTGCTCACAGGAGGCTGTGCGTAAATCGGAGCTCGTGGAGAAGAACATCAGTGCCGAGAACAGGATACTGCGTGGCCGCATCAACAACATCCAGCACGAGAACTCGTTTCTCAAGGACAAAACAATGTCATTGGAGGACGAGATCAAGGTGAGCCGAACCGCTGTCTAGGCAATGTTGACCGCTCTTCTTCAAAGCCTTCCTGACGCACGCTGTTTGTGATTATTCAGGACAAGGACAAGCAGATTGCTTCGCTCTCGATATACAGACACAACGCAGTGCACCGCAAGAACGATTTCGTCTGCAAAGCCTGTCAGCGACGAGAGAAGGAGGAAATTGAGATCAAGCGCAAGGCCGACATCTTGGGTAATGAACGCTGCGTGGCCCCATGCCAGTGTATATGTCTACCACTGAACCTGATACTATGCTGCTGCTGCTGCTGCGCATAGTGATGTGCTATTGCTGAGTGTGCTGGCTTAATGGCGTGCTGATGCATTCTCCATTGCAGCCAAGATTCCTCCGCTGCAATCTCCCATAGTGACTGTGACGGGCTCGGACTCTGTAGATGTGTTGATTCATGTCCCGCATCCCGGAGACGGAGTCAGCACGGAGTACTCGTCGCTGACGCTGTATGTCTGGAACGACGATCACGAGGAAGAGACCTCACCCTGCACCAACAGCCCCTTTATCGCAGACATCAATCGTAGCTCAACGATCGGCGAGGAAACACTTCCAGCCGAGGCGGGCGCGGAGGAGCTTCCAGGGACCGAGGCCTCCAATCTGGTTGAGCGGTCATCGCATCACCTGCATTCCAAGAAATATGTCAAGCGCTCGTGCCTGATTCGCAAGATCCCGATCGACATTGATGCGTTGTGGACCCCTCGGCCGCCAGAGGGACACCACCGAAAGTCATCGATATCAAGCCAGATCACGCAAAGCCGCAAGACGAGCATGGCTAGTCATAGCAAGGTTGACATCAGTGCCTCTCTTGCCGACACCCGTTGCAACGGACAGAGCCGCTCGCCGCTGAGTGGGTCGCTGTCGAGCACCATGGTCAACACACACCAAGGATCTCATGGTTCGCAAGTCATCGAGATCCCGGAGATTGTCCACGTAGATTCGCTCGTCAGCGGCTTTCACTATCGCTTCCAACTCATGGCATCGCACCAAGATGTCGATGGGCACATTGTTGAATCAGAGTCGCTTCTTGTCGGTAGGTTGCGCGAGGGCACGCGGCGGGGCTCTTGCCTCAATGTCATTTCCATTCTTCTCATTGGCTTTACATTTGCTTTCTATGCCAGACACTCTGCCAGAAGCACCGGTCATCTCGCATGCTGTTGTCGAGCAATCGCCTCTGGCCATCCGCGTTTATTTCAGCCCTCCCCCCAAACACCATGGCTCCGCACCCCTGAGATATCTGCTGTACCACTCGAACGATCCCAGTCGACCCGAGCGCTATCTGGTGTCAGAGCTCGAGATCATGGATCCTTTGCGGAAGCAGCAGGCAGGGAGCTTCTATCACATCCACCAAAAGCACCCGCAGAGCCCGCAGGAAGCCAACAAGCCCGTCTACCACTTTGTCTACTCCGAGCCTCAGATCGGTGTCGGGCACTATTTCCAGGTCTCGGCTGTCAACAAGATGGGCGAGAGTGTCCAAAGCGAATTTACCGAGGAAATCGTCGTGGATTCACCCCCGGCCATACCTGGCATTCCAAAGATAAAGAAAATCAACGACAGGGTCGTCAAGGTCGTCAGTAAAATCACAAAGGGCAGCGGCAGCGACATAGAGGGCTACATCATTGTATGGTGGAAGGTCAAATCGATTGTGGTTCACCAGACCGTAGAAGAGCCCGATCTTTCGGCTTCTGCTGCAGTCGGGGGTGCCGCTGAAGGCGATCGCTCGGGTCTCAGCCACCGATCGACACGACTCACACAGACCGAGGAAACGTTCGATCGACAGGAAGTGCTGGTCACGGCCAGCAACAGCGAAGTCGATACCGACGGAGAGTGCGGCGTTATTCGCGAGTCGGCGCCAAAGTCGCAAGGAACATTTGTATTTGTTCTCGAGGGACTGTGTCTTGATGCCACCTACCGTCTGCAAGTCGTTGCGGTCAACAATATCGGCGCGACCGAGAGCGAGCCAAGTCGGATGTTCAACCTGGGTACGTGTTGTCGCCTTCTTCGCAGATGGATACGCCTGCGTCTCAGTCGCTCGGGTGTATTAACTCCATTCACAGTTGCGCATGCGTACTGACATGGATATTCAATCTTGCGCTGTGCTCGCGGCCACGATCGCATGATGCAGCCCACATGATATCGACGCCGAGCCCCCTTTCCTACACGATCACAAGCCCGTCTTCGGTCGTTTTCCACTTTCCACATCACGCCGGTGATCAAGCTGAGGGCACACAGCCAGGCAAAAAGAGTCTGTCTTCGCTCCTTGGCTCAACACCAAGTCTGTCCAAATCATCGATCAGTGGGTCTGGGAAGGCGGCAGCGATATCGACATCGACATCGACAGCGCCGGCATCTTCAGCGATATCTGCAGCTCAGATGGCCCAGAGGATCCTCGGCACACGTATCGTGTACTCTCACCATCCGGATCTGCCCTACTATGATCTGCAGTGTGTGGGCTTGGTCGACTGGAGCCACGAGGGAGACTATGAGGTCCAGAATCTTGAGGAAGGTATGGTTATTGTGCTGTGCTGTGAGGCGATATTTATACAGCGCTCGTCTGCTGCACAAGCTGTTGCAAAGCAAATCGGTGGGATGTGCGCTGACATGACGTTCCCTGCACCAATCTCCATGTGTGTGCCGGTCCGGATGCTCTCGACGACCTTAGGTGAAACGCTCTATTTTTCAACGTGCTACATTGGTGAAGAGGAAGGTGAGTGGCTGATGACGATTCATCGCGCTGCCATTTTCTCAATGCAACGACGACACGCTGCTTACTGACCTCACCGGCTTTCCACAACTCTAACCACACACCTCGACAGAGAGCCTTCTGTCCCCGCCGCTCTTTATTCCCTTGGCTTCGGCTATCCCTCTTCCGCGCTCACCCGAGATGCACCGGGCGACGATCGTCGATACGTCCGGAATGGAACACTACCACGAGCTTGCTCAAAGCTCGTCACAGTCAGCCGACGATGGTACTATGTTCCGCATGAGCGTGACTGACGAACGTAGCATTATGGGTCGGATCGCCAAGGGCCCTGGATCGATGAACCAGCTCTATCGGTCTTCATCCAAGGGCTCGAACCTGACACTCAATCAAAAGGTCGAGAACATGCATCAGGGGATGCCAGCGTACTACGACGAGTCTCTCGGGATGGTTTACCCGCCCATGTCGTCAGCTACAAACGCCATGCATCTCCCGCCTCGACGCGCAGCTGCAGACGATGCCAGCGTGACGAGCGCTGGAAGCCTGGGAAACTGGAGTACGACCAGTGTATCTGCTGCTGGCCAAGGGCTTTCGAAAACCCAGACAAGCATCACGCCACCCTCAGGGCTTCCGCTGACGGGAGGTGCTGGCGCCGGTGCCCACCATAATCCACAAGCAGGACCTGGGGCGGCAGGAAAGGGGTTCAACAAGCGGGCAACTCTGCAGGCCCCGGGCGCATCGCTCAAGAAAGGATTCCGCCGTTCAACGACAAACATAGCCGCCGAGGCTGCACCGGCAGCGCCTGCATTTGTGCATGCGAAGCCCAACAGTCAGCCATCTCCAAAGGCTGGCGGACTCTCCGCTGCGCCGTCGGCAGTGACTTCGCCGACATCTACGAACCAGACCGACTCGCACACGATTACGCACAAGTCGAGCTCGAAAACCGAGAAGAAAGCAACACACTGATTCGCTGCGGTACTATTTGTGTTTTGAACATCAGATCGGGCTGCTCGCGCCTGCCACTATGGCTGTCATTATCGCTGTCACTCTCACTCTCACTCTCACTCTCACTCTCACGCAATGGCTGTCTTGATAGGGGTCAGGCCAACCCTTTCATTGTATAGGCACCTGTTGCCTGGGAGCAACTTACAGCGCAGGCCGTCGGCATAGGGATGCCACCGTGACGCGGAGAGGAGTGGAATAAAGTTTGCAAACGAGACACTGTCGAATCCAGGGTCGCGCAGAGGGAGGGGGCAACAATACCACCCGCGTGCGTCGTGTCGTTCTGAGCGAGTGACGCGATGTTTGATATGGGCTCTAACTGAGATCGACATCGATGTCCATGTCCGTCTCAACATCGTCCCCAGACTCTGTTTCCTTTCCGAAGGACTGATAGCCGCGGCTGTCGGGCTCTGACGTGGCCGATGCGCCAATGTCAAGACCATCCGACTGGCTGCTCTCGAGCAACAGGCTCGAAGTTTCGGCTCGAGAGGCTGCCAGTGCCGCACCAGACGGCGTCAAGCCCGAGGGCTGGCCCATCTCGCTCTTGAGGAAGCTGCTGAGCATTTGACTGCGGTACTGGTCCATACGCCGAGTAACTTCGCTGTGGCCCATGACGCTGAGCCGTTCGTCAAACTCGCGCCGGAGGTTGGATTGGTTTTGTAACTCAATCGAGTTGGTTTTGTTGACCTGAGTAGAGCCATTTGATCAGAGACATCCAAAAGCGCTTATCAGTGGTCACCGTGGCCACCGTGATGCAAGGGCAGACAAGTTTCCAGTCCATCGGCTCACGGGACTCGGCAGCAGCACCAACGGTGGTGACCACGCAAGTGAAGTGCTCATACCAATTCACTGCGCTGTTGAGCGTCCCTTTGCTTCTGCGCCTCGATTTCAGCTCGATTGGGAGGCGAGCCTTCCGAGTCGTGCTTGAGCTCACTGCGCGGCTCATATCTGATCACATTCGAAACAATGGGTTGGCATCCCACATAGATGCCCACAGGCCAACCACATGCTGCAGCCAAGGAATGCCCGACACGGACAACAATAGCAGGTAGCAGAATGCAATGTGGCGCAGGCAGCGCAAGTGCGGCGATGCTTCCCGAGGCTGTTGTGACTGTCGCGACCCACCTGTGCTTGTCAGCGCTTTGGCGGTGCTCGTCCGTGCTCGCAGATTTTCTGAATTTGCCATTCCTGTCCTCTTGTGTCTTGCTCTAACGGGCACCCAAGGATCATTCGTGTTGTATAAATGGCGTGAGGAGATTGCATGGGTCGGCGCTCCCAATCTCGAGATTCCATCAATAGAGTCCAGTCACGATACCGCCCAGGCAGCCCGGGTGATCAACCAACCTTATCGTCGTCCCGCTTCTCGACTGTATCCCAAGCTGAGTCCATCAGCGATGCCAGGTCAACCTTGGGGACTTGGGCTTGGCTTTGTTGCGAGGCCTGGCTCTGAGATGTCGTGGGAGCTGGCGGCCGCTTTGCCGGTTGAGCTCTTTGTTGGCCGCTCGTTGGGGTTGAGGTGAGAGACTTTGTGCCTTCAACCTAGACCCAGCACCCGTCACGGTCCCAATGAAGCGAGAGCGCGCATACATCAGATACAGCTCACGGTGGGCCCACATATACAGATGATAGATCGACAGCCGTATTCCCACGAATCGAGCGGCAGCTGGGCCGCTTCTACCACAGACAGTTCGTTACACCACGACGATAGAGCCTACCCTGTGGAGCGCTTCTTTGCGGACCTTGGCATCTCTAGCCATCCGATCGTCACCATCCTTGCGTTTGGCCGTTGCGGCTACATCCATGTCTCTCTTCTGGACCTGTATTCAGGCAATACGGTTGTGTCATGAACCGAAGCCGAGTTGATTCAACGTAAAGCGAGGTGAGGCGTGCACAATTGCAATTGGTCGGTTTCGTGTGCACCATACGATTCGTCCTGCACTGGTCGAATGGACACATCCTCATCCATCAGTCGAGCATATGATAAACGTACAGCGGATTTGGCAACCTTGGTCGCCATCGGTTCATCTGCCTCTGGAGCAAGCGCTTGTGTGTGTTTGCTTTCGAGCGTTGAATATTGTCCGGGCGACTTGGACGCATAGGATCGCTTCGGTGGCACATGTGTGCTATCATCATGGAGGCCAAGATAGTCTGGTGTACGGGGTTTTGCCGGGTTTGAGGGGGGGGGAGAGAGGAAAGATCGTTGTCCGTCCCAGAGCGAGTATGCAATATGCAGTCCGCACAGGTAAGATGGCGGGGTGCATTTGGAGATGCGATGTGGGCGTGGGTGAGAGAAATACGAAAGAAAAAAAGATCGAGTTAGATGCGGCAATGACAGCTGCGATGGACAACAGACCTGTAGAGCGAGAAGGAGATGGAGATGGAGCGGACGAGAGAGAGAGAGAGAGAGAGAGAGAGAGGATGAAGGGGCGAGTGAAGGGATAGTGGGTGAAACGATAGCGAGGCTGGATCGAAAAAGAAAGGAGAGTTGGCCATGTGCGCTGCTTCCACTGGGACTGGATTCAGTGGACTGGTGTGTTGGGCCGTTAGTTGCGGAAGGCAGAGAGCGGATGTCATGTACGGCACGAAGGGTAGAATAAGAAGCGAACGGTAGTATACGAAGCGAAGGATCAGCAACAAAGTACCGCCGTCAAGACGTCACCTCTCGGAGTGGCTTCGGCTGATGCTACCATCGCTACGGCTACGCCACACCACACACCAGCCGCAGGCTGAATGGGCTGTCATCATGCACACAAGATGCGGATATCACCCAGCGATGCCACAGCAGCGACGCCACTGACACACACACTCAGAGGGTAAGGTGATTTGAGGACAGGAATCCCAGATAGACGCACCTTGGGATCCGTTGTGCCTCTCGGCTCCCTCGCTCCCTCAGGAGGAGCTTGATGATGAGTCGAGAGACACTGGCAGAGGGCCGGGCACAACACAGGGGCGAGGAAGGGATACAAAAGGAGCTGAAAGACATCCGACGGTATGGGTACCACGGATGATGGGCAGAGAACACCGGTTCGACTATCGAAGGCGAGGAGGGGATGGGTTGAGGGAATAGTATGGAGGCAAAAGGTACAAGGCTATCCGCTGCCCAAGCTGGAGCTAGACACACCGGCAATCGAAGATGCGGTAGTTGTGATGGAGTAGAAGAGTGAGGTTGAAATGAGCGGGTCCAAGAGGGAGTGGAGGAGGAGGGGCCATGACAGTATGAAGCCTGAAAGACATGCAAAACGGGGAGGGGAGGGGAGATAGTGGGAGAATCTCACGGTGCAGACGCATGCCTCGTTCTTTCTTTCTTCCTTTATTGAAAGAAAAGGGGAGGGGCACAGGGTTGGTGTGGAGTAGCGGAGAGGCGCATGGGCAAAGATTGTAGTCGGCATAGGAGGGGCAAGGAGGAGCATCGAGGCAGCGCATGGGAAAGGGATGGCGGAAATAGAGGTGTGGGTGGAGGATTGTGAGCAGGCCCGGGGACGAAGCGCATCAAGGTAATGTCATGAGTGAAAGCGGCTCTGGAGTCGAGACCGAAGTGATGTGTGGATGTGCATTCTTCGGGGGGTGGGGTCGCTCACACAGAAAGGGCGAGAGTAGTGTGATGGGTAGGTTGTTTCGGTGTTGCCGGCGCCCGTGCATGCGTTGGAGCGGAGAAAGCCAAGTATCCAAAAAAGAATGTACACGTAAGGCAAGCAAGCGAGGGGTGAGAGCGGAGGGGGGGGGTGAGGAAGGGAGAGGGGGGATGAAGCAGGGAGCTGACGGCAACGACGGCTCAGTCGCTGTTGCTACCTGAATCTGAGTCAGATCCAGAAGAGCTGGAACTTCCGCTGCTGCTTGAGGATTCATCATCAGCCCGCTTGTCTGTGGAAGGGTATCGTCAACGGAGCCGATGATCAGCAGAAAGCGCCAATCGACGAAGAGCAAAGCCGGGAACTTTGCGATGCATCATGTGCGTCAAGACAGGTGGCACCAACATATCGTCTTGAGTGCCGACGCTGTCCCTGGCACGGGTTAGGATGCGTAGCAAGCTCCGCCTGGGCTCCTACCTTGCTTTTTCTTCTTGTCGGATGACTTTTTCCCGTTCTTTGCCTTCTTGGGGGTGCGAACAGGAGCAACATCAGCAGCACCGACAGTGTTGGCTTTGACGAACTTGTAGAGCTCGTGCAGTGTCACTCTGTCGAGCGCGTCGATTTCTAGCTCGATTTCCTCTTGTCCAGGCTGGGAGGGATGCATCGATATCATGCCGCGACGAAGAGACGCGAGCCGATTGCCCGGAAGTGGTTAGTCGGGTTGCGGCAGCAGCTGCAGGCGCACTTGTCGCCATCGCCATCGCCATCGCCATCGCCATCGCCATCGCCATCGCCGCTTGTACAAGGTTCTCACAGACAGCGATTCGATCAATCAAGGATGGCATACCTCGCTGAACTGCGGCATGCCCGCTGTGATGATTTCAAAGACCTGCGGGACCTTCTCGGGGGGAAGCTGGTTGATGAGGATGCTGAGCTCGTGCTTTTGTTCGTAGCTAACTTCTGGCACGCCGTCCGAGTCGATCTTGCGTTTCTTGGAGCTCTGAGGCCGCTCCTTGCGTTCCTTCTTGGGAGCCGAGGAAAGTGGGGTACTGCCGGCTGCGCTTGGCGGGTTGGCCGCAGATGTGGGTGCTGCAGGCGCTGCAGATGCTGCAGAAGGTGCTGTAGCTCCAGCTCCGGTCGGGTTTGTGGCGGGGCGGGAGGGTGTCTTGAGAGGCTTGGGGGTTTTGGACTCAGACTTGACCTTGGTCGGCTTCGATCCAGCGGCAGGTGTCGCCAAGACGCCGTTGGTGGCGGAAGGAGCGGTGCCAACGCCGGAGCCGGTATTGCCTCCATGTAACGGGGTTGCCGGTGCCTTTGATTTGGATTTCGCATCCACCCGCTTCTTTTCCCGTCGCCGTCTCTGCATATCGCGAAGGGTATCTAATTGCGCGTTCAGGCCTGCCAGTGTCGCCTCGATATTTTTGATTTGGACGGCCAGGTTTCGATCTATTCACAGGCACATCATAGTCGTGGTATTGCCAATGTTGGTTAGGATGTCGCAAGGAAGTGAACGAGCGCGATTCGGCGATGACTCGAATCTGTTCGCTCGTCAATGCAGTCGCTGCCATTTCGCTGCACTGACGCCGGAACGCGACTACTCCACGTACCGTCCTCGTCTTCCTCTTCATCCTCTGGTATCACAGATGCCGGAACGCGGCGGACAAATTGGCGGGTTAGTTATGCCAAGCAGCCGACCAATAGCGGGGGAGGCACAAAGTAGCCAGCAATCGGAGGCTCCAAGAGAAACTGCCTCAGCATTCAGCGCAGCAGAACGAGTATCCAGTATTGCTGCTCGTCACAATACATCTCCGCCCGTTGCGCCGCCTGGCCGGCCACACGCCAATGATCGCCGCAATTCGAAGCCAATGCCGAGCCATTTATGCGGCCTACTGCCTACCTGCAGGCGGACGGTCAATCCACTTCTCCTCAAATGCGGTCTCCAGTTTCTGTGCACACCGATAGACTTCCGTGTCGGGCAAGTTGAACACGTAGCAGTTTTCGAAAATCTTGTGGATGTCAAAATAAAAGTCATCGTATCCATCGTAACTTCCTGACTCTAGCTTTTGCCTGACAGTCGAGAGATCCATGGGGTACTTGATGACGCTGAAGTAAGTCGGCACGTTCAGCTTGATGGGGTCGACAGGCTCGAGAAAGGGCCAGTTGAACTCGCTGTAGCGCTTGCCAGAGAGTTCTTTGTGAAGGTGCGTGCACCACTTGAGCTCGGCAGTCAGTGACTTTTTCGAAGCAGTCTTTTTTGGAGACATGGGAGTCTCCTTCACCGGCGTGGGGACTTCACGCCGTGGGCGCGGTTTCTCCGACTGTCATGTTCGAGGAATCACACGATATCAAAAACGAGACTCTCAAAATAAAGTTCCAATCATGACCACCGATGCTGCGGATGAACCGCAGCAAGACAGGATGCCGGGCTGGGCAAGCCACTGCTTACCGAGTGGGGCACTTCGATCTTGATTTTCTTCTCTTTGACCACTTTGAGCTAACGATGGTGGCAAATGTGATAAGAATCGCTGGTGAGCGATAGGGGGCAGCAATAGGGGCATGCGAGCTACTCGGTCACACTCCAATATTTAGCGTAGTTGGCACATGCCCAAAACAACGATGCCATGCAAAGACACTGCTGTCTGGCGGTACGACCGAGATACGTTACATCTTGAGGCAGTTTTTCAATCTGCTTGTTGAACCAGATGAGCAGCGATCTGGCCATCTGTGAGATTGCAGAGTCCTCGCCGTTGAAGGTGACGCAGTTATCGATGATCAGGTTGAAATCAGCAATGATCTGGGATGTGTTCGTGTAGCCGTTAGCGTCGATGTTTCGCAGAATGGTGGAGATGTCCATGGGGTTGGGGATGATGGTGGGATAGTGCGGAATGCCGAGGGCGATGGGATCGACAGGCTGAAGGAACGGGCCCGCATCCTTCACACGCTTCGAGATTTTGAGGACATGCGCAATGTACTTGATCTGTTCTTTGAGCAGATCTGCGGGTGTTGTAGCGGCGACAGCAGCAGTTGAGATGACACTGGCTGTGGCCGAGGGTGCAGGTGCGTTGGGGATGGCAGCCGTCGCAGATGTAGAGATGGATGTGGGCGGCGGATCCGATACAGATGTTTCCGGGACTGCAGGCATCGATGTCGGTGGACCGGATGGGTCTGGAAAGGCAGCGTGATTGGTGACAGCCGTGGGAGAAGGTTGGGTCATGACCGAGTCCATGAGTTGAATGGTGCCGGGAAACGACTGGATGGAAGGTCAATGCAGATCAGTATCGACAGTATGGGGCGCGATGTTCAAGCAGGAGCTCCAGTCCACTTCCAGAGCTGTGCACAGATGTGCATGTGAATGAACGCAAGCGACGGAGCCCGGGCATCATGGGCAAGGAAAGCAAGGAAGGGGATGTGGATGATGCTGGGGGCGGGAGAGCAAGCAGGCATGTCCCAAGGGGTGCAAGAGGATCGGAAGATGCAGGATGGACTTTTGCAAAGGACAGGTGGATGGGCAAACGGCATTGAAGAGTCGCAGGCTCCGATCAGGCGTCTGGAGACCGGAAGTAGCCTGTGCGATCAATCTGGGAAGCGATCTGTCGGGCGAGCGACCAAGGCAGAACCAAGCGACCAAGGCAGGACCAAGCGACTGCGTTGGTCGTACATCCCAGCGGCTGGGTGATGGATGGCGAACCCACCTGTGAGCGAAGAGAGGGCGGATGTGTCGGCGGGGGAGCGCTGAGAGGCCGTGCCCACAGAGCCAGTGATCGGTCAGACAGAGCGAAAGCAGATCAAAACCGATCCAAGGCCAAAGACGAAAAACGAGAGGCGACGGGAGGAGGCGAGGCAGCCCCAGCGAGAGCCGGAGCGAGCGAGCGAGGCGGCAGCGAGAAGAGGGGTCTCTTCTCGGTCATGTGAGGGCAGCGGAACTTGCAGTCCGGCCCTGGCCACAGCCGTCCAGCCGGCACAGAGCGGCTGCTCCGGTCACATCAGCAAGCAAGTATCGGGCGCTGGCACGAGCTCCCCGTTATCCAGATACACGATGGTGACGGCCGCAGGCGACGCAGACTCTTGGCTCGGCCGACTCGCCAGAGAGGGCGAGAAGGGCGGCGCTCGTCTCGCCGGACCGAGCCGAACCAAAGCAGCCACATCAATCCACACCGACTCACTCGATCCACTCCACTCACTCGATCCACTCGATCCACCCTATCCCTGCATTCGAGCCGGTGCCTCCCCCGCTCGTTGGCGCGTTTTTCTTTGCTCCACCGGCCTGCTTGTGTGCTTCTCGTTGGTCTTGCAATCCGGCCGTCTCTGAATCGAGCCCCTCCCTCTCGGCCCCTTTCGCCTCCGCCGTGCCGTATCTGGTCTCTGCCGGGCCGCATTGCCTTCCATCCAGCTCGCTCTATTCGCTTTCACTGGTCTGTCCTCGCTCCAACTCTCTGCTATCGCCCTTTCGTCGCTGTCGTCCAGCCGCCTCAATCTATCTGAATCATCATGTTCATATCAAGCGATGGTGATCAGCAAATGTACTCATATATCGGCGTGATTGTTGCAATTGGTATGTCGCCGGGGCTCGCATGGCGTGGAGAATGCAATTCAATTGCATGCGTCTCAAACCAATGGCAGCCGGGGAGGGCTGTTGGCTGATGCGTCGCTGCTCGCTGCGGTCTTGCTCTCGCGGATGCCAAGTCGTCCGGCCAGATATGCTCGTCCAAGGGCGCCTGATTCTTATTGCAATCCTTCCTGTACTGGCGCCATGTGGTGTCGCCCTTGAAAACCTGTCCATCCACTCGCCGATCCGTCTGCCCATCCTGATTCTTTCGGCCCTCGGGAATCGAATCGGACAACCTGACACACACCCTTTGGTCGGCTCTCCTGCTATGCATGCGCCAATCGACTGTTTACCCTGTATACTCGACGGGCAACGCTCTGTCGGACATATCCAATCCAATCCCGTGCTCGGCATCCTGCGATCTGATCGACGGCTTTGTCCAGTCGGCAACATCACCATCTCGATCGCACTCAATATCCAAAAGGCTGTCCACAACGAGCTTGCCCTCGCATCGCTCCCGCCATCACGGCCTGACTCGCCGCTTTCTGCCTCCAACTCATGTCGGCGCTCTGCTGCGAGACAGTCATCTTCTCATCTGCACGCTCCAGGCTCACCCATCTCGGTTTGCGCGACGTTCCCGAATCGCGACGATGTCACGACACCGCTACTTGCTTCGTCTGGAGACGACTCGTACACCGCTCAGCCTTACTGGAAAAACAAGTACTGGTGGTTCGGCCAGCTTCTCATGTCGGTCGGCGAGCTCGGCAATTTCATGGCATATGGCTTTGCCCCGACCGTGCTGGTCTCTCCCCTTGGTGAGTGATGATCGTTCAGTCCAGCTCAAGCCTCCATGCCTTCGTTCACTCCGGCTGCTTGTCTGCGGCCAGGCGCATGATCGCAAGTTCTGCTCTTGATCAATTGACCTGAGCTTCCTTTCCGAAGCTGTTGGCCAGTAGATACCTTCTGCATTCAGGAGACTCACCGTGATCTGTCTTCTCCTCCACGGCGTGCCAATGCTCGTCATGCTCCCTCCAACGATGCTTGATCGCCATGCTCAGGAACGGTCGCTCTGGTAAGCATCAACGATCGGATATCGGTCCAACCGGTCCCTCTCCGCTTGTCGTGCAGTCCACCCCCGACTGTTCTGGACGCACCTTTGCCACACCCAATCCACTCACCCCTTGCTCTGTGTTTTCCCAGATCAGCAACGCCATCATTGCTCCCATCTTCCTGCACGAAGAATCGCGACGTCGGGACGGAGTCGGCATCTTTTTCGCCTTTGTGGGGACCGTCATCATTGTCATTGTCTCCTCTCAGACGACCGAGCCCGTGCTGACGCCGGATGATATCGCCTCCGCCTTGCGGCAGTTTCAGTTCATGGTCTACATGGCTGTGACGCTCTCGCTGTCGTTCCTGATGGCGCACCTGTCCAACCTGCAGACCTTTGGTGGGCGGTACATCATGGTAGATCTCTCCATGGTTGCGATATACGGTGGGTGTCGCCTCGATGGTGTTTGCTGCGCCTCCGTCATATCCATTTATGTCTCGCGCTCGTATTTCCCGGCGTCGTATCCTCCACGACCATCTTTGGATCCTCAGCCACTTGGCGAAATCCTCGACACTCGCTTGCTCATGCTGTATCGCCGTGATCGGGCCATGGTTTCTGATCGACTCCCGCTTGTTTGCAGGCGGATACACTGTGATGGCCACCAAGGCGTTGTCGAGCCTGCTGAATCTTGGGTTGATCGCCATCATTCAGTTCTCAATCACTTACTGGATCCTGCTGATCTTGGTTGTGACATGCGTGGTGAGGCATCTATCCAGCAAAAGTGTCTCCACACGCATCCACCAATCCCCTTGCAGAGTGTCCTTGAGCTCATATCCATGCCTTTCCAACAGGTTCAAATCACATATTTGAACAAGTCTCTGGCCCGGTATGTAGCAACAGCTGCGTCTGCAGTTGTATCGAGAGCGACGGCGACCACTACATCTCGGACGGCTGCGCCTGCTCAATGTATCGCCTTCTTCGGCATGCTCCTCGAGTCTCTGACACGCCTGTTCTTGGTGCCCTTGGGCTCATCTGCCACTGTTCAGATTCGAGTCCGTCCAGGTCCTGCCAACCAACTTTGTCATGTTCACAACATCGTCCATCATCGGCTCCTCGGTTCTTTTCAACGACCTCGCCCACACCAGCCTTTACTCGCTCCTTGGGGTCGCTTTCATGTTCCTTGGAGTGTGGCTGATCACGGGCGAACGCCGTCATAGCGGGGACATCGACTCGCCCACAGAATCGATTTCTTCGTCCATCTTGACCGATGAAGAGGTGGCGCGCGAATCGCAGGTATCCGGCCCGCTCAGCAGCCCCTCAGCCTTCTCAAAGCCTCTGCCGCGATCACATGCGCTCTCCAACACCGTGCGGTCGCACCATTCGGACGATTCGACAGAGGAGGAGGTTCTCTTCGATTCTCCCGCGGCCGGGCCTGCTCGGGCCTTCCCGAAGAAGATCCAGATCCCACCTCCAAGCCCCGCGACGGCAACCTCGTACCGCCGCGCATCCCTCACAGAGCGTGATCTTGAATCAGCGCCTGTCCTCAACGAAGCTCGCCACAGCCTCAAGAACTTTGCCGATGCCGTCTGCTTGCTCTCTGGGGCAATTTCGCCGACGGCGGCCACCTTGCAGAGCGGTCCGCATCGATACAGTCTCCAGCACAAGCGGAGTGAGGCCAGCTTGAGGAATTCCGTTGGCTCCTCGCATGTACATCCAAGCCACGACCACGGCCACGGCCACGAGTGATGCTTGAGATATCCCTGCCGCAAGCAAAGGACGGGCACGGGCCGAGCACTCGCACCCGCCCCGTCTAACGACTTTCTGGACCGAGCCGCTGTTATTGCCGCCCCATGGCTGTCCCGTGTCGCTTCTCCCGCTTTCTCTCTACTACGTCCCGTCTCCTGAGACTATTGTCTGCGAGATCTCTCCATCTAGATTGCTGCCACTGCTCCCGATGATCTTGCATTTGCTCCAGCCTCTGTATTTGTAGCCTTGCAACAGCTCGCTCTCGCTGTCGTCCATCGTCTCCGCGCCATTTCTCGACACTGGAACCCCGCACTCTCCCTCCTCATTGTCCCGCTTCGCATCCTAGACCCACCATCTCAATGTTATGCTGTCGCCACTGCAGCTTTCGATAACACCGCGAGGTGCCTGGACGGTTCATATCGCATGCGTTGCGCTCCAAATATTTGCCTCAGGCAGCTGTGCTCCCGGCTCTCTCCCATGAACACGACCGTATCGCTTCGTCCGCCGTCACCGCTCTATCAGACGCTGCCGGCCATCTTGATCATCCCTCTGTCTTTGATTCGCCGACGACCACTCACGATGCTTGCTCAGGTCGCACAGATCGTTCTGGTTCGAGCCAGGCTGGAGCGCAGCCACGCGTGTCACGTGGAAAGTCGCGACGAAAAAACCAGCGACCGAGAAGGGCGTCCTCGGTCCACGACGAGCCAGGAGACTTGGACGATCTTCACCCAGAGGATCGGCCAAGACAGGGCTCTGGTGTTAGAAGTGGTGCAACGCCTGCATTGCGTGTGTCAGTGTGGTGCATTCGATGTAATCGGCTGCGCGGACAAAGATTTCCTTGGTGGTCCTTGGCGACGGCACGCCCTCGTCCATCCCTCGCTGTCCGAGAGGGCACCGAGAGCGCTCTGTTCTCGGTGTTGTCGGGATCGGGTTTGCAACGAGCATCTGACACAATGAAAAAAATTCTTGTTAAAAAATGAGCGAGAACGAAAAAACGCGCTCTCGGAGCCACCTCGGTCGGCGAGAAGAGCAGTCTCTGGCGAGAGACCCCCGAGGGAAGGCGAGAAGCCTCTCGCCGTCACACACACACACTTTGCACAAGGGAGTCAAACACCTCCCATCGACCATCCCAAGAGGGATGGCAACCCCGAAGTGGACTGCCCAGAATATGGGCGACCCGGCATCCACTGTCGAAATACTCAAGGAACAGTGCGAGATACTTACAGTCAATCCAGAAATAAACGGGACACTTTCCCCTTCCTGGCTTCAGATGTCTGAAGCCCGTTGACTGACTTGTAGGCCCAGCGGGTAGGCCGTGAAATTGTTTCCCGTCCTGGTTGGCAATCGCTTTGTTTTGGTTGGTTTGGGAAGCACAGTCTTGAATACACCCGGTCGATCTCCTGTGGCGATGATCGACTGGCATACCGAGATCATGTTCCGTGAGGCATTGATGTCTCGATCCCACAGCGTATGGCAGCTTGCACAGCTCCGGACAAAGTGTGGTTTCTCGATATCAAGATGCTCGACCTTCTCGAGTCGCTTGGCTTCCCGACAATGTGAGCACACCTGGGATGTGTTGAACTCGTTCACCGAGCACACATGGATCTTGGAGACGGATCGGTCTGGTGGTCGTCTCTGGTGGTGGTGGAACTGCTCAAAGTACTTGGCAAACCTGAGTCTCCGTGGGCTGGATGCATATCCCTTCCCTTGCTTCCAGGAGGCATTCCCAAAGGCAATCACCACTTCGGTCTCCTTTGGTGCCTGGTCGATGACTCGCTTGCACATCTCGTGGACGGTGCGCTGTCGCTTGCCGTAGAGATCGAGTCGCTTGAATCGCCGTCGCCGGGTCAGGCTGAAGTACAGCTGTTTGTCCAGCATGTCTCCATCGAACACATGGCGAATGTATTGCAGGAAGGGGGCTATCCCGGGGATCTTGGGACTTGGTGTGGTGCTCATCCATTCCTGCAGACCAAGGGCCTTGTGGGTGCTCTGGATCCACTTGGTCGCCTGGGTGGTGTCTTTCGCTTGCGGGGAGCCATCTGGCGAGAAAATAGCGACGATGGCTGGTTCTGCCCTTGGGGAAGAAAAATTCTCCTCAAAACCAGCGCATTTTGGGCTGGCAGAGATACTGCACAGTGGCGTCCTTGATTCAGATCCAGAAACGCATCGCTCGCTCAATCAGTCGTGGGAAGACATCTTGTCAAGGTGAGTCTTGCCTGATAGCCAAACGATCATGTCATCTCGCTGACACACAGCCACGCTTGACTAGGCTTCCAACCAGAGAGATTCAGATGGTGGTGGTTCTTGTCCGCAATCGGAGTGGAGCTTCCAACAATGATACAATTGGTCATTCCTCCACACCAATTGCCCACCACCACCGTCAATCGGCTCAAGGTGATACCAAATGCCGTCAACCGACCATGGCCGGATTCCAACTTTTGCTGCGCCACATACAACGTGACTTTCAGGTGACCGAGATGAGCATCTGATCTGCAACGGGCATCCGATCTGCAACGGATCGTGATCGTGATCTGCAACGGATCGTGATCTACACCAGGTCCCGGCCAGCTTGAAGCTCCGTAGCAAGCGACCCGCTCCCGTCACTGTCGATCGCTCCCAGTCCGTCCGACACCTCCTTCCGGAATATTGTCCGCGATCGTGCCTCAACAGCACAGGCCGATTCTCCTCCGATAACAATCAACATCCCAGCCCCAAGGCGACCCACTCCAAGTCGACATCGCCCACGTCCCGCTGACCTTTCGTAGCTTTGATAAAATGAGCCCAACCAAGCTTCCCTTCCACAAGATCGTCCATCACCCAAGCCAGCCGTTCTTGCTGCTGTGCTATGGAAACAAATTTGACATTGTCTCGACCGAGTGAGTATCAGGAGAGTGCAGAGTCCCAGGATTGTGTCGATGCGGGAGCAGTCGCCGATAACGATCTCTCATGACGGAAGTTACGTCGCTCGGCTTGACTGCATTGTTTTGCGGGTCGCATCAGATGGAGCGGTCGTTGGTTTTCCAGCCTGCAGTGCACGGCTACCTTCGATCACTCGATCCTGTCAGCTTCCGTGGCCAGCAACCCGTCATGCAGGCTTATGCCGCTGGTTTCTCTCAACCCACATGTTTCAATAGCTCTGGCTCTATCCGAGCTGCCCCACAGTCCCGATTCGGGCCGACGACGTCCAGCCCAACCACTCTGTCCAAGACCCATCCCATACCCGACCACCTCTTTGCCAAGGACGACATCCGTGTCGCTGCCTTCCACACGGACCGGCTCGTCACCGGCGGCGACGAAAAGTCCCTGTCGATCTGGAATACCGATACATGGGAGGTCCTGGACAATTCGAGGCAAGTGTCAAAGCGAGCACACCGAGCACCAACACAATTCCCGCAGCCTGGGCTTGCGAGCTCAGATCTGATCTCTCATGCGATCTCGCGCTTTGCCTTCCCCGAAACGATGACGTGAACAGGCAGTTTGTCAAGCGCCCCAACGCCGTCACGTTCTCCAAGGACGGTAGCTATGTTCTTGGCGGTGATAAGGCCGGTGATGTCTACAGGTACTATACCGAGCGATGTCGCATTTCTCGGCTCACAAACCCGAGTCGATCCAGTCGGAGATGACACCGATGAAATTCGATGGGAAGCCCGGCTCGGCTCGGCTCGTCGCTCCACGCCCAACGGAGCGCAGAGCGATTTCCGCTGACACTCTTGGTAATTTTGCTCAGTTTCCACACCCACGAGACCAGCGAGAAGCGGAGCTTGCTTCTGGGCCATGTATCGATCATTCTTGACTTGGTACGCTTTGTTTCTCTACTGTACCCCACATCGAGTCGATCTACCGGCTGATCCTTCAACTTGACATGTGCTGCAGCGATCAATATGCCTTTGGTGGATCGACTGACCTTGCATGGAGCTAATCTAACGACGCGATCGTTCGACTCTCGTATTTGTCACGGCGGGGTTCCAGGCGCTTTCTCCCTGTGGCAAGTATATCATCACTGCCGATCGAGACGAGAAGATCCGCGTCACTCATTATCCACACAGCTACGACATACAGTCCTTCTGTCTGGGACACAACGAGTACGAGTCACATGCAGTCCAGCATCCCACATATATTCCCGCGGACACTATCCAAGCATGGACCCGTTCGACATCTGCCTGACATCTGCCTGACACTTTTGTGAACCGATTCATCATCAGATTCGTATCCACTATCGCTATTCCCGCATGGGCGCCCAAGACGCTCCTGTCTGGCGGCGGCGATCCTTATCTGATTGCCTGGAACTACGTCCACGGGGAGCAGCTCTACACAGTCGATCTGCGTGCTCCTTTAGCTCGGGCAGACGAGAACATGGTAAGCATCGCCTCTGTAGCCCACTGGGTTTACTGCATGCTTGGACGAGGAGAGCGATGAATTATTAAATGCAGAATGCGACCGATTCCGCCAAGGGAATCTGTTGAGTCGGTCAATGTGCGCATCGCATCCAAACTAAGACATGCACTTTTTGACTTTCAGGACGCTACCGCCGACTTGACCGTGCTGGCTATCCGCACCTGCCCCAAAACACACCACATCGCTGTTTTGATCGAGAAGTACGACTGCTTGTTTGACCCACGTCGCCTTTCGCTGGATGTTGACGTGGCTGATTTGAGCATGGCTGATTTGAGTATGGCTGATTCGAGCATGGCTGATTTGAGCATGGCTGATTTGAGCATGGTGCACCATCAGCTAGTTGTCGTTGGAGGCTCGGCGTAGCCACAGCTCATATTTGTTGCCGCGCTGACGTCTGATCCGCCGCACTTGTCATCTCTCCTTTGCTGGCGGACGCAGGCAAAAGCATGTTCTGATCTTTGACGGCAAGAACGCGGCGGCCGGCATCACCCTCAACACGATCATTCCGATCGATGTCGACGCACTCGATATCGTCTTTGATCACTCCGGACACCTCTGGATCTCAAAGTCACCCTTGAACAATCCGAGTGGACGGCTCATTGACATCGCACGATGCTCTGCTGAGGGAGTGGTAAGCACGCCTTCCATCTCCCCCATTCGCCATGCTTCCATAATAGCACCGTCCCGTAACCAACCATCGCGATTCTTGCATCTGCAGCTCCAAGCCCCCGTGCCTGACGATCCGTTGACAATCAAGATCAACCGTGTCAGCGTCCATCCCACTGGTGAGCATTTGTTCCGGTATCTCGGGCTCTTCTCACGCTTCCACTGTGTCAAGTCCCGAGCCGATGCGGTTTCGTCTGCTTTGATACTTCGTTCTAACGTCATAACTCGTTCTCGTCTTCCCAGTCGAGAATGAGGCCGAGCTCGATCTTTATCCCATCTCACAGCACCGCAAGAGCATCATATCGGGACTCAAGCAGGGCCGTCCCAAGCCACCTCCAGTGAAGCGTACTCGCCTGGCCGATTCTCTGCCTGGCGGATCCAGTGGCAGCCCCGAGAGAAAGAAAGTCAGTCGAGGCGGTCAGCGTGCTCGAGCAGCAAAGCTGGTCAAGCAGTCGCAGGATCAGCAACACGAGCCGACCGAGGAAGAAAATGATGGAGTGGCTGAGGGCGACGAGTAGAACGGCTTCCTGGAGAGTGTCTGGATAGAGCCCTTCCTCTTGCATGTTTCATCCACTCCATGCCTCCTCTTCGTGCGCTCACATTGTAAGGTTGTATTTGAGGTGTACATTCGATCGCTCGACAGTACCACTTCCGGTTCTTGCTATCGCGGCTTTGCAACCTATTACTCCACCGCCACGGTGCATTATCAGCTCGAGGGCTCAATACATTTGCGTGCGAGATTGGCGCTCTCGTCATCCTCGCCAAGTGATATCATGCGAATGAGCTTGGACTCAGCCTGTTGGCAATATCGCATCGGCTGATGTGAGCCCACACCGATTCCGTGAGCTGCCGGCCATTGAGCTCCCCGCTCCCTCCAGCAACTTGGTGGATCCCATTGGCGCAATTGGCCTCGAGGACTGCCAATCTTGATTGGCGAGCAGGGACAGGGTATTGGAGCAAACAGTGCTGCAATCCTGTCGTCTTCACACTGGTGATTGCAAATGAGGTTGAGCTTGCACAACTCTGTGGCTGCCAATGGATGTGATTGGCAGGGGGCTGACGCAACAGATCCCATCTTGACAATGCACAGTTGCTGGTCCGATCATACTCAATCTTACCCGACTACCCAAAGCATGTCGACTCATACACAGTTCCTCTGGGTAATACCGCAAGGTCTGCATATCACGGGAATGGTCGTGGAGAAAATCCCCGCAAAAGCGCTGGAGGCTCCCTTCTGACACGTTCGCAGCAACGTTGAACGACGGCATAAACTCGGCCCGATTTGAATTGGCTTGGGCCCACACAGGACTTGCTGGCGGATAACCGCATGCCGTTGCTCTCACCTTTTCCAACGCCATAACCCAAGAGCCCGAACCACTTAGTTTGAAGAGAGCTTGTACAATCGATTCGTCCATCAGTCGCGCATAGGTAGGGGATATTCGAGATGGTCCGATGCATCGAGACATGGCGATACGCGTGGTTGTTGTACGTCCGTGAGAGAGATGAACAAGAGCAATCTCGTCTCGAATCGAAGGAGAGTGAGAATCATGAGACGCGAGGGCGATGGAGAGACAACTAAAATCTGAAGTTGGTCGGCGTTTCCATATCCACAGCAAAGGCCAACAGATTCCAAAGCCCCGACCGCAGATACAGGACGTCCATGTCTCAGTCAATCGAGCCATCAAAGTCTTTATCAGCGAGCTCATCGCCAAAGTCTCCACGATCCTTTCGACCTGCAAAAAATGGGGACTCGCGATCGATTATCTCCTTTGGTATGCTCCAAGAGGAAATGCAGGTCCCAGACACAAATCCGACAGCGTCAAGCACGACCGCAACCAACGGACCTGCATCAAACGGAACCCCCACGATGCCGCGAACAAACGAGGTCAAAAAACGAAGAGCATCACTGGGCGGAATCGAGCTACCAAGGATATTGCTGACTCGGGGCACCGACAGTAAACGCGGATCCGAAGTTGATGTGGAACAGGGCCGTCGAGCGGTTCGGCGCAGTCGCCAGTCCATCTCGGACATGATACGAAAGCCACATCCAATATTAATCATGCTTCGAAAGCTGCGCGAAAATTTCATGGGAACAGCCGCCTTCAAGGAAACGATCAAGTTCCTGTCGAACGAGGTGACGCAGATCATGGCATGGCTGGCGGTTGCGGTTGTTGCGCACACGTTCGTGACGGGAATCTTCATCATTGCGCTCTACACCGTCATGCCCGGGATCTGGGTCTACAACTTTCTCCAGCTGTTTGTGATTGCCTGCGCCCTGCTGGCCCACCATGCCAGCACCCGCATCTCCGACATCATCCGGCTCTCGATGACCGCAAGCGACCTGGTCCGCGGGAAGATCACCGTGGCCGAGATTGCCGACTTTTGGGTCAAGGGAAAGAGGAGCCCCGGCTACAAGATCATCCAGATCAGCTGCCTCATCGAGATTGTCTCGGAGCTGATCCTGATTGGATGCAGCATCTCGTTCGTGTGGGACGCCACCGAGACCTTCCTGCTCCAGGGAACATGCAATCCGCCAAACTATATCGGCTCGGTTCTGTCGCCCAACATTGCCATCCAGCAGTTCATCCAGGGCGACGCCGACTTTGCCACCGTCTACAACTACGGACTACCGCTGTCGGACGGCATCATCGGCGCCTGGGCCGGCTGGCCAATGAACAATCCGATGGACTCGTTCACGATCGAAGGCCAGGGACCGGTCTACATCATCCAGGCCGAGTGCGACGACGGACAGCCGCAGCCCTCGATCAACACCAACGGCGCCTCCAACATCGTCAGCTCGGTCCTCTCGTCCAGCAGCCGCGGATTCATGCTCGAGATGAGCGTCACGCTCCCGGCAGGAAGTGTCTTTGACGACATTGCCCAGACCGTCGTCAACTCGACCTTCCAGCAAGAATGCGTTGTGTTTGTCCAGGTCGGAGTCGGAGTCATCCAGTACAGCTTTGTGTCGGACCAGTGGTCGATGGTGACGGGCGGTCGACTGGTGGCAGCATCGAGTCCCTCGAGGTCGTTCTCGGTGGCCTATCCGACATCGCCGTCGAGCTTTGCCCGGACGGCCCAGCTGGCCTTCCGCGAGACCACCGACAGCTACGGAGTGCTGCCGCTGATCCGCCAGAGCGTCTTCCAGTCGGTCCTCAACGCCAGCTACTACCCATCCCAAGGCGCCACCTTCTGCAACTACCTCTCGTGGGCAACCTATCCTGACGGATACTACCACACCGAGGCCATGTATCGGGGCGTGGCCGTCGGGATCGGAGCGTCGGCACACTACGCCATCATGCAGTACAATCCGTCGCTGACGGTCAACTGCGACTACTACGGGTTTGCCGGAGCCGGAATGCTGTCGATCCCGTCGCTCCCGATCATCATCGCAGCGATCGGCTCGATAACGGCGATCCTGAGCAAGGTTGCCGAGATCATCTACTGGGTGACGATGCGGGCGACCATCAAGACGCCCGGATTCACGGAGGCCCGCCGAGCGCTCCAGCATCCGATGCGATTTGCTCTTGATACCGCCCACACTCTGTCTCGGTTCCAGACATCCAGTCCCGACGACTACTGCAACGTCACGACACGCAAATCGGTCCGGGCCATCGGCAACCGGATAGTGCGGTACGGCGAGGACATCAATACGTGCGAGAACGAGATCGGGCACCTCCAGATCGGCGAGGCCGGGTTCATCTCGACGGTCAAGGAGGACAAAATGTACGGCGGCTTCACCCCGACGGTGCATGCCGAATGGGACAACTTTACACAGAACAACTAGCCAGCGCCACGACGGCGGTATGGGATTGGGTACGACAGCCTTGGTACAGAGCGAGGCGGGGTGGCAAAGACTGGGAGCCAAAACGAGGTTGCAAGACGAGGCAACAACCCACAGAGGGTGGTATTGAGTGGCAGCAGATGGAAGAGAGTCACAAAGAGTTGTATGGGATGTTATCAACTGTCGCTGAATGGCAGAGCATCTCGCTGAATGGCAGAGCATCTCGCTGAGTGGCAGAGCACGTCGCTGAATGGCAGGGGATGGCATTCAGTGGAATAGAACCAATTCAACCCGAATAAACTGAATGGACCAAGAGATGTGAACATTGAGGAAAGCGATCGAGGGTGCCGGTAGCGAGATGCTCAATGTGATCGAGACCAACGAGATGGATCATGGATCGCAACTATAATTCTCATCGCCATCGCCATCACTGTCGTCTGCAGAATCGAGCGCAGGTTGTCCCGTCTCGCCGCAATGTCGTCGGCAGGGCATCATCGGGGCATATCAAGGCATCATCAGGGCATCATCAGGGCATCATCAAGGCGTCATCAGGGCATCATCAGGGTATCGGCATGGTGCAAATCTGTCTGCCCTTGCTTGCATCGCACATCGACCGGTGAGTCTGGCCCAGTCCGGCCCGAGCCGGACCGAATCTTTGCTTGGATTGGCGAGTCGGCCATCAGGCCATTCTTGCCGTTCAAGTGCCAGCATGCACCTTGGCTTGATCGGGCCAGCCCAACCTCTGTCCCGCCAACAGCTCGTGCTCACTCCAATTGATATGTCGATGGCAGTTACGATAGGAACGCCTCTTTGAGTGATTGACTCCCAGGGGATCAGCTCTGTAGGATCTGCTCTCCAGGGATCAGCTCTGAATGATCAACTCTGGGGATCTGTCTTCTGAACGGGCCATCCATGAGCACAGCCGGGCGAACGAACCCTTCCCAATCATGCCCGACCTGTCGCAGGTCATGACGATACTCATGATCGCTATGGCAAGGTCCTTGACCACCATTCAGCTCAATCACTTGTTGGCGGGGCCGCCGCTCGAGAATATTCTCCGTCCACCGACATGTAACCCCGTCACAATATTTGAGGACGCCCAGCCTTCATCAGAAGTCGAGTTTCACTGGATATCGCCTTGGTTGGATATATCAAGAAACAAGTCAAGACCCTCCGCGCCGACGATCCATTCCATCGCTTGAAGAGCTTATTCGAAAGGCGCTGAGACCATCACCTCTCGTTCGGGTCTCCATCGCTGTTCAAGTCGCGTCGCTATCATGACCATCCTCAACTCGTGCCTGCTCTGGCTCCTGCCCTTGCTGTCTGGTCTCGGTAACATGATGTCGCATGATATGGACTGGGCACACCCTCATGAATCACAAACACGAGAAGCTGATTTCTTTCGGACTGTTCCCTTGATATGACCTGGACACGTCTCACAGGCGCATTCTGTCAGCAACCGAACGTGATCGTTGCAGGAATCGGATCCAATACTCCCTCATCCCTGTTCCATGCAATCTCCGGTGTCTATTCCAATTATGATCCGGGTTGGGACTACAGCTATACCAACGTCGGCTCCGGAGCAGCTCGAGCTGCTCTTGCGGCCGGTGCTCCGAACCTGACATGGGCCGCCATCGACGTGATTCCCTCCAACGTTTCGTATACGGGGCCAGGAAACACTCTCGGGTATTTTGTTCCCGTCCCAGTTGCGGCAAGGTCAGTTGCTGTGCGTGCTCATCCAACTGCCATCGCAGCGACCCGTGAACTGAATCTTGTTCCTTGATTATCCTCGCGATGACGGGGAAACCAGCTGCATTGCCATCGTATATCACCTCAACGTCACCAATCTCACGCTGACTCGGCAGAACCTGGCCGACATCTTCAGTGGCAAGATTGCCTTCTGGAACGACACCCGCCTCACCCAGAACAACCCAAACCTCACCACGATCACTGCGCGTATCCAAACGATCGTCAACAGTGGCGCCTCAGGACTGACGGCAAACTTCCTCTCGGCTTTGAACAAGTTCGATCCCACCCTGAATCTCACTGGGACGCGATACTATCCGCTTCCAACCTGGGGCCCTGCAAATGCTCCTCTCTCTGGCTCAAGCGACAGCATCCTGTCGGACGGCGTCCAAGTCGTACCGTTTTCGATTGGGTATGTCGATTTGCCATATGTGAACGCCACCCTATCTGGAATGGCATCCAGCTTCAATCTGTACGGGATCGCTAACATCATCAACAAGAACGGCGACACTGTCGCTCCATCCGTGCAGACGATGAAGGCAAGTGCGATCCACTCGCCCCTCCCCGTTGTGGGTTGGGATTCGTTGCGCACCCGATGCCTCGGTGGTATCAGCGCGACCATGATCGTCCCACCCACATCACTGGATATCCTGTTCGAGCTGGTGATTGTGTGCACACATCAACGCACATCCGCAGTCCAGCGAGTCACGGAGCTGATGGTCCTCTGCCACCGACTCTCCTCCCCGCCCAGGCTGCTCTTTCTTCCCCCATCACGGCCAACATCTCGGCCCTGCGACACATCTCCAACGACATCGGAAACGCCATCCAGTCAAGCTACCTCGACTCGAGTGTCCCCAATGCCTATCCCCTCATGGAACCGACCTTCTTCATTCTGCGCCAAGACTCGCAGCTGTATGGGGTCAGCGCCGCAGAGATCCAAGCCACCCTGCGATTCTTGTATTGGATCATATTCGGCGGCACCCAGACGGTGAGTAGTCGTTGACCTGACTCCAATCGTTGCGCCGGCGCTGACAGCACCAAAGCACCGACAGCACCAAAGCACTGACCATGGCTCGCGCCTGCTCACCGCCCGTTCTCATGGTCGATTCGATACCATTTGCGATACTCGCTGGTCTGGCATCTTGCTGTGTTGTCATCAACTTCATTACCATCGGCACCACCGACATCATCAACATCATCTGCACCACCGGCCTTGCCTTGACAAATACGATCGCCAGACTCTCTCGACCGAGCCGATCGCATCGCCGTCCACCGCCACGTACTTCGACCAATACAACTTTGTCCACTACACCGACCCGAACATCCGCCAGTTCGCCTACGATGCCTTCATGCTGGTCACCCAGGGCGGCCAGTCTCTGTATGACCCAGCCTCGCCCTGCAATCCGTACTTTGACTCAAACAACATCTATGTCAGCGCCAGCTCTTGCAAGCACGGATACTGCATCGTCGACGGCCCCTTCCAGTCGTCGTCGATAATCGAGTGCATCTGCGACGTCGGCTACTACAACAACCAGCAACTGGACTGCTCGGAGCCATCGGCGCCATTCATGATCCATTTCAACAACCTGGACTCGGACAATATTGTGATGCTGGTGTTGCTGATTGTCACGGTGCTGATCAATACCGGGATCTTGACGCTGATTGTCCTGTGGAGGAAGAAGCCGGACATACAGGCGATCTCGCCCAACTGCTGCTATGTGATCATGGCCGGCGCCTGTAAGTTGCCGATGTGCGATGGGCGCTGGTGCTGTCCTGCATTGCTACATCATCTTGCTCAATGATGTCGTCGTCGACTCGCTCGCTGCCTCGAACAACCAGTGTTTGGCCAGGTTGCCGCACTCTTCTTCTCGGCCGATCCGAGTCCCATGGTCTGTGCCGGCCGCATCTTCCTCCCGGTGATTGCGTTTTCGTCCGTGTTCAGGTATGGTGCTGTTGGGTCTCATGCTCTGGAACACCACCGCAATGTTGCTTCATCGACATGGCTGGGACTCACTTGTGGACAGCACCAGTCGTCGATACAATCGGCCATCGCACTCACCCACTCACTCACTCACCCACTCACTCACTCACTCACTCACTCCCTGTGCATCCAGCATGCTGCTCATGAAGTCGATCCGCATCTACATCATCTTTGGATACAAGCGCATCCGCACCATCAAGACCCCCGACTGGAAGCTCATCCTCGCCTCTGCCATGATCGTCGGGATCGAGATTGTGGTCTGCGTCGCCTGGGTCGCCATCGGCAGTCCCACCGCCGTGGTCGAGGGCAGCTTCTACGCCCTGGTGTGCGCTTCGGCTCACGGCTCCATGGCCGCCCCCGAGATCCTGATCTATGTCCTGAACGGAGCCATCCTGATTGGCTGTGTGGTGTTTGCATATCTGACCAGAGGCGCCCACGAGCGCTTCCAAGAGTCCAGGGTCATCGGACTGTGCAGCTATGTGGTGTCGATGACGCTGCTGCTGTGTCTGCCGATGGTGTATGCGCTCTCGGAGGAGCTGAGCTCACAGGGCCTCTATGTCGTCGGGAGGATCATTCTCTCGTGTCTGGTCATCATGGTCTCGTCCTTGATCCCGATCATTCTCTTCAGCACAAGACTCCTCAAGGTGCTCCAGCACAAGCCAGTCGGGAACGACAACGAGAAGCAAACGCAGAGATCGTCCCCGACTGCCACCAACCGGTCGTCCGTCACAAGCCAAGGCATGGCCAGAGCCTCGATCGTCGCCTATGCTTACGACTGCGGCCTGCAGGGCCTCAAGTTTGGAGGCGCCTGGGTGTCGTCGACGGTCCTGGTCTTCACCAACCTGGATCTGATCGAGATGCGGGAGGCCGACATGGACGGGACCATCCAGGCCAGCTTCCGCTTCTCATCGTGCGAGTGCGAGCTCTGCGACCCCGAGAGCGACCCCGATGCAGAGAAGGTCCTGGCTCGAAGTGTCCGGGTCCGCCGCAACAAGGTGACGTATACACTCGAGTTTGGGTCAAAGGACACCGCCGGCTCGTTCATGGCCAACTATGCCGACGTCAAGGCAAAGGCCGGCACTGCCGCCGTGAAGGGTGTCGGCGGAATCAGCGGCCTTGGAGGAGCCGCAAAGCGAGACAAGACCGTCTTTGGGCTGCTCGAGGCAAGCGTCACCGGCACCAATGAACCCAGAGATCGCAAATCAGCGAACGACCAGTCGGAGTGATCAATGGGCACCGAGCTTGATGGATCGGATGCGGGCCATCCTCAAGCACCACATGGCCGAACTGGCAGGGCACTGCAGAGACCAAAGCCATAGACAGCGAAGCTGATTGGGCTTTATGCAACTAGAGTCGGGGATGAATTGGAGGCATGGAGATTGTCAAGGTAACAACAATCAACGACTTGGGAACAATATACTCCGTCCTCGACAACAATCGCGGCATGGAGATGCATGACCACACTTGGATGTGCCCTGTCGTCACAGACCGGTGCCTTGGCGATGATGGCAATGGATCAGTGGGACATTCCTGGCAAGAATGGTGGCGAGCATCCCGGACAGGCGTTGTCGACGAACAGCCACCAACAGACACACTTCGGTTCAAAGACGACCGTGTTAAACTATTAGTCATCATGTTTTATGGTGAGAAAGGGCGAACCTCTGTTGCTTCTTGATTGGTATATCGCATGTCTATAGTGGGGGAGGGCTACTTTTGTAAAGCGACCCAGAGTTTTGGTGGGCCCAATGGGTTCATCAAAATGTTACTCGATCATAGTCGCAGTTTTCCGAACTACAGTTGCCTCTGCTTTCCACGGCAGAGGGCATTGTGCGGCCTCTGAACACCATCCCTCCATTCGCCGCATCAAAGGACCACATCGATATGAGGCTTTGACTCCATTCCGACACTACTCGGCACCTCCTCACGCACACACACTGGAGAACGCCTGGAAGGGATATGAGAACTCTTGTCGAAACGGGAATAGTCGATTCTCAGATCCCCGCGTTGATTTCGTCCAATAAATCAGACGATGTGTTCATCCGAGCACAGGGGGCAAACTCGGAGGTGCCAGGCCACAGAGGCGGGTCTGCAAAGTGCAGACCACACCCCACTTCTCGTCGAGCCTCAGAGGCTCTTGAGAAGAATATTGCGTGCTCCATTCACGTCTCGATCGATGACGGTGGAGCACTGGTTGCAGTTGAATGTCTTGGCTGCCCCAAGGTCTCTCTTGATGAACCCACAGTGGGTGCAGGTCTTGCTGGTGTACTCTTCACCGACCACCCTGACAATGGTGCCATACTCCTGTGCCTTGCATTGCAGCCAGGTTGCGCTTGCTGATGTGTCTGAAACCATGGTAGTTGAGCTTCGGGATGAAGATGATGTCGTAGTTGGAACAGAGCCACTTGGCTGCCTTGCGATGGAGATCGTCGACCAGGTCTCGGATCCGCTCGTTCAGCCGGGCAATGGCCCGTCGCATCAACTTCTTCTTTCTCCGCTGCTTCTTGGTCAACTTGGCCATCTTGGACTGGACCTTGCCAACACTTCGCTTGAGGTCGTTGATCTTGGAGTATCCACTGACATTGGGACTCCAGGCTGTGACCAGCCCAGAGGGGTCGAAGGTGGTGATGAAATCGCGCACACCAGGATCGACAGAGACAACCCTGAGATCACCCTGAGGAGCTTGGCTTCGCTCCTCTTTGGTAGTGGCTCGGCGACGACAATATACACCTTGTTGGTGCGTGTCTTGATCAGGCGGGTGTCATGGGCCAGGGGGAGAGTGAGTTGCTTGCCTCGCTCGACTCGGTCCTCGGCATTGAGCTTGAAGGGATTGAGTCTGTTCCAGAAGCTGTCACCCTTGACGATCTTGCCCCAGTGCTTCTTGAGCAGGACACAGGACTCTTGGCTGACCCGTTTCTTGCTCGAGAAGTGCATGTCGAATGAGCTGGGGTTGTTGCCTTGGGCTTGCTGGGACAAGTATCGCTGCTGGTTCGAGAACCAGTTCTTGACAAAGTCTCGGACCGAATCGTCGATGAAATCGGCAGCGACACCCGTCTGGCGGATCCAGTGGTCCTTGTCGTAGCAAGACAGGACACCGACTCGCTGTCTCAGGTGTTCCAGGAGGACTGTCTTCTTCTTCTTGGGTGGATGGGGCTTGGGTGGCTCCGGAATCAGGATCTCGCCGAGGTGATTCTTCCACTGCTTGTCGGGGTACTGCTTCTGGAGAGCCTTGCGGGCAGCCATGTATGGCTCTCGCTCTCGTTTCCAGACTTGGAGTCAGTGTGATGGTCTGCTCGCTGGTGGGATGAACTGACTCTGGCGTAACAAACTATGGACCTGGTTGTGATGGGCTGGGTGAGGCAGAAGACTCGCTCAATGTCCCGCACATTGTAGAGTCTGTGTCCATTCTCGTTGGGGCGGATGTATCGCACTTTCCCAGCATCGACCCACTTGGACAGGGTGGATGGGACGAGGCCGAACTGCTTGGTGAGTTTGTGGATGGATATATATTTTTCATCGCTCATGGCAGACAGGGTTGTTGTCGATGCTGGCCCGCTCTTACCCTTGCCCAAGAATCAATATCAGCCTGAATCGATGCACATTATGAACGGGTACTGGCCTGGACGACGAGGATACTCTGCCCCAATTCAGGCTGGGCTCATCCTCGTCGTTTCGTAGTTAGCGGTCAAAATCTATCAGTTTTAAAGTGTTCGTTGTTGTTTTTGAGCCAATGAGTGGTGCTTGATCATTTGGCAAAACGATCGGATCGACCGATAGCGACGAGCGTCATAGTTTGTTTGAAATACACATAAATGGTGAATGGTATGAGAACAGTGTGGATCGAGTCATATCAGATACATGAAAAGTGAAAGCCATAGGATTGCAGGATGGTCTGCGAACCATCTCGAATGTGAGGATGCGGTGTCATAGCCAACGGTCGGTGGGCTAATCTTGACGCTCAACGACGTGCTGTGGAGTAACAACGGACTCGCTTTGGTTTGGATCAAGGCTCTCGACCAGCTGAGACTCTGAGTTGGCGCTCTGGCTTTGGCGCTTTCGATATAGCTTCATGATGGAAAAGCTAACTATGGTCACCAGCCAGTAGACGCAGTACCCAACAACAGAGCCGATGGTGGCAACGTTGTTCCAGCCCAAGAGCGCGTTGAAGATTTGCCAGCCGATGTTGTCGGATGTCTTGAGCATCGGATTGCAGCAATTGAGATACCACAGCGTGGATCGCACATCGACAAGAGGGGTGCCAACGGCACTGTCGGGATCGGCCAAACCGAGGTTGCGGGAGAACATCTGGGCCTCGAGGAGGTAGACGCCCTTTGAGAAGAGACCCGAGCCCATCAGCAGCATCACAGCGGTGCTGCAGATGAAGAACCACTTGAGCTGGATCTTTCGGCCACCCCTAAAGTGGCATCGAGAGGAAGACGAGTGAACCAACGGCGATTAGTTCATGTCGAGCACAAGCCAGCGCATCTCGGCCGATACTCGTGCGCTGCCAGACTGCCCTGTGCCCCGGCGGAGGTACTAGTTGCGACTGTGGCTGCTGCAGCTGGGTCGAAGTACGACACTCACTTGTACATGATGTATCCGATCAGACAGCCCAAAAGGATGCCGCAGATGGTGGCCAGTGGAATAGCCCTGACGTCGTCCGTAAGCGAAACCTATCCGTGGCAATACAGTCGCTGATCAGTTCCTCATCCTGGCTTATGTGGCCGCGGATATCGAGGGAGACGACACAATCGATGAGACTTACTCCGCCGACGATGAGAACACCCTCGACACCTTCACGCACGACCGAGACAAAGGGCAGGAGCATCAGGGCGTATTTGCCCTTGCCCCGCACGGTCGGGCGCTTCTCGTTGGTGTTCAGGGACTTTTCGAGCTTGTCTTTCCAGTGGTCGCGCTTGGACTCGGAGGCCAGCATTGTCAAGCTCATGCCGCCGATCAGGAACGAGGCGATCAGCGAGAAGCTGCCTTCCCAAGCCAGCTCGTTCTGGGACCAGGCATTGGCGCTGTTGGCAGCCAGATAGAAGATGGCAATGAAGACGGCGCCGATGATCAAGCTGACAAGCAGACCCAAGGCCGTTCCGATCCACACCTGAAGAGGAAACATGCCACGCCAATCGGACGGGATATCAGCGAAGCGCAACTCGATCCAAGACACGAGCCCAGGGCCAGGCGTACTCATTTGCAGGCAATGCACAGAGTGCGCCGACGGGCTTACTTGTTTGCGGAGGTGTTTGGAGATGATGGGATCCGGGAACGCTTGGGCGATGAACGTCAGGAGGACCGAGACGATGATGGCGGCCTCAAAGGTCTCGCGGAAGATGACAAAGAAGATGGGGATTGAAAAGTATCCCATGGTGCATCAACTGTGATTCGAGGGGAGGTAGCTTTGGACGGAGAGATACGGAAAGCTGTTCAGCGCAAGAGCAGGATACACTTGGACGAGAACAGGGGAGCGAAGAGTATGAGGAGCGATCCAGGCACGGCCCCAAAGCAAGTGGGAAGCAGAGGGTGCAGAACGCAGAGGAAGGCGATTCGAGTTCGTCGATGCGAGCTTGCAGCCAACTCTGCGCGGATGGTGAAGATGCAGGACCGAGCGGGTGATGGGTGAGGTTTTATGCAGAGCTCGGTGCGGGTGGGCGACCGGACAGGTGCGGACGCCTCGACCGGCCGGCTTTGGTGGCCATGGCAAGGGCCAAATGGCAACCAAGACAAACGACAGCAAAGCCACGCCCGGGGCCAGAGAAAAAAAGTGACTCGGATGGGGTCCTCGCTGGCGATCTCATGGAGGCCCTGGCCAATGGGGGCGCAGCGGACCAAATCAGCCAACGACACCCGGCGGCCAGGCGGCCGTCGCGGCAAGGACGGGCCCAGGCAGGCATACAACTCTGATCGTTGTGCCGCGACCCCATGGCGAGCCAGGCTGCGGGCTCACACGAGCGGCGCTTGTGGGTCGCGGTGCGGATGGTGATGCGCCCCGTGCCCAAGCGCAAAATGGCCGCGGGCGGGTCGCCCCGCCAATCGGCACCACCGGGGCGTGCCGACCAATCGCACCAGGCGGGCGTGTGTGCGGCCGCCTTCCTGTTTAGGCAGCCTGTGGCGCACTGGCTGGCCACAGCGTTGTTTGAACCGACCCCGCAGTCTGTGTTGACTGGCACAGTGCGTTGCTTCTGTGGCGTGTCCGCCTCCCGCTGATTGGCCGCAGTGCTCTGGGTCCGGCGCGCTTTGTCGGTCTCTGCTTCTTCGGCCCGGTTGGTCTGCCGGCCGATCAGCGCATGCGGATATAATCCCATAGCTCGCCCTCGCCATCCCTACAACACATCTCATCCCGCCGCCTGGGCTCCCTGCTTTGCCCCCGCCTTCCCAGCCAGACTGCCATATTCGCACGTCGGCAACGCTGATCTCTGACACCTGCTCCACAGCCCATCCCGAACACTCGATCCCAAACACTCGATCCCAATGGCCAAAGCCAGCACCCTGGGCGTGTGGCTGTTGCTCGCCACTTTGGCCTTCGTCGCCAGAGCCGCAAACGTTACCGTGAACTGGGATATCACCTATGTCTACAACGTCAACCCCGACGGCCTCGCCGCACGCTGGGTGATCGGCGTCAACGGATCGTGGCCGTGAGTACCCGCCGCTGCATTCGCTGGATGTAGTGTCTGCAATCGCTCCCAACCAGTGCTGCACTACTGGCTTCCTCGCCATGCTGGTTCTCATATTCCCGGATGACTCTTCATCGACTCCAGCATCCCCGCCATCAATGTCACCGAGGGCGATCTGCTCATTCTTAGTGTCGTAAGTGTGCATCCGCCCACCCACGCATCTGCTCCATCCATCCATCTGGCTCGGCCGCATCTAACTCGGCCACCACTCGCTTGCAGAAAAACTCCCTCAACGTATCGACGTCCCTCCACACCCACGGCATGTTCCAGAACGGAACAGGATATTATGACGGCGTGCCCGGTGTGGTGCAGTGGTAGGTATATCTGGAATCGCTGCATCGCTGCATCACTGCCGCAATGCATGTGCTGCTATCCAACAGTATCTAGGCACCATCCCGCTCCAAGTGCACCCCATGCACACTCCGTCCGACTTACAATCATATCATTCGGTGCCATCGTCGCATGCTGAAACAATGTCCTGCACGCACCTCTCAGCCCCATTCAGCCTGGCCAGTCCTTCACCTATCGCATCCCCATGCAGCAGCACGGCACCTACTGGATCCATGCCCACTACAAGGGCCAGTACGGCGATGGCCTGCGCACTGCACTCATCATCAAACCCAAGGCCGCCGAGGTATACAAATATGACCAGGAGTACACTGTTGTCCTCTCCGACTGGTACCACACTCCCCATGACGACCTCATGGTGTGGTTCATGAGCCCTTACAATCCCACCGGATCCGAGCCCATTCCAGGTAATGTGCCCCGCCTTGAACATGCTGCTACAACTTCTTCCACACACATCGCAGAGCTACTCACCCCCAGCCTGCATCCAACCCGCTCGCCGGACGCTCCTACTGACTCGTTCCTGTGATTCTCCTTGATCCAGACTCGACTTTGATCAACGACAACTCGGACAACAGCACCTTCGCCATCACCGCCGGCAAGACTTATCGCTTCCGTCTGATCAACGTGTCGCTCATGCCATCGATGTTCATTTCCATCGACGGTCACAACATGACCATCATCGAGGTCGATGGTGTATGTATTTAGTCAGATAGCAGTCCCGCTCTCATTCATCAGACCATTGACGCCTTCCTTCCACCACAATAGATTGATGTTCAGCCGTACACCGTGCAATCGTTCGCCATCACAACTGCCCAGCGATACTCGATCCTCGTCACGGCCCTCAACACCACCACCCAGAACTTCCAGTTCCACGCTGACACTGACCCCAGCATGCTGGACTTTCCCGACAAGTGCACCAAGCCCAATGCGACTGCCACGTTGATCTACAACGCCACAGCTCCGACGGCCGTCATGGATCGTGTGCCCTGGAACATGACCTTCAACGACATGGAGCTGGTCCCGGTCGTCCCAGTCGCCGCGGTTGACCCTGACACATCCTTTGAGCTGAATGTTATTCTCAATGTTTTCGACGATGCCTCCAACCACGCCACTTTCAACAATATTGTCTACGCTGCTCCTCCCGTCACTCCGGCTCTCTGGACTGCGCTGACCATGGGCCCGCAGGCCACCGATCCGACTGTCTACGGTCAGAACAGCCATCCTCTGGTTCTGCAGCATAACCAGATGGTGCAGGTCGTGATCAATAACCTCGATGTCAAGGGCCATCCCTGTGAGTTTGCGACCACTCGACTGTTGATGCTGTGGTGCACTTCGGCGGCTGTTGCGAACCCCTTTTGGCAGTGTCCCGGACGATTTGCGATGCATGAAGAGGGTCCATGGAATGTATGCTGGCTCGATCGGCTCACCAGGCTGCTCTTCTCTCAGTCCATCTCCACGGCCACGTCTTCCAGGTAGTCTTCCGCTCCACCGAGGCGGGGCAGTACTACAACTCCAGCATCGTCATCCCTCCTCAGCCCAACCCTGTCCGGCGCGACACAGTCATTGTTCCTGGCACCGGCAGCGCCGTCTTGCGGTTCCGCGCCGACAATCCTGGCATCTGGTTGATCCACTGCCACATTGAATGGCACTGTGAGTATTGCTTGAGAGTCGGGTGTGAGCACTCCCACCCCCCTGGCGCACAAATCATTGTTGCACTGCATCGAAGCGATGTCTTGTGTTTTGGACATTGGCAGCGCTGTGAAGTGAACCTTGGCCACTTGTCCTGATATTTGATACCCTTTCATGCTCAACAGTCGAGGCAGGCTTGGCCGCCACTTTCATCGAAGCCCCGCTCGAGATTCAGTCCCGCATCGCCGTTCCCCAGGAGCTCAGCAACTTTTGCACAAACAACGGCTTCAAGACCTCGGGCAACGCCATGGGCAACAACGGCACGGACCTGACCGGCTACCAGCTCACGGCGCAACCCCTGAGCGGCAACTTTGAAACCAAGGGCATCATCTCGCTGGTCGTGACCATCGTCGTTGCCTTGCTCGGACTCGGCACCGTCGTGTGGTTCGGCCACCATCAGTAGGCAAGATGGCTCACCAGCGAAAGGTCAACGATCTTTCGTTTATTCCCTCCAAAACACGACCATGACTCATCCGTTCGAAACATGTCACGACTATGATATCTTTCGCAGTTGCGCAAGACCGACTTGCCTCCCCCTATCCTTCACTTGTATATCTATGTACCCCTCTCACCCAATGGAGCATCATTGGTTCATGTTATTCGTCTTCAAAAAATGAACGTCATAATATCGAGCTTTCGAAGGGATGGCATTTGTGTGAAACGAAAAGCGCTGGTGTGTCTTGTCAGATTCAGTCCGGCTCGGGCCGGACTGGGCCGGACTGGGCCAGACTCACCGGTCGATGTGCGATGCAGGCAAGGGCGGACAGATTTGCACCATGCCGATGCCCAGATGATGCCCAGATGATGCCCTGATGATGCCTTGATGATGCCCTGATGATGCCCTGATGATGCCTTGATATGCCCCGATGATGCCCTGCCGACGACATTGCGGCGAGACGGGACAACCTGCGCTCGATTCTGCAGACGACAGTGATGGCGATGGCGATGAGAATTATAGTTGCGATCCATGATCCATCTCGTTGGTCTCGATCACATTGAGCATCTCGCTACCGGCACCCTCGATCGCTTTCCTCAATGTTCACATCTCTTGGTCCATTCAGTTTATTCGGGTTGAATTGGTTCTATTCCACTGAATGCCATCCCCTGCCATTCAGCGACGTGCTCTGCCACTCAGCGAGATGCTCTGCCATTCAGCGAGATGCTCTGCCATTCAGCGACAGTTGATAACATCCCATACAACTCTTTGTGACTCTCTTCCATCTGCTGCCACTCAATACCACCCTCTGTGGGTTGTTGCCTCGTCTTGCAACCTCGTTTTGGCTCCCAGTCTTTGCCACCCCGCCTCGCTCTGTACCAAGGCTGTCGTACCCAATCCCATACCGCCGTCGTGGCGCTGGCTAGTTGTTCTGTGTAAAGTTGTCCCATTCGGCATGCACCGTCGGGGTGAAGCCGCCGTACATTTTGTCCTCCTTGACCGTCGAGATGAACCCGGCCTCGCCGATCTGGAGGTGCCCGATCTCGTTCTCGCACGTATTGATGTCCTCGCCGTACCGCACTATCCGGTTGCCGATGGCCCGGACCGATTTGCGTGTCGTGACGTTGCAGTAGTCGTCGGGACTGGATGTCTGGAACCGAGACAGAGTGTGGGCGGTATCAAGAGCAAATCGCATCGGATGCTGGAGCGCTCGGCGGGCCTCCGTGAATCCGGGCGTCTTGATGGTCGCCCGCATCGTCACCCAGTAGATGATCTCGGCAACCTTGCTCAGGATCGCCGTTATCGAGCCGATCGCTGCGATGATGATCGGGAGCGACGGGATCGACAGCATTCCGGCTCCGGCAAACCCGTAGTAGTCGCAGTTGACCGTCAGCGACGGATTGTACTGCATGATGGCGTAGTGTGCCGACGCTCCGATCCCGACGGCCACGCCCCGATACATGGCCTCGGTGTGGTAGTATCCGTCAGGATAGGTTGCCCACGAGAGGTAGTTGCAGAAGGTGGCGCCTTGGGATGGGTAGTAGCTGGCGTTGAGGACCGACTGGAAGACGCTCTGGCGGATCAGCGGCAGCACTCCGTAGCTGTCGGTGGTCTCGCGGAAGGCCAGCTGGGCCGTCCGGGCAAAGCTCGACGGCGATGTCGGATAGGCCACCGAGAACGACCTCGAGGGACTCGATGCTGCCACCAGTCGACCGCCCGTCACCATCGACCACTGGTCCGACACAAAGCTGTACTGGATGACTCCGACTCCGACCTGGACAAACACAACGCATTCTTGCTGGAAGGTCGAGTTGACGACGGTCTGGGCAATGTCGTCAAAGACACTTCCTGCCGGGAGCGTGACGCTCATCTCGAGCATGAATCCGCGGCTGCTGGACGAGAGGACCGAGCTGACGATGTTGGAGGCGCCGTTGGTGTTGATCGAGGGCTGCGGCTGTCCGTCGTCGCACTCGGCCTGGATGATGTAGACCGGTCCCTGGCCTTCGATCGTGAACGAGTCCATCGGATTGTTCATTGGCCAGCCGGCCCAGGCGCCGATGATGCCGTCCGACAGCGGTAGTCCGTAGTTGTAGACGGTGGCAAAGTCGGCGTCGCCCTGGATGAACTGCTGGATGGCAATGTTGGGCGACAGAACCGAGCCGATATAGTTTGGCGGATTGCATGTTCCCTGGAGCAGGAAGGTCTCGGTGGCGTCCCACACGAACGAGATGCTGCATCCAATCAGGATCAGCTCCGAGACAATCTCGATGAGGCAGCTGATCTGGATGATCTTGTAGCCGGGGCTCCTCTTTCCCTTGACCCAAAAGTCGGCAATCTCGGCCACGGTGATCTTCCCGCGGACCAGGTCGCTTGCGGTCATCGAGAGCCGGATGATGTCGGAGATGCGGGTGCTGGCATGGTGGGCCAGCAGGGCGCAGGCAATCACAAACAGCTGGAGAAAGTTGTAGACCCAGATCCCGGGCATGACGGTGTAGAGCGCAATGATGAAGATTCCCGTCACGAACGTGTGCGCAACAACCGCAACCGCCAGCCATGCCATGATCTGCGTCACCTCGTTCGACAGGAACTTGATCGTTTCCTTGAAGGCGGACGAGTTCATGGCTGCCGTTTTGACTTGCTTCAGGAGCAGCAAGACGGGATGGGCCCGGCCCAAGCTCTCTTGGGTCGATGTCCTGCGAGACCAGCGGCCCAGGCTCGGATTCAGCCAGACGTTCGCACTCTCGGTCTTGACGACCTTCTGGATGAATTGCTGATTACTTGTCTTGCCCATGTCTGTTCCCACCGCCAATGTGGTCCTTCCAAGCGAGAGGAATTTGTTTTTCTCATTATTCAGTGCTGGGCGTAGAGTTGCTCCCAACGACGCCTGACTTGCATCATAGCCTTGGTTCTCGTCACCGTTGTTACGTTGCTTCTGATGCTCCTGCGCCATTCCGTGCTATCACGTCGAGCAAGCCTCTTGCCGATATATAGGCGGTTATCGCTGGCTGAGGGGCGGCGATTTCTTGGGTTATGTGATCCAGAGACCCAAAGCCAGGGCTGAGCCGTGGCTCAGCATCGACTCGTACCTGATCAGCTTTCCTCGCTTTGAGCTGGCGTTGCTGAGGAACAGGTGCAGGGTCACCTTGGGCTGTCCCTGTTCAATCAATTTACCCAGTCGGGATCCATCCAGTCGTGATTGCCTGACGTATGCGGTGCTCCGCAGCAAGTGGACACCCCCCGCAGCCTGTCCATGTGAATCACACTGAGCAAGTATCGAATTTCTCCGCACGCATGTTCAAATACCGCTGCATTGAACGTTTCGAGCCCCACCTGCACACCCGATGCAGCCTGCTCTCAACCCCGGCTCTCGCTGGCCAGAAAGGAGCACTTGCCATCCAGCCGTCTCTCCCTGTCAAGCATTCGTTGCTCATCAGCGTGAGGAAATGCGCAATGTTCACATTGAACAAATCAAAACGGAATTCCTGTTGTTTTATCAGAGTTATGGCATTGTCCAGAACACAATGCGAGCTGGAGCGTCGGAGGGCAACGACACAGGGAGCTGAAGTGAATATTTGCGGCTTCTGTTCTTCACAAACAACTACTCCGAACCTTGTCAACGTCCGGTGCAAGTTTTGATTGTCCGTTGCTAGAGGCACAGTTGGGACATTTACAGGCAATCCAATAAAAAACGGGACACCCGGGTTTTTGACCATTCATCGAATATTTTGTTACCCAATGTTATCGCGTGCTGGCCATGACCATTCGCCACACATCCGACTTTCGCACCGCCGCATTGCGATGCTACGCCCTCATCCATAGCCTGCGTAAGGTCGCCTCCATATTCAGTGTATCCAAGAGCACCATCCATCGATGGCACCGAGGATGCAAGCTGGATGACCCATCCCGGGTCCCAGCTCGCAGATCCACTTTCTTCGAGCAGGCATGTCCAGTCATTCGCACCCTGATTGAACAGGACCCGTTCCAGACTGGTCCTGTGTTGCGATGCAAGCTCGAGTCCATCCTCCAGAGGAAAGTATCACTCTCACTCTGCCACACTGCCATCCACCGAGCAGGTCTCTCAGACAAGAGGGCAACACACCTCTCCAAGTCCAAGCGACTGGCACAGTTCAGGGACCAGGTCCGCTCCATCGACCCGCGGCGATTCGTTTTTGTCGATTAGACAGGGATCAGGAGATCCATTTTCCCTCTCTACGGATACTCACCGAAGGGTGCTCCTCTTCGCCAGCGCAATCACATGAAACACAAGTCTGTCTCGGCTGCATTTGCCATCAACCACTCTGGTGTGCTGCATCGCATGTACATCCCCACATCATTCAAGACACACTCGATGGTCGAGTTCTTTGAGCGAGCGAGCTTCCCAGACGACTCTGTGATTGTGATGGACAATGTCAGCATGCACAAGACAATGGCTGTCCTGGACTGCATCGAGCGCCGAGGATGGTCAGTGATCTTCACCCCATCTGCTTCACCCGACTTCAATCCCATCGAGAACTTCTTTGGGATTGTGAAGCATCAGTACAGGAAGGTGGCAGCGCTGAATGCGTCCGAGGGGTTCAAGATCGGGATGGTGACCCTGTTTGAGTCTGCCGTTCGGAGGGTGCTTCCAGATGTCTTCCCACGGCTGATTGAGCGAGCGATGCGCTTCTGGGGTTGAGCTCCCCAATCACGCCGCCATTTTCACGCTCAAATCCCTGGCTTGAACCTCTCGGCGATTTTTGAACAGGGTCACTTCCCCAACCAGCCCGCGCAGACGGGTTCCTGCTCTCGGGTATAAATGCCACACCTTCGTCCTGCTGCTTTCTTCCCTCATCTCGCCTTGATCGGATCATCGCGCTATTGTACGATAAAAAAGTCTCTGCTCTGACCAGTACCACTGGCAGGCATCCAGCATCCTCTGCCCCCATGCCTCCGAAGCGTAAGGGTACCGGTGATGGCCAGCCTCGGCCACCCAGGCCCAAGAAAGCCAAGTCACAGTCGGAGCCTGTCTCTGGTTCGTATTCTGATCCCACGCATGCTTGTTTCTCTGTTGCTCCGTCGCTCACCACCACTGCTTCTGCAGATCCAATGGATGTCGATCCCACCGAGCCTGGTCCCTCATCTGGTCCTGTCAAGCGATGTCGCAAGTGTGATGGTACCGATCACGAGCGAAGCAACACTAGCAAGTGTCCCGAATACCGGCCCCTCAAGAGTTCTGTCGTCCCACTCGTGGATGGAAGGTCATCCGCCCCTCAGTTCAGCTGCTTCAAGCAGACGATGGATGGCTGTTGTCTCAATCCCGCTCTCCGCGACAAGATCCAGGCCACCGTCGAGGCCATGACCCAGATCCAGTTCGAGGCATCCAGGCTGCTCAACCTGCACATCCTCCGGTGCATCGAGCAGGATCTTCCCGTCCCCGTCATCTCCAAGTCCACCCCTGCTTTCATCCGCCAATGCTTTAAGATCGTCCAGGCCGGTGCCCTCTCCCCGACCGGGGACAATGAGAAATACAACGAGCATCTGGTCGCTTCCTTTCGCGACTACCAGACCACTCGGCACGCAGACCTGCCTCCGGCCCCTTGTCTGCCTGATGGTGCTCACAGTCAGCTTCTCACACTGGCTGTCAATGCCTATGCCACCAACTGCACCACCCACCTCGACCTGGCCTACTGGCGACTCCTTCGCCGCTTCTGCGCTGCCGTCTTCCCAGCCAACAAGCATAAGCACGACGCCATCGAGGCCTGTCTCGAGCTCTTCGAGAAACCAGGGCAGACTCCACCCAAGGCCGATCTCGAGTTCCTCTATCCAGACTTTGGCCACGTCCTGGACGAGTTTCGGTACAGCAACGACCAGGACCGCTTCCGGGCCCTCCACCGCCTCTCACACCATGTGGGTTTCCTTGCCCGGGACAAGATGCAGGACGATGTCCACAAGTGGATCGACTGTGACATGCCCGCCCTCCGAGTCACCGAGCTGCAGCGCCAGGCCAAGCTGGACGAGCTCACTGCCAGAGGCATTCCCTCCGACGACAAGAGGTTCACCAAGGCCAAGTCTGAGCTCGGCACCACCAAGGCCAAGATCAACAAGCTGGCATCCAGGATCAACTGGGCACTCAAGCAGCTCGCTCTCGACACTCCTCCGGCCGTGTGCACGATGGTTCCTCTATGCACTGCCACGGCCAAATACATCAAGATCGACACGGTCACTCTCTGGCAACTCCTGGGTCCAAAGAAGCGCCTTGGACTCACCAGGGACATGCTCAAGGAACAAGGTGATGACGGTGTCAACAACCAGGATCGTCTCTGGCGCAGTTGCTTCAAGCTGCGTAGTTCCCTCTTCCAAGAGCGGGTCAGGGACAAGAAGCTGTTCAACTACGAGATCAGCACCGATGGCATTGGATGCACCATCGGTCTCGTCAAGTTTCTGCCTCGAACCGATCGCACCGAGACCTCCGAGCCTCCTCCGACTGCCGAGCAGCGCATCCAGGCCCACATCGGCGACCCAAACCCCGATCGCACCACTTGGATTGGCATCGATCCTGGAGTCGGCTCCATCTTCACTGCGGTCATCCAAGCACCGGGCCACCAAGACGAGGTGGTCTCATTCTCGAATGGTCACTACCAGCACATGTGTGGCCATACGTCCAACACCAAGTGGCACAACACCATGAAGTATCGACTCAGCATCGAGACCTGGATGTCGACCACCCCCTCGCCCAAGGTGTCGTCCTCGGAGGCTTTCAAGGTCCATCTCACCCATGTCCTGCGACCGGAGCTACGAGTGCAGCTCGACTTCCACCTTGGCAAGAAGGCCCGTCACCATCGCTTCACGGGCCACAGGAGACGCCAAGTGGCCGTCGACAGGATGTGCAAGGCCGTCCTGAGGCACGCCCCGATACGGACCGATGTGGTGATCGCCTTTGGCAATGCATCATGGCGACAGGGCAAGGGCTATGCATCCAGCCCTCGGAGGCAGCGGTTCGCTCGGTACTTTGAGCAATTCGAGCACCACCGACGCCGTCCCAATCACCATCATGGAAGCGTCAAGGTGGCCTCGACGAACGAGTTCAACACCTCGCAAGTGTGCTCCAAGTGCCTGGAGCCAGTTCGGTTGGAAGGACTCGATGCGCCCAGTGTTGCGAATTCCCACTTTGTCAGGAGCTGCAAGAATCCCAGCTGCCGGACAGTGTGGAATCGCGACGTCAATGCGGCGCGCAACATGATCACAGTGTGCAGGTCGATTGTGGAGATCGGAGAGCGACCGGCGGTCTTCACTCGGAGGCTGCCAAAGTGATTTGATTTATTTCTTGTGGCTTTGCTTGACGCAAGCACAGCACATACTACATGTTCATGGAAACGGCTATATTGTCCCGTTTTTTCTGAATAAAGTGTAACCCTCCAAATGTAAGCCTGTGTGTTTGTTTGATGAAGATTTCGAATGTATATTGCTTGCGATGCATGTCGAAAAGGTGAGTTCACATGTTCAATAGATGTTGGTGCTGTTTGCCAAACGAAAGGAGTCATTCTAGAGCCCACATCATCATCATCGTCATCATCAGCCACGCACGTCCTTTAGCTGGCGAACTTGAGGGTGCCTTCCAGGAAGCCCAGAGCGTCGTCGAGGGATACATGGTCGCTGATCCACCTGAGGAGCATACACACAAGGGTGATTCAGTAGGGAGGTCATACACACAAATCCGGGTCTCGCTCTGCCGCTTTGATCCAGGATAGCCCCTCTTGTTCGGTTTGCATCCATCTGCTCATGACATCAAAATTGCATCTGGCTCTCGCGCGCTTTACCGTCTTGGCTTCACCGTGAGCGAATGTCGCGAGTCGAGCTGCAGGTCAATCAGATTGGGGTCTGAAGCGCCGGGACTGAAGCCGATCCTCAGCGAATACTCGCGAGGGACCTCAGGCGCTTCGCTCGATGCTAGTCCGCGTGTGCGTTCGTAAAGCTCAAAGCTGATCTGAGTCATATCTGTGGTCAAAGATAAAATAACGCAGCCCCATTCACATAGAAATTTCACAAATGCGCGATGGTGTCAGTGCCATGCAGCCATGAGCGAGACAGCCCCTCCCGATAGTGATCGATGCATCAGCTCAAGATTCATGTCGCTGTGCTTACAGTCGAGTTCGCAAACTTCCGAGTGCGCGACCTTGGTGGGCAGCCCGGAGAGCAGAACAACGTTCAAGAGCGAAATGACCTTGCTCTCCTTGGTGAAGTACAGGCAGGTGCGGGGCTGGGTCGAAGGCTGGGTAGCGTCCTTCAGGTCCTCCAGGATCTCCCTAATCACCGCCTGTGCATTCAGCACACCAATCTCAAGCTTCTCCTTCTCCTGTGGCGATCCAGGAAGGGCAAAGGGGCAAGAGTGCGAGTCTTTGGTTACCAAGTAGCTCGCGCATCGAGCTGTCAAAATGCCGGTGACTATGCATGGGTTGACTGCCGACGTGTAGCTGCAAATGATCGAGAGACAGGGAGGGGTCGATGCACCACAATCGTGCTCCAGCGCCATCCACGATGTTCCCCGCATGTACCGTGATTCCGTATTCTAGCGTGGCAATCACATCAAACAGGAGTTTGGCCTTGTCATAGAGCTGCTTCAGCACGTCGCGACCGTACTTGGGCGACGAGAAGATCACTAAGGAAAGGCCATGGTGATGAGCAGGTGGATATGGTTCCGTGCGTTGGGCCAGTTATGTTGTACTCTTCGCGGACGACTGTGGACGACTGTGGCGTTGCGGTGCATGGGCGCACTCCAACCAGAACACCCCAGCGGCAGCTTCGACTCACCCTCGATAAACTCGCGGTTGTGGAGGAGATCGTATTTGATTGAGTCATAGAGCTCCGAGATCTTGGAAGGTTCGAACGCAGTCCTCTCCACATCGCAAAAGTCGCGGAAGAGTTTCTCCCATCGTTCCTGGACAGGCATGCGAAAGGCGAGGACAAGTCAGATATCATCGCGGAGGGGAGAGTAAAGGCGCGAGAGGTGGTATCATCTGCAAATCCAAGCGGCTGCTTTCTTAATGGGTGTGGAGACGAGCGGTGGGGAGGGATGCCAGTGTGGTGGACATACCCGGAACAGGAATGGTGACTCGTTACAGCACCAGCGCGCTTGGATCTTCTCGACATCGTGATTTGCAAAGTTGGTTCTGAGGATCTCGCGGAGAAGGCTCAGGATGTCGATAACCTCCTGGGTCAGAATGACGGGGTCCTCGGCGCCTTCGGGCAGCGCCAGCGTGGCGGGCAGCTGATGGTCGGGCTTCCCAGGGTTGATGATGGACTGCAGCTCAACCTTCACGGCCTCGGTCTGCTCCTTGGCTGCAACGCTATCGTCGAGCATCTCCTTGCTGACCTTGATCATGTCGTCCGGGATGTTGACGAGGTTCAAGAACGCTTGCACAAACACCTGCGCCGTCGCCAGCACTCGGCCCTCGGAGCTGCTGAAGATCTTGACGTTATCCAGGACTTCCTTGTTGATGATGACGAGGTCCTTGCGCAGATTCTCGCCCAGATCTTTGCTGTGGTGACGACCGCCGTGGGTAAACTCACCACCCCACTTGACAATCAACTGAACCTTCTCGAGAGTCCGGGGCTCTTTCTTGCTGAACGAAGGCTTGACCTGGACCTTGGTTCCGGCTAGCTCGCCCTTGGCGGAGAGAATCATATTGAGCTGCTCCAGGGATGTTTGATCATCTAGGCCCTCCTTCAGAGCCATCTGGCAGGCTTCGCCAACGATCTTGAGCTGCTCGGGCTTCTTGAGGGCAACCTCCTCCTCTCCGCCGTTGAGGAGATCAAGGAAGTGCTTGCTCTTGAACGAAAACTAGATCGTATCCCATGGACGGCTGTCAGCGGACTATGCAGCACGACACAGAAGCCAGCCAGACGCAGCCGATGCTGCATGGCCACATACCTTGAGCTTCTGTTTGGGTGTTCTGTCGCCGTGACGGAGCACCGAGAGGAAGGCCTTGAGTTTCCAGCGGCTGGAGTCGCTCGCTTGGCGGGAGATGACGGCCTGGCGGTTGTAGGTCCATCCGGCCGTTTTGGTCACCGTCAAGAACAGCTCCCGCAGGATGCTCGCACACTTGTCGTAGTAGTCGGAGTTGCCCTTGACAAACGACCAGCCGTTGACATCGATGACGTAGGACTTGCCGTTGGCTCGGAGCAGATCGAACCCGCAGATTCGCTGGCCGAACGCCTTGGCGACCTTGGTGGCGATCTCCTTTTCCTCGTCGCTGAGCGGGGTGATGTAGCGCACTTCCTTGCCCTCGGCGTTGCGACGGACGACACCGTCGACGACAGGCGATCTGTGGATCATGGTATCGATGCTGTTAGCGAGCCCAGGCTACAGCCGCGATGGCAGACCTTGCCGTCAGAGTGCCAGGATGCAACCACGCACACCACGCACGCCAGGCACCATTCGCTACCCGACTCACTTTCTGGTCTCGGCATGGGCATAATTCTCGCCGATGGTGTAGACCTTGACGTCCTCGGCATTGTCGACGGCCATGAACTCCTCGTAGATAAAGTCGCCATCGGCTCGGACGGTCTGAAGGGACTCGACGTATTCACTGGATTTGTTGCCGACCTGTAGCATGGCGATGCCAAAAGTCATCGAGGGAGGCAACACATCGACACGCCGATATGTCAATACACCAATACACCAATACACCAGCGCATCGATCTATCGTCTCTGCAACCCATCCCGATCTCGCCGTCTCTGCACGACGGTTCCGCGAGCCACACAGGCTGCTTGACGATACCTTTCGGAACAGGCGCCGGGCACCGCCGCCCATGCTCTGAGGATAGTAAATGATGATGTTGTGGTCTTCGCCAGAGACAGGCTTTTCGACAAAGGGCTTCTGGAGCGTCTCGCCATAGACACGGATGGTGTCTGGGTCGGGCTGCTCGATGACGGGCTCGCTTGACCGATGGAAATGCGTTTTCAGATCCAGGCCGGTCTCCTGTTGGACGCGGTGGATGACATAGTCCGAGAACTTGGGGATCGTGGTCTGGCTGCCGGTGTGCAGCCGCTTCGGGGTCGGGACGCCGACCGAGTCCAAGATCTCGAGCACGACCCGCCGGTCAAAGAAGACGTCCTGCATCGGCAGGTCGTTGACGCAAAAGGGCTTGCGGAGATTGACATAGTTGATGGCCTTCTGAAGCGGGAAGTCGGTCGAGAAGAACGAGATCAAAAAGTCGCAGATTGGCCAGTTCTCGATGTCTGGTGCGATCGAGCCGATCCAGCAGACGATGGTCATCATCCGAGCGAGTCATATCGGTTGAAAGGGATGTTCGAGTCGAGCGATATGTTGCAATATGGAGGCGGCCATCGCAGTTGGGTCGATGGCAACGCCGCATCAAGTGGATTACACCGTGAAGCAATGCCGATATCGAACTCAAGTCAGCAACACTCCATTGGCGATGGGACGACAGAGACCCAAAGCGACGAGAGCAAGGCAGATCGACATCCCCGCTGGCGGATACGATCGTTCCTCCATCACAGCCCTCCAAACGACTCCCTGTCGGTTCTGTTTCAACCCAGCAAAACACGCCGGTTTGCTCACCTTCATCGAGAATGACTTTGTCGCCAAAGACAACCACCTCAAAGTCACCGGCAGCAATCAGCCGATTCAGGATGTTGCGCATGGGCTTGGAGCGAGCTGGTGGATGCAGCGGAGAAGGTGGTGAACCCGGGTCAGCGTCGAGTCCTGGGTGCTGCTTCTACTTCTGCATCTGCATCTGCATCTGCTTCTGCCTCTGCTCTGCCCTGTTCCGCCGAGCATTGTCCTGCCCTGTCCCGCACCCTCCAGCGCCCTGTTCTCGACTGTCCTCTCGCTCGAGATGGCTGCTCCCAGAGTTAAACTGGTGCCAGTATGGTTGGCTCTGGTCGGATCAGGATGGCCCAGCGACAGGGTGCAGCAAGGTCCAGAGGGACTCTTGCGGGCTCGATCCGACAATGAGGCAACGTACCCTTGGTGTCCATGGCACATACTCCGATGACATCTGCAGGTCCATCCGTGGATTGGTGCGGAGCCGAAGCCGGAAGCCGAGGGATTCGTTTGACGACGAGATGGAGAGGTGGGAGAGAGAGTGAGAGAGACAGAGACCCGAGTGGGAAAGGGGCGAGAGGTTGTGATTAGTTGCTGCCGTCCTGTTGCCGCTATTCAGCTGCGGCCATCTAGTTGCCGCTATTCAGCTGCCGTAAGCCAAGCGCAATGGAGGAGTGGTTGCCCTCCGCCGATTTCGGCGTCGATGTTGTCGGCAAACGGAGCACCCCAGCGCCGGAGGGGCCGCAGACAGCCAAAGCAAGAGCGAGCCATTACACATTACGAAGGGTGGAATTGCACAGAGGGAGGGACAGGGGGGGGGGCTTAATTGCAGCTCCCGCGGGGCAAAGGAGACGGTGTCGGAGCAGTGAGGGGGGCAAGCACACAAATCAAGGCCGGATCGCCGTCGGAGCGATCGCAGGCGGGCAAAGGACAGGGCTGGGTTGGAAAGCCACAGCGCAGGATGCAGTGGATGTCGAGGCCAGCAGGCACGGACACAACTTTAAGGGTGGATCCCTTTGGCGGGAGCAGGCTCTGTGCCAGCGCTGCGACTGGGGAGAGGTCGACAGCGATGCCCTGGCCAGGCCATGGGGGCTGGTGCAAGCGATCTGCAGGAAGGGAGTCTGGGAAGGGAGTCTGCCCGGGCACTGAATGCCGATGCAGCGCCGCTCCGACAGAGCAATGCAGCATGAATGCAAAGCGGGTGGGGGTGAGAGAGGCAGCAGCCCGAATTGCATGCCGAATTGCATGCCGAATTGCATGCCGAATGGCATGCAGGACGCCGAGGCAAAAGGTAGGTTCCAATGATCGAGGGAAAGAATGGGCTCGAATGAATGCGGACCCGGGAGGCCCCAATGGGTGTGGAGTCGGTGGGCTCGGATGGGTGCGACTCCACCGGATCCAAGCAAGCGCAGATCGACACTCCCGAACGAGCGGCGGAACGGGCTATTTACAGCGAGGCGGGTGGGTCGAATCGTCCATGATTTTGATCCTTTTGGCCGACGGATAGGAGCAATCGCACATTCCTTGGGAGGACGGGGTGAATCGCAGAGGCAGGCGGTGGGAAACCAGGGCAGAGCGAGACCTGAGCGCAAGTCGGGACGATCGGCGGACTGCCACCCCACCGACTTTTTTTTCTCTCTCTCTCGTGCAGCCCACTGTTGCATCGCCCGCACCGGCCGCATCCACTCGGGTTCGCTTCCAGCAACAGCCATTCCTGTTTGCGCAATCGCTGCGACAGCCCCCACCCGGCTCGTCGGGGCACACGGCTTTGTTTGTTGGTGCCGCAGAGGCCGTGGCTGTGCGAGATTCGGTCCCACAGAACGGGGGAGGCAGTGGAGGCGCTGCTAGATCGCCACGGGCCGGATCAGATACAGGCGTCGTTGTTGTGGAGGCACCTGGTTCAATCAATCTCGACATGCACAGCGCCGTCGGCGCAGACTCTGGCTACGCTACTTTGCCGGAGACAGCCGGCTGAACACCGTCGGCGTAAAGTCCACCCGGTTCTCCTCCTTGACCTTGGTCTTGCAGTTCTCCATCACCTCCTTGATCGTCGCCTTGTCGAGGTCGTCGCGCTTGAACAGCACGCTCTCGATAAAACTCAGCGGCACATCCGGATACGAGCGGTACAGCGAGTAAAAATCCAGAAACACCATGCGCGGATTGCTCTCGATAAAGCCAATGATTTTCTCGACAACCTCGAACGAGGTCTTGACCCTCTTGGCGGTCTTGAACTTGCTCAGCGTCAGAATGAGCGAGTCGATATCCGACTTCATCTTGTCGATCGCGACTGCCATCTTGAACTTGGCCGACTTGTTGCGCAGTGTCTCGATCCACAGCAGCACCACCTGGTCCATCATGTCCGTCACAAACTTGGAAAACAGGTATTCGGCCATGCGCTCTTGAAAGTCCGTCAGGTAGTCGTCCAAGGTGGCCGTGATCAGCAGCATCAGGTTCTGCTCATACCACGCCGGGCAGTGCATCTGCACCAGCGCCGGCTTGAGGTCCAGCGAGATGATGCTGATGACAAGTGTGTAGCACTTCTTGGCCAGCTTCATGCAGCTGTCCGAGCTCTGCTTGATGCGGCTGAGCGCCTGGGTCTTGAACGGCTCGTCCAGGAGACCCTCGACCCGCCCGCTCATGGTGTCGGCAAACTCGGTGCTTCGCAGGCAGTCGTTGGCGAGCGCAACGAGGTAGTCCGGCAGTCCTTCGCCCAGCTCGGGATCTTTCTCGCAGAAGCGCTGGAACTCGCGGTCGGCAACGTCGCCCCAATAGACTCCGTAGCGGTCCAGAGCCTCGCAGCACTCGGCTATCACGTCGAACATGAGCGGTCCGCGCGACGACGTCATCACAATGTCGACCTGCTGGTTGAACATCTGGAAGACAATGACCGACCCCGAGAGCAGGTACGTGCCGTTGTTCTCCGTCTCGGGCGCACTCTGTCGCCGCAAAAAGTCCTGCGTCTCGCGGGACAGCAGGTTTTCGAGCCACTCGGCAAGCTTGGTGCGCACCAGCCGGATGTAGTCCTCAAACAGGGCTTCTTCGCGCCCGTCCAGCAGACGGGGCTCCAGCAGCTCCTCGCCCACGCCCAGGCGGCCGCTCATCGAGTCATAGTAATCACGTACCCACTTGAGCAGCTTGAGAATGGCGCCGCCCTCCATGGGTCCGCTGACGACCTTGTTCAGGAGGTCGTAGATGTTGCGGTGGTACTCGAGCACAAAGAACTGGAAGATGTTGTATCGTTTGGGGAAGCAGGGCTCGAGGTCGTCGTGGATGACAACCAAATCGTCGATGAAGCCGTCGCATCCCGCCAGCAGCTTGGTGAGATCGCTCCTGTTGTTGGTGAGCAGCTCCTCAACCCGGATGCCAATCTCTTCGCGCAGGACGTCGATACACTTGATGCGGTACGACTTGATGTGCCGCTTCGGCACCAGCTCGTCGTTTGGATCGACCGAGTCGTGCTCCTGTGCTTCTTTGACCGACTCTTCTTCGTCGGCGCGCTCCTCGGTCTCGATGATCTTGACGATTCGGACGATCGCGCAGCTGTGGCCCTTCTTGGCCAGATCGACAATGTGACGGACCAGGCTCCAGAAATACATGTCAAAGGACTCTTCGAGCACGTCGACCTTGCGGAAGTAGTTGCTTAGGGTCTGAATAGCCTCGGCACCAGAGCCGCGGGCCTTCTTGAGGGCATCGCCGCGAAACTCTTGCAGCTTAAAGAGATGATAGTGGATCAGCAGCAGGTTGTCGGCCGGACCCAGAATATCGCGCAGGTCGTCGTCCAGGAGACCCTGGATGCGGTTGACTTGGCTGTTGAGTTTCTGGAACTGCTCGACCATGTTTTTCGTGGTGATGAAGTTGCGGTGGGTTTTGGATATCTGTGGCGGGAGCAGCAGCCAGGTGCACGGGACAGAGGAATCGTGGCGATCATCAACATGACTGGCCACCACCACCATCACCACCACCATCACCGCATCACCATTGGCAGCGGCCGCGAATATGCATCTATGGATTGGCAAGTCCCTCTCTGGAGCCCAGAGCAGACGGCCGCGCTTAGAAGGACGCGTTTCGACTCACCAGCTTGATCTGCTCATAGTTCTCGATGGTGTTCTTGGCGTTGGCGCAGAGCTTGTCGGTCTCGAGCAGATTGGCCCGGATGACCATCGTCTCGTCCATCGAGGACTTGAGGGTCTCGAGACCAAGGTTGGCATCGTCAAGCTGCAGCTCCATTGCCGTCTTGAGCTGGGCGTCGATCGATGCCCGCTCGAGCTGGAACTTTTTCCGGACCATGGCGAGCTTGTTGGCGAGGTCGTCGGGGTGCTTGAACAGATCGCAGATCCGGAGGATGGCGGCGTCGGTGGCGTCTTCGAAGAAATCCGTAACCATGCTGCCCTTGGGGCCTGGACTGGCGACAGAGTTCTTTTTGGCGGCCGACGGCCTTTGCGCGGCGGATCTCCTCGCGTGGAGGTTGAGGGCAATGACGGACTCGCTCATGGATGCCATGGCGGTGGACGCGAAGGCTGAGTCGGAGGACGCGGAGATGGGTTGGGCGAAAGCGAGCTTGACCAAGATGGGGACGGAGATGGAGACTGGCAATCAGGCACACAGGTGAGTAGTGGTGCTGGAAAGGCCAGGTTCTGAAAAGGCCAAGTGCAGCCCGGGCGACTGAGATTCCCGGCCAAGCGCAATCGATCAAGTGCCCCCGTGGGAAACGCAGCGCCAACCGGGAGGAGTGCCGCACGGGCGCGCACCGGTGCACCCGCGGCGCGCCCGCGTCACGGAACGTCATCGGAACCGTCGCGGCGTTTGCTTGTCGGGACAGCTCATCATCGATCTCGACACCTCATCGCCGCTCTCGGCACCTCTGCATTGATCTCACCATCTCGGCGCCGATCTGGACACCTCAGCATCGATCTCGATATCCCAGCATTGATATCGACACCCTTGAGCTGATCTCGATACCTGTTTATTGACATCGATACCGCCGCATCGGCCGATACACTTCACCCCCTCCCTCACCCACCCCATCCCAACTGAGACACATCGCCCCGACGTCGTCTGGACATCTGGCCTCATCATGCTCCGTCAAGCCTCTTCCGCGGCACTGTCGCTGCTGGCCACTCGGCCATCCGTCGCCTGCTCCGCCGTGCTTTTGCCTCGCTCGTCTGCCGTGCTCGGCGCCCGCACCATCACCGCCGCGTCTCCACGGGCATCGGGTCTGTTCGAGGGCCTGGTGAGCGGATCAAGGAACTGTCTGGCCAAGGCAATCACTTTGGGTACGCTATCGTCAGCGCCGCTTCAGCTGCTCCATTCGCATCATCAGTATCGCCTACGCGCTGGTTGGTGGGTGGAATCCTGTACCCCAGGAGAGGGTGCATCGAATGTCCCATCAGCCACCCTGTGTGCTATGTCCTCCGTCTCGACAACTGCCCTGGTTACTCATCTCTCTGCTCTGCTTCCTGCATTGCATCGCGCCGCCAGTCGAATCCACTCGTTACGATGACAAGGACGATGCCTCAGAGCTGCTGTCCATGGTTCTCCGCAGCTCCAGCATCCGCCAGTACAAGACCCAAGACAACTTCAAGTCCACCTTCCGCATCGGTCTCTCTGGTGAGCACAATCGCCCAGCCCAGGTTGACGCACTCATCCGTAGACTCACCCTTGGCTCCCACGACTCGCGCATACAGCACATCACTGATGGCGTGCTTACCTAGCCACTCTTCACCTCGTGCTTTGCGACAGGTGCACCTGGAGTCGGAAAGTCCTCCTTCATCGAGCAGTTTGGTCTCTTTCTGATAGAGCGAGGCCACAAAGTCGCTGTGCTGGTCAGTGTCTGAGTACATGGCTCGGCAATCTTTCCAAGCCAGGCGGCATGTGCGAGTTTGGACATGGGTGGAGTCGGATGTCTTGCCTTGCCGTCCCGTAGCTGGACTTGGCAGCGATATCCGCCCATACCTGTTGCAGCGCTCCATCGTCTTTGGCTGTGATCCGTTTCTCACGCCGAGCCTCTGTCTTTGCCCAATTGTGTGCCGATGCTCCAACCACAGGCCGTCGACCCGTCATCTGCCCGGACAGGCGGCTCCATCTTGGGTAAGCCGTCGGCAAGAGCCATTCCACCAGATTCCCTTCTGCTCTATCTCTCTCGCTGCCATCGCCGCCTCGTGAGCGACCGTTTCTGTGACTGCTGCGTTGATTTGGTCTCACCAAGCGTATGCTCCAACCACAGGCGATAAGACTCGCATGGAGTTCCTCTCCCGCCACGACGATGCATTTGTTCGCCCATCTCCGAGCAGCTGCACCCTTGGTGGCGTCGCCAGAAACACCAACGAAGCCATCCTCATTTGCGAAGGTAGATCTTCTGCTCGCCGAGCGGCTGGTCGGGAAGCTGAGTGACTGGATACCTGAATGACTACCCGACTGGATTGCTGAATGGCTGGCCATCGGCATCCATCGCTCGTGTGCCGTGCGATGCGGCTGTTGATGATCCTGGAACCCACTGGCTGATCCTGGAGCACACTGGCTGTCTTGATACTGCAGCCGCAGGATACGATATCATCCTCGTTGAAACCGTTGGCGTCGGACAGTCGGAAACTATGTAAGTTTGCTCGAGTATCGTCGTGGATGCAGTCTTGGGGCAAATGGAAGTGGTGGGATGCTATGACGGGATCTTACGACAAATCCCTCATCGTGACTCGCTGCCTGTCGCTCACCGCGGTGTATTCCGTTCAAAGGGTTGCCGACATGGTTGATATCTTTACGCTGCTGGTAGCACCAGGAGGCGGTGACGAACTGCAGGTGAGAGACGCGGAAGCCAGCGACTCGATGTCCACTGCCGCCACTGTCAGATGCAGCGCCATTTCAGATCGCGCCGCTAACCACGATATCCGGCCATGCAATATCAGGGCATGAAGCGAGGTATCATGGAGCTCTCTGACCTGGTGCTTGTCAACAAAGCCGACGGTGTCCTTGCCGTCCCAGCCAGGATGGCCCAGGTGAGTCCAAGATCTGTGTCTCCCCTCTCCATGTCGATCCCATGCTGCGGCCATGGTTTCGCCTCACGAACACCCTTCTTGGTCGCGATTCAGATGGAATACATCAGCGCCCTCAAGTTCATGCAGCCCGTCAACGCTCTATGGCGACCCGAGGTCCTACTGATGTCGGCGGCAGAGAAGAAAGGCATCGATGAAGTCTGGAACTCCATGAAGCTCTATTACAAGACCATGTATGACTCCAAGTCGCTGTTCCAACGCCGCGCAGAGCAGAACAAGACTTGGATGTGGAGACAGATTACCGAGGAGCTTCTGTGGAGGTAAGCCTCCGTGGACGAGCGCGTGAGCTAGCACATGCATCCTGTCTTTTGCTGTGATAGAGCTCTGATCGAGCCTGCTGATGCCTCCTGTGCGTTGACGTCGCGGGACCTACAGGCTTCGACACGACCCAAAAGTCAAAGCCTCGCTCCTGCAGCTCGAAGAGTCCGTCAAGAACGGCAGAATCACCCCCGGCAGCGCCGCCGAGCAAGTTTTGCATCAATTCATCGCCGACCAGCAAGTGCGGCCCTGAACGCACCAAGTGTCTATGCCACTCCTCGGTCTGAGTTTCTATTCTCTATTTTTGTCCACCACGATACCTGCTCCTGGATAAGCTGCCTCCCCGACGTCAAGTTCAAGGACGAACCAAGCACCCGCCAGACCCACCCGCTGTTTGCTCTCTCGTATGCTACATCCCAACCGCCCTTCATGTGGAAGCGGTGCAGCCGAAGCAGCCGAGAATCCGATAGACGACTGCGTACATTTGCAAGGAGGACCCCTCTCCCTCCTCCAGCCAACACGAGCATATGACCACTAGGATCCGTTGTTGACCATGACGAGCCTTGCGCATTGCTCGAATGATGATTTTGACTCTGGCAGATACATCGTATTGAACACCCCCCCCCCAGTCCCACAAAAGTACCGTGGAAGAAAGCAATCACGGACCAGTCGCCTGGATGGAGGGAACGGGAGGGGTGTGGCACTCTTGTGGACAGTAAAATTTACACTTATTCAAGTACAACAAAAGCATCAGCGGTCCTTGGGGACATAGGCACGTTCGTCTCGTTTCATTTCACGAGCGCCACGGCCGCGGTCGCGGTTGCAGCCCCCGTCCCATGGTCCGAGTGCGACTTTTTGGAAAGCTCGAGCCAGTCGTACTTGCGATCGTAGGTGAGCCCCAGGCGGACCAAGCAGTTCATCCAGTTGCCCAGCAGAATCGAGTAGTGGGCGTCGGGCACAAACGGCCGGCTGCGGTCTCGGGTCAGAGCCAGGTGCTCCTCGAGACACCGCGCCAGGACGCTGTACTCGGTCGTGTCGAGCGCCCGGATGAACTCCTTGAGGCAGCTGTCGCTCTTGCCCTGGGCAATCTCCATGTGTGTGCGCAGGTGTCCCCATGGAAGCCCTCGCTTGCCACCGGCGATGAAGAACTGGCCAGTCCGAACGAGACGACAGAATACGGATATGGTCAGAACAGGGAGCACCTTTGCCTCACCCAAACCATCTCATTGGCCAGAACACGGCCTGCTTACCATGAGGACATATCCGATCGACTCAAGATCGTCTTGCCACGACGGATCTACGGCGACGAAGGACTGTCAGGGAATCGAGTCGAGCAGCAGCCCGACACAGCCTTCTGTTCTGCCCAGCTGACCGACCTCTCGCTCGACCAAGCATATGCGCACTCTCCTTGCGCTTCTCAGCGCGGCGATAGAAACATGAAATGGCTGATCGCTTACACACGGAGCCAAACACTTGGATGCCCAGGGCCATGAAGAGCGGCGTTCCTGTCTGTCCAGGCAGGCGTTCTTGTGGAGGCGTCGAGTATCCAAAGTCGATGAGCGACAGGCGGTCGCCGCTGCCTCCGGTGCAGTAGTTGGATGGCTTGATGTCGATGTGAACGTGCCCCGTTCGACAGTAAAAGTCGCGCGAGACCTCCAGCTGTTCATTGAGAGCATGTGCGCATTAGCGTTGTTGGAGAGGAACAGAGTAACGGACAGACCAAGCACCAAGGGGGGAGGGGGGACAGTGCTTCGTGTATGCAAGGCCGGATACGGGAGACGTGCAGCGAGACAATGAGGAAAGGGCACTGGCTCTTGAACAGTCGTGGGCCTCACCATATCAATCGCAAGCATCAAGATCGTTTTGACGCTGAACCGGTAGTTGCACCTCTCGAACTGCTTCGACAGCGTGTCCGACAGATACTCCATGATCAAGACATTCTTCTTCTTGCAGGATGCAATCAGCTTGGGCGTTGGACCTGCGGCACGCCACGAATGATCGTCAAGGAGGAAAGAATGAGAGCAACAGGATAGAGGTGGTGACACGGATGTCAGTAGCTGTAGTGAGAGATTTGGCCGGGAAGTGGTTGGGGTGCGCTGAAGCAATGGTATTCAAGGGAGGATGTCTTGGGAGCTGCAGAGTCACAACCGCCAAGGCACTCGCAGTGCTGTCCAGAACCATCGACGAGCGGACTTGGATCGGCTACAGTCACTCACCTCGACCCTGTTTGTGGCTGTCGAGGATCTTCATGGTCTTGAGCTCAGACAAATATTGCTTGTGGTCCTGCATCCATGATGGAAAAGGGTCAGTGGGTTGTTTTTCGCAAAGGCAGCGCTGTGTGGCCACGGTGTGCTTGCGGAGGCTGGGGGAAATGAGGGGGGGGGCAGTGTACCTGGATTTGTTTCAGAGCCACATACTCGGACGACAGGGACTCTTTGGATCCTGGCTGACTGATGACCTCGCGTCCTGAAAAGCGAGAGAGCGACAATGTTCCATGGTCAGGAAGATTCCAGTCGACAGCAGTCGATGGGAGTCCAGGGCAGTTCGATTGTGAGAAAATCCAATCAGCGACGGGGATCCGGTGATGCGACCCAACGAGAATGAGCGTCCAATCGAAACGGGGAACAGCGAATAGGGGCACCGAAGGGGAAGAATCATGTCTTCACATTCAGGCAGCTCTCGGGTACGAATAGGGTATGAACAGCCGTTGGCTGGTGTGGCATATTCCACTCGCTTGTACAGCTCCGGCACACAGTCAGTACTTACCCAGATAGACTTCTCCGCATCCGCCCTTGCCGAGAGGCCGAAGAACGACCCATTTGCGTTTCCCGTTGTCCGACACGATCTGTCCGGAGTCGAAGAGTTTCGTCCACAAGGAAGGCGCAAACAAGAGGAGTGGCCGAGTTAGTCACGGCAGTAGCAAAGCTGCCCCGTGGGATGCTCGGCTTTACCCAAGCACAGGGCGGAGTGAGCAATCGATTAAGGCAGCAGGCGAACCTCGGAGATGGGATACTCCTTGCCATCGTTGGGAGACTTTGCCGAAGCGAGCTCTTTGTCGAGCCGCTTGTGGGGTGGGCGTTGATCGGCATGAGCAGGCAGCTCCTGGTTGATGAGGATATGGGGATACACTTGAGCCTGATGTTGCCGTTGATGTTGATGTTGGTGCTGGTGCTGGTGCTGATACTGACTCGGGTGCTGATGCTGGGACTGGAGTGAGATGGCACAGCCCGGGCGAATCTGTGGCTCCGGGGTCTGAGCACCCACTGATACTGCGATAAACCGCAGACCAGACGCACTCTCGTTTCGGCCGCACTTTTGCCGCTTGGCGGGATGGTTGAACACATCCTCCCCCTCGAACGATCCAGGCTTAGCCTTGGCCTGGGGCAAGGACTCGCGCTGGCACAGATACAATGAGGGCGTATAAACTGGTTGGGGTAGCGGAGCAGGTGTTTTTGAAGGAGATTGCGGCTCGTATGGCGGGGCAGCGGTCCGGATGGTGGCAGGTGGCGGGGACCTCTGGGTTGGAAGAAAAGGCAGATCGCCCGAGATCGGCGTCACGATCCCGGTCTCGAAGGTGGACGTCTTGGAAGCTTGATATGTGCTGGCCACACATGCTTTGGTGAGCTCTGCCCGGGAAAGGCCCATAGGGACCGCATGAGGCTGGAAGGCCATTCCAGCACAGCCAGGAGACAGCTTGACATCGTGCGGGTGGAGAGCAGGGCAGCCGCAGCACTGAGCACACTCGAGCTCGGCAGGCAAGGGCCTGTCGGTATAGCGGCTGTGACCGCCGATGGAGTGAAGAGCCGGGACCGACGAGCGAGTCTGTGGTGACTGGGCCCACTGGAGCGGATGGTTATTGTGATGTGACGAGGGCGGTGTTCCGTACAGTTCGTGGTAGACGGGGCTCCATGCTGAGATGGCTTCGTTGGGTGAACACGACCGCTTCTTGGGAAGCAGGGGAACAGGAATGGGAGCTGGGGCTTGGGCTGGGCAAGGAGATTCGGGCAAATTCTGAACCAAAGAGCGATTTGGATACGACGCAGTCAGTCCAGGCACAGCTGTGAGCAAGCACGGGGATAGAACATGGCGAGTATGCACCAGGATAGAACATGGCGAGAATGCACGGCTGATACTGCTGGCACCAGACCCGCCCAAGACAGGGTGCCATGGATTCGTAAGGGCACATTTGGCAAGACGAACGACAGAGGGCCCGCAGTCCGGCGAGCACAACTGAGGCAACAGCTGTGGCCGCCAGAACACACCGCACGCAAGCCGTACCGGCGGATGTATCCAGTTCGTGGGAACCTGGGCCGGATAGGGATGCAGAGTACTCGGCCCTCGCAAGAAGGGCTGGTCGTCGAATCGTGGGAACAGTTTCAGGGGCGGCGGAAGGACATGGGGTATCGACATTCTTGCTCAGGCAATGTCGGCAAGGATGGTGCTGAGGACAGCAGCGATGAAAACAGGAATGTGGTGGGAGATAGAAAGAGGGAGGGATGCTGGGACGAGGTTGGGGGAGACGGAGACAGCGAGTGCTGGCCGGGGTGTCAGGTCTGTGGAAGCCCAAGAGACGCTGTTTCTGCGACAAGCCCTGGATATAAAGGTCTCTCGAGGAGTTGTTTGCAAAGAGATGTCAGGGCCGCAGAAGCGTCTGGGAGCGGAGCTCTTGATGTTGTTGGAAGCGCAAGCGGCGTCGACTTGGTTGTTGTTGGGTGCTGGAAGGCCCCGCGGGGACAGGAAGGAAGATCGCCGGATTCCCAGTCAACAAAATGAAGGGCTGGGAAGAAGATTGGTTGACGAGCAGCCGAACAAACGCCACAGTGTCATCGACAGCGACGGCGGCGATGGTGGAAACGGAGGCGATGGTCGAGGGCTCCAGAGGTACAGCAGCAGCCAGAGACGCAGTGGGTGAGGCAGAGGGACCCGATAGTTGCGCACTGTGTTCGCGGGATTGAAGAAGCGCCGTGGCCGCAAATACTTACAGCAGGGCCGTTGTGGATGTAATCGGAAGCAAGGATGCACTCAACTGCCTCGAATGGTGGCAAAGCGCTGAACACTGTTGGGATTCGCCAGCAGCAGCAGCAGCAGCAGCAGACAATGCCGATACGTGGGTGGTGTGTATTCAGCGAGATGTTTGCAGTCGCGAAAGCCAAATCAGCGTTTGACGAGCACAGTCTCTGTGCCTGGGCTGGACTTGACTGGGCTGGGGGAGTGGCAACGAACGGAACAGAACAGCTCAAGAGAAAGTGTTTTGCCAGAGTTTGGTCTGGCCTCCATCCGCCTGCCACTGCATTCCCTGGAGAACGGTGGGCCGCGGCCGGTCCTCACTTTTAGCAAAATAAACAATACTCTGTCGATTGCAGGGTCGGCGTGGAGTTGCTGCGTGATAGGGCCGGGGTGGCTCGAAGGCAGGCTGAGAGAATGGGCAGCTACAACACCTGAGGCGAGGCAGGCAACTGCAGGGCCTCCGCGAGGTATTTTGTTCCGAGCCAAGGGACACATTGCATTCACACAGCGGATGGGGCGTCGCCGAGGTGGCCATTGATCGACAAAGCCAAAGAACAGAGAATGGAGGACCCAACGCCGCTTGGTGTCTGGAGGTCAGCGCCGAGCGAATTGTGATGCAGCGCTCGCTGCGAATCTGGCCCACCAATGCACCCGCGAGAAGAATCGGGGGGATCAGCGTCGCACCTGCACCAATCGGCCGGTCACCAGGAGCGATCGATTGTGGGGACATCAATGTCAAGTCTGGGGAGAGCTGTGGCCATTGATGGGACACCAGCGGGGACCCACCATCCCTGGCCCGAGCAGGCTCGCCCAGAGCGGCCCCCCGGATTGCAGATGGATCAAAGCAGAGGAGTGTGCGGTCGCCTCGCAGGTACAGGCGATCTCTCCAAGCAGATATCCGATGCAGGAGCCGCAACGGGCAGGAATGAACAACGACGAGCAGAAGCGAGCAGGAATAAACGGAAAGCGTGCTGGATAGACCATGGGCGTCATCACTTCCGACAAGCCATTCCATGATATCTTATCGGCAAAGTCCATCGCAACAGCGCGAGTCCCGAACGATGTCGTTAACAACGAACCAGTTTTGAACCGGGACACCTTCACACGCAGATGGCTTTGTGGATCGGTTGATGATGATCGATCTGGCTGAACGACATGGATCGGTATCCAAACCAGCGATATTGCTCTTTGCCCTGTCTTCCTCCCTCATCCCAGGTGTGTATTCTTGCCCTGACCTGCAGTGGCTCACTGGTTCCCGTCGTGCCCACTCACTCCATGCATCTCCCTCACTCAGGGAAATGACTTGACCGGGTGTGTGATATGATCCGACTACGCCGTGTTGTCGGAATGAGACGATGTCCCGTTGTCAGTTCAACACGCTGTACCTTGACGATCGATCAATATAACTCAATTCAAGTGCCGTTTCGACTGGGCGGACTGCCATCCGGGTCCGATTCATGGAAGCCTCATTCGCCCAAGACATCGCTCGTCGTCGTACCAACAGCTTAGTGATAGAAAGTCGTCAGTATGTTGCCCTCATTTGTGCAATTGGAGCCAAATACACCATCGATGTCGGCACTTGCTCGATCGGAGGGATGTGAGTGCTTTTCATGACCTCCGGGCTGCTTGATGGTGGATTCATGACCCGGCAACATCCCAACACAGTCAAACCAGAAAAAAAACGGGACAGTCACTTTCTGGCTTCTGAAGCCCGCTGACTGACTTGTAGGCCCAGCGGGCAGGCCATGGCATTGCACTCCTGTCTTCGTCGGCAATCTCCTTGATTTCGTTGGTTGGGAAGCATGGTCTTGAATACACCCGGTCGATCTCCTGTGGCGATGGTCGACTGGCATACCGAGATCATGTTCCTGGCTGCATTGATGTCTCGATCCCACAGCGTATGGCAGCTTGCACAGCTCCGGACAAAGTGTGGTTTCTCGATATCAAGATGGCGCTGTGCTCGGCCATGATTGCAATGAGTGGGTGGGTGTATTCAGGTCACAGAAAACACACTGTCATGGGTCAAAACGGAGCGTCCCATTTCATTTTGGTAACGCTGTAAGCTTTCCCCTCATCGCTCCGCCAGCCCGGCTCTCGCCCACATACCCCGCAGCCTTAGCACCACAATGAAACCTCTGGAGACCAGCATATCTTTCATCGACTTTGTGAAAGACGAGCCCGAGCCCGAGTCCGAGCCAAGCCGGATCCGAGCTCGGCGCACCCCCCGGCCAAAGCCCTCAGCGATGAGGACCAGCGCGAGGCCACAACGCAACCGTGGTGACAAAAAGCCTCTTCAGGATGCCGGCCAACAGAAGCGGGCCGATATTCCCTATCGGCGGCCGATCCGGATCGGGGACAGGAAAGATCGCCGCCGAGTCAGCCAGCCCTGCTCGACTTTGGATGCGGTTGTCATTCCGTTCAGACCCATAGAGGAGATTCGAGGTAGACCCTGACGACCGACTGCTCCCTGTCAATACCCGCCTCGCTATGCTCTATCGCATCTATCCTTGAGTCCGTCTGCGATCGACCTCTCGCTGCACGTTCATTCGCAGTGCCAGTGATTCCTCGGATCTGATTGCTCCTTCTGCTACCTATGTGTGTGCGCTGCCGACACTCCCTTCCATCCAGCGCATCTCGACCTGAAAATCCCCACATCCCATCGACTCAATCAGTTCCGGCGAGAGGAGCTGAGGCAAAAAGAAAGCGAACGCATGGTACGATCCCCTCTGCGCTCGGTGGCTGCATCACTAGCCTGTTGCCAGCTCGCCCTAACAGGATCTACCCTCGATTTACATTCTCTACCATATTAACTTGTCCGCTCTTCGATGTGCCTGCTCCTCTCCGGCTCTCCGGCTCTCCGTATGGCAACTCATCCCCTGCTTTGGAAACGCCATCGACATGCACATATTCTTCATGCAGAGCCACATCAAATCGGTGATCGACAGCTTTGAGTCGATTGTTGCCCAGAGGCAGCAACATCATGCGGCTCTGGAGCGTCCGTCGGTTCCCATCGTCAATAGTATCGGACACTCATCAAATTCGATCACGAAAGTGGCGTTCATGGTATGCTTGCCGTGGTAGAGACTTTGGTTGTCGCAAGCCATTGCTTGATCCTCTTCAGGCCAAGGCAGTGCGCAAGCCCCGCTCGGCCACAGTTTCCGCTCCTTGGTGCCCTCGAATCGGAGCTGGCCAGCCGCATCGTTGGGAAAATGCTCGGTCCGAGCCAGTGCTGTGGAGTGCAGCCGGTGGATATCGGCCAACAAGGCGACGGCAGTGCGGGTGCTCAGTCTAGATGTGTCTTTCGTATCGATCTTAGCGAGGTCCAAACCCGAACAAGCTCAGGCATGACTACGCCAATTCAACAACCATCCAGCACCCGTTCGCTCCCAGATCCATCACATGGATCCCGACCGACCATTCCATCATGGTACTGCGCCAGCGCTTCTGGGACCTGTGCTCCCGACTCTCGGTCGTGCCGAGCAACTTTCGCTGTCGCAGCCCGGCTATTGATGGCACACACTGGGGCCAGAGTTGCCTTCCGCGATGCTGACGCTGCTGCATACACTCACTGCAGGTTGAGGACGACAAAACGATGCAGTACTTGCCCTACTTCGACTCGGACCCCACCTTCAAATATGACCACTCTCTCTATGAAGAGAATCTGTTGAGGCGCACCGAAAAGCATGACACCGGCAAGTGCACTCGCTAGAGCGCCTGAGCTGCGCTTACCCAGGGCGACCGAAACGAGCCGCGATCGCTTACTCCTCAATTTATCGATCTAGAGGAAGGACTCCATATGCGCTTTCTGCATCACTGCTTTGTCGAAAACGGCATCTCGATTCAATCGCTGGACTATCTGTACAACTATCTTCACCGCTCTCGTTGGTGGCTCAGATACCTGAGTCGAAGCACCGACTCGACCAAAGACATGGCACCCGAAGATATCGACCCCAGCGTCGATCCAAGCGTTGCTTTTGACTTTCATGTCACCCGAGCCAAGATTGTGCTGGAGGCCATGTACCGAATCATCCCTGATCCGGAGATGTATCAAAACAAGCGGCGCGGTCCAATGTTTGGCCTGGCCAAGCGGTACGATGTCAGAACCGAAACGGCGCCACCTCGATGTTGAGGTGTTGAGGTGTTGAGGTGTTGAGGTGTTGAGGTGTTGAGGTGTTGAGGTGTTGAGGTGCTGTGTTGGCACCGGACTTACTGGGTATCCCATCAGAGATTGCTCAATTGGCATACACTTCCTAACTTGCCCATGTGTCGGTCGAAACTGATTCAGGTTCTATGAGTGGCTGCTGCCATACAACACCGCAGGACCTATCGAATTCTCGGTAGACTATCACATGCATTGGGAAATGGTAGGTGCAGGTCCAGATGCTTGGTGCAGGACTGGCTGGATGGAACGAAAACGCGCTCGCTCGGGCGATGGACCGATTCGTATTGGTATCCCGATTCGTATTGGTATCCCGATTCGTATTGGTATCCCGATTCCGCCGGCATTCTACCGCGGAGCTTGAACATGGGCGATTCGCTACTATGCCATCGGATGAAGTGTTACGAGGGATGTGGCCTGCATACGATCCATCTTTCATATCACATTAACCCCAGTCGTATCACAGGGCGACTGCCCGATCTGCCTCAAATATCGGTGCCGAGACCACCTGTTTGACGGCCACGGTATGCGCTCGCTCTCGCACTGCACTGCACTGCGCTGCACTGCACTCAGTTCGAGCGTTCTCCTGATCCAGTCTCCGATCTTCAGGGTTTCCCGCCGTGCCAACCAAATCAAGTACCACCTCAGCTAATTCCACCTTGTCCTATAAACCGTGTGGAAAACGGTGTCACTTGAGGCCTCAGTACTGCTTGGGGCGAATGGAATTCGGTGAAATACAAACGCGCTTTGAATCGTTTGACGGCAACGACAGAGAGCTACTGGAGCTCTACGTTGAGGTCAATGGCTCATCCGATCAAAGAATATGCGACATGGTCCATCTATTCGACGACAAGACCTGTTTGGACGTAAGTCGTCGGCTCCGCTCAAGTCTCAATGGGTCTCGCTCGCTCATGCAAGCTGTCGCTTTGAGCTTCTGTCGTGGCTCATACACTGACTTCTCCCACTGACGCAAATGCCGCCACGTTCGTCGGCCCAGATTGCTTGCTGCCTGTATCTCTTGAAGGCACAAAATAGCATGTCCCGCAGAATCAAGCGAAACATAAACAAGAAGCCACCCAAGACTGACGCATGCAGTTGTCGCCAGCGGTGCGCTGGTGAACCCGGCGCAAGCTCCAAAAAGAACAAGCGGTGGTGCCCGTGCTTCAATGCCGGCCGAGAATGCACGCAAGAGTGCCGCTGGTAACAGACAGAGCGAGCTTTCTCATCGGCTGCGACCTCCACTCGAGCCATCTACACATCCCGCCCTTGAGCTGACGCAACCAACCTGCTTCTCGTCGGCGTCTCGCTGGCATTTTCTCGTGTCTGGATGTCGGTCGGCTTTGTGCAGCTCTAAAGGTATCGTTGCTTGGATTCAGCAGCGCGCTGCTCACCGCTACTGACGCTGAAGTGCTTTACCTCTTACTCGAAGAGAATAGTCTCCTGTGCACTGTCCGTTGGATTGTTTCGAATTGGCAGCAGTCTGATCCGTCTCTTGTGCTTCCACGATGGCAGAGTGTGGCAACAAGTCCTTACAGTGCGGCCAACGCAAGGTAGTCGAATCTTGCTGTTTCATCGGATGGATGTGATGTTGTTGGTCGTTGGCGAGTACATTGAAGGGGAGGTTGCATTAATGCCGCCTGAGCCTGCCTTCGAATACCCTTATGTCTCCCTGCGCACCTTGACTGACGACTCGGCCCGGTCACCATGTCTACAGCTGACGCACGTTGGACGGTCGCAACTGCACGGATTGGGTCTCTACACGATGCAAGATAGTAAGAACATCGATTGGCGACCCGATTGATGTAGATCGATATCCGAGCCGCTCTCGACCTGCAGTAGAAGAGCAACGCATGGTGTTAAGTCGTGATGCTAACCCAAGTTTCGCGACGCTCAAACCAGTCCAGAAGCACGAGCTCATTGGAGAGTACACTGGAGAGGTCCGTACAGATTTTCACCATAGCTCCTACTCCAACCCCTCCTCGGGATTTTGGATTCCGTGCTGGCCGCGATAAGTGGCTTGGAAATCTGCTGCCGAGATTCCTTGGGTGCTGGAGCAGCGTGAGAAACGGACACAGTATGGCTGTACTTACTTGGACCGTGCTTTCCAGGTGATATCGTCGGAGGAAAATATCAGGTCAGCTCATCACTTGTGCGATATTGGCCTTGGTGCTGGCAGCACTGGCGCAACGGAATGGCCTACCACACGGCCACGTCCCATGTGCTAGCTTGGAACACAGCAGTATATACTGATATCACGGCTGCTCCTTGACCGGCCTCCACTCCCCCTCCTTCTAGACGACAAAGCTACTACCACTCCATCGGGTTCAACTTTTGCATGGGCACTGGCAAGAACCGGCTCGGAGAGAGCATCGACGCCTTCCTGAAGGGCAGCAAGATTCGCTTCATCAATCATGCGACACCGGAATATCCTGCCAACTGTGCTGCAAGGAGTAAGTCTAGCGAGGCTGGTGTGGCACCTTCTGTCCCGAATGGAACAGAGCGAATGAGATATAGTGTCCGTCGATCGCGATGTCGATACCCGCACCGTGCAACGGCGTCATGCCACCGGCACTGCCGACTGTCCATCTTTGGATACTGTTTGGTTTGTTCGTGTTGAACTCGCTGAGACATGACTCCTTTGGTTCTGACTCTGCTTCATTTGATAGGCAAATATGTCTACGGCCGTTGGAGGTATGAGCGAGAGCGGGCACAGCGCTGACCGGGTGGTGGATTGGGTGGATACCTGAGCTGGGGAGCTTTTGCCGACAGGCAATTGATCCAGCGCACAATTGCGCCAGCGCGAGCGTCAATGTCATTTGCCACAGGGAATATTTCTTGAGACTGCCGGTGCCGCTCCCTTCGGCGGGCCAACACGGCCCCAGTCTTGTGCAGCCGTATAGGCGCACCGCTTGCAAGACCGCCATCCCTATACATGAGGACTCGCCACAGCTAACAACCCACTACTGCACACACACAGGGTGGGCTGCTATGCCACACGGAACATTCGCGCAGGGGAAGAGCTGACCATGGACTATGGCGAGAGTTTTTTGATGGGCGAGGTCGGCTCCGGCCTTCAGCCCATGGACGAATAAAGCACAGGCGCAAGACCGGGCACTGCACGGCCCTTGATTTGCTCCCCTTTTCAATGGGAACCAAGAGTCTTTGTTCTCGTTCCTGTGAACACCCGAAACAACTCAAGTCACATCGGTGATCGAGTCAGCCATCGAGATCACACGATCCACTTCTTTTTGTCTGGCCGTTCCTGAACCATCTCCGCACGCACCTTGTTTTGGTTCAGCCCCTGCGATCGCTCGTGGCACCAGTTGCGGATGTAATTCGACCGGAAGCCCTCCCAGCGTTTCTGGCGGACACCCCGGATGAAGAGCGCAACGATGCTCTCGGGCGCCATGTCGTGATAGGCATTGCGCTCGAGATGTCCCCGGAATCGCACCCGGACGTCGATAATCGGCCAGACGCCAACCTCGCAGTACTTTCTGTCGACGCAGGCTCGCACCTGCACCCTTGACGGAATCTCGAGGAGAACATCGGAGAGCGCAGGCACCTCGTTGAAGTACGAGAGTTCGGGTGCGATTGCGATCGGAACCTTTACAGACCCCGCCTTGGCCGGGTCGATCACAGTCTTGAGAGACGGGTGTGGTGGGAGCGAAGTGAGGACGTCGCACTTGCCTCTCTTGACGAGGAAAAACTCGGTGATGGGCTGGCCTTTGAAGAGCAGAATACGTTTGTGGATGCGGCGACGCAGGACAGAGAAAACGACAGTGGCAATCAATGCCACGATGCAGGCCCAGCAGGCACACTGGCATTCAGGTCAAGAAGACACCCAGCGGTCCGCTGGTAGCCGCTCAACGTTTCGAGCTCAACTCACCTTCCTCTTGGATGATGCTGCCCGCTGGATATCGGCGCATGACCATTGGCTCAGCTATGTACTTGAGCGTCGACAGAGAGCAGCTGGAGAACTGCGGATGCCGACGCAAGAAGATGAGCTTGCTGCGCGAGTTGCACTCCTGCAGGGTCCTGAGGATCTTGCTGTAGTTCTCCTATCCAGACGGTTGCGCCCGGGTCAGTCGCAACATAACGAGCACCGAGTTATCAAGGACACATCCGATCCCCCGCAAAGCCAACGAGCCGAGCAACCTTTTCGATGATAAAGAAGAGGCAGGGCGACGAGCATATCACCGTGGCCGAGCGCGGGGCGTCGTTGATCAGAGCCAGGTCGCCGAATCCCTGACTGAGGCAGGGCAGAACAGAAACGATGAATCATCCCGGTATCAATCTCGTCGATGACTTTGACGGCTCTGGAGAGGGGCGGTTGTGGGCTGCCGAGCTGGACTGCTGCATACCCTTCCTGGAGCGACTTTAGCTTCTTGACTTGGTCGATGCTCTCGTCTTGGATGAATAGATCAACCTCGCCTTCGATAATGACATACCAAGCCGACCCAATATCGCCTGGACGAATCGCAAACGGGAAGGGCATCAAACTCGAGGCGGTGAGCTATGGAGAGTTGCCATGACCACCCACGATTGACTCTAACAGACAGAGCATGTGAAACTCGGTGCGGACTCCCAGTACCCACCCTGTCGAAACACTGCCTCGCCCTCCTGACACCGCTGGTACTTTAGCACGGCGCAGATCTCATAGAGCAAAAAGTCGGTCATCTTCTTGAAAGCCTCCTGCGCCTTGGCGACTCGGTAGATATTGTCGACGTCCTTGTCTTTGCGCACGTATGAAGGAAGATCGAGAGCTTGGGTGGCTCGCTCGATTAGCGCCCTGTGCTTGAGCGAGGTGCGTCGTCGCATCGACATCCGAGCAGTGCTCTCGCGCAGCAGCACAGAGGTCCGTCCATGTTCATGATCATGTTCCTTTGATGCGTGAATGACGACCGACTTTCTTCCAAGCGTCGACCCGGATCCGAACTCGGTTCTGCTGGAAATGTGGCGAGCCCCTTCCAGAGCCTCTTGGCTTGCATCGCGGGCATGTCGGGCTCTGATTTTTTGCGACTCGTCGGCTGCTAGCCAACGACGATTGTTCTCGAGGGTCTGCTGGACCTGCTTGGCTCGGGTGGCGAGAACTTGGGCGGACCTGGTGCGGTAAGTATTGATAAAGTCGGTGGCCTTGAAGGTGGCGGGGTTCCAGATCGGATCTTCGATCTGGGTGCGGTGCTTCCAGTCCTCGAGGGTCATGGGGCGCTTGGAGCTTTCGGCTCGCTTGCTGTTCAAGAACTCGAGCACAACATTTCGCTGAGTTTCTGCTGTGGCAGAGGGTGGGGCCGACGGACCGGCTGTCGATGGCCGTCGGGATGCAACACCCAGCGCTCCAGGAGCCGACTTTGGACGAAGCGTCCGTTGTGTGCTGCGAGCCGATCCTGCCGTCGCTGGTCGGCTTGTTCCCGGAGAGCCATCATCTGGGCCTCGAACTCGTTGGTCGCCGTAGTGCTGAGACTCCGGACCTGGTGACAGAGCCGATTTCTTGGTGCAAGACATGACTCGCCGGAGAATGCCGTCGTGGAAGGACTCGCTGGCATCCAGATCAGTTTGCTTGTCACAGTGCTCGCCCAGTTGTCTCAGATAGTGGCCGACAAGTGCAAAGGCCTTTGGTCCGTCAACCACAACATCGGTCGAGGGCGTGGTCTTGTTGTTGAGGAGTTGAACGCAGAACTCACTTTGGTCGATTCTTCCAGGGCAGCTGCGGGGACGAACCTGGGCGGCTCGGCCAGAGACCAGACCGGTGCTGGGTCGAGAGAGTCGGTCTGTGCGCTTAGTAGACGACGGTGGCCTGGCTGCAGCAGGATGCCGGCTTGAAGTGGGTCTGCTTTGGAGTGAGAGCATGGTTGGTTGTGAGGTTGGCTGCTTTCGTCTGGGGTGCGGTCGTGGGAAAGACAGAATCAGTCCAGAGACGATGCGACCAAACTCATCACTCAATGCAGCGGACGTCAGCCCATACCAATCGCAGATGCAGCTGCCCATCTAGGCGTTGCCCGCCGGGCTCATACTCTCTGCCATCGTGAATGCAAGTCTTCCTGTCGAGGCGTTCGCGGAAGCTATCCAGTCGATCGAGAGATACGCGAGCGAGACCTCCAAGGAAGTAGCCAGCTCTGGCAAGATCAAGATCGAGCTATTGCTGCCCTGTGTCTACAAGAGTTCTGGTACCCCAGAGCCATCGGCCAAGGACTGCGATGAGGGTGGTCAAGACGTTCATCCGACCGATGACGGAGGATTGATCGACCCTCGAGACCCTCAGCAGGCAGCGGGCGGTGATACTCAGCAGACTACTGCCTGCATCTCTGTTCCTGTTCATACAGAGCATCCCACGATGCAATGCTCCTCGGCTGCAGCCCCATAGCCCCGTCGACAACACTGCCGCACTCTGCACTGTCTCATTTGCCAGATCAACTTTATTCTCAAGAGCGACCTTCAGCCGGCTGTTGACGCTGTTGCTCATAAGCATCCTACGAGTTTAACATCAACATGATATCCATGAGTATATCCCCTGCCTTCGTTGGTGTTCGAGCCCAGTTTGGTAGCCTTGATATACCAATCTAAGCTAGCTAATGGATTGCAGACGACTCCCAGGCCCATCGCAAAACAGTCGCCAAGAGCCCACATGCTGTATCCATTGTTCTGGTCGACGGAGGCCCAGTACCACTTCAGCGCCTTTGATCTGCTGCGGAGTGTTCCCAGACGGAAGGAATAGCAGTGTCCGAGCCAGTACTGGCTGTCGCTGTGTCCCTGCTTGGCGAGCTCCTTGAAGATCGTGAAGGCCCGGTTCTTGTCCTGCTCGGTGCCGAACCCGTTGACATAGCACACGGCCGTCAGATGCTTGCAGAGCCAGTCGTGCTCGGATCCCATGTGACAGAGCTCAAAGTACTTGCAGGCCGCAGCCGACCTCGACGACACCAGTACAAAGCCGCTCAGACACGATCTCTCGCCAAATTTGAAGTCGGAAGTGTATGTTGCGCTCTCCTGGATTTGCTTGATGCCGGTGACGGTGTCTCTGTCCACTCCGCGACCGAGATACCGGAGCCAGCCTTGCATATGCAAGGCGATGGGAGCAAGCATCGGGTCGCCAGATTTCTTGTGGACCTTGGTCCAGTACTCAAGGGACTTTTCAAAGTCTTGGTTGACACCCATGCCGATCATGTACATCCAGCCGAGATAGAAGCAGGCCTCGGGGTTGTCTCCGTCGGCCAGATGCTGGAAGATCTGGAGGGGAGTTTTGTTGTTGGGCTGGGAGGGCTGGGAAGGCTGAGAAGCCGAGTGGTGGGCGGTGTGCTTGGCAAGGAACTTGAACAGACCCCGCGGCGGCTCTGGCAGCTCCGGCAGCTCTGGCGGCTTGAGCAAGCTCTCGGCGATATCGAGGGCGGCGTCGGGATCGCCGGCACGGAAGCGCTGGACCATCGACGGCGACAGATTGCAGTCGGCGGGAAGATCCACGGACACGGCCTGGGAGGACTTGGATGTGTCGGGGGACTTGGGTGGGTCCGATGGGTCCGATGGGTCCGAGGAGCTGGGCTGCTCGGGGGTCGGGCGGATATAGTCCTTGTAACAGTCGAGGGCCTCGACGATGGCGGGGAACTTTGGGCGACCATCGGGAGCCTGTGCCCAGCACTCGCTGATGAGCTGCCAGACGTCATCAGAGACACCGCTGATGCGTGCGGGTCGGTCGCCGCGAAGAACATGTCTGGTGATCGAGCCGTTATCCAGGCGGTTGCCATTGCGGGTCCATGCGGGCCGGCCGTCCTTGATGACCTCGACCGCAGCGATGGCAAAGGCAAAGACGTCCGAGCGCTTGGTGATCAGCGTTTGGTGCGGCCCACCCAGCAGCTCGGGGGCCATGAAGCCGGGAGTGCCGGAAATCGAGCCCTCTCTGTTGTCGCTTCGGTCCGAGTCGGCTCGGATGCAGGCCAGGCCAAAGTCGGCAATGACGGCCGAGAAGGACTTGTCCATCAGAACGTTGATCGGCTTCAGGTCGCCGTGGGCAATGTTGTTTGCGTGCAGATACGCCATGCCCGAGGCCACTTGGTAGAGGAGACAGAGCTTTTCGTTGAGGGGACGCACGGAGCTTGGATTGCTGATATAGGCGTGGAGTGTGCCGTTGGGCATGAATGGCGAGACGACGCAGTGCTTGGAGTTGTTGTCGCAGGCGCCGATGAACGGCAGGACGTGTGGATGGCTCAGCTTGCTCCAGATGGCGATTTCCTTCCGAAAGTCGTCCAGCAACCGATTGTTCTGGCCGCGGAAGGGCTGCTTCACAGCAACGTCGATTCCGTTGTATGAGGCTCGGTAGACCTCGCCAAAGCCGCCGTGGGCGACGGGAGCGAGGACCCAGTTGGTGATGCTCTCGGCAGGAATGATCCAGGACGGCGATTGTGTCGACATTGTGGATGTGCAAGTGGTGTGGATGTGCGAGTGGTGTGGATGTGCAAATGCTGGAGGATCGATCTTGGACTGACAGTGTTCGAGAAGAGAGCGCAGTGGACGGTCGCAGGGTCGGAATTCACCCAAAGGAAGCGTTGAGAGACAGAGTTTGCGGGCTCCATCGGCGATCGCGGGGCGACGGGGGTTGATATACCAGAGTTGCGATATCGGTCGGTATCATCGACGCGTCGGTGGCGGGTCGGTGGCGGGCAGTGGCGGGGCGGCTCGGCCAACCAGAGAAGCGCTGGGGCAGTCACGTTGTTCTGGCGCGGTATCATGGCTTGGTGGATTGTTCGGTGGATTGTTCGGTGGGTTGCTCGGTGGGTTGTTCGGTGGGTTGCTCGGTGGGTTGCTCGGTGGGTTGCTCGGCAGTTCGCTCAGCCGGCCGCACGGTATCAGGATGCAGCATCATTGGTCTCTGCATTCCTGGCCGCCTGATGATCGCAGGCGAGATCAGCATGCGGCAGCGAGCAGCCCCCAGCGGCTGTCGGCATTGGTGTCGCTCTGGGCATGGTCAGACAAGCCGCAACCCGCTGAGTACCATCCAAGATGCTTGGCCGCTGACGACAAGGGTGCGGCAGACATGAAGAATAGTATATTGGAGCCAGCAAGACAGCGTACACGTCGGGGGTCGAAGAACCTCCCACCGTACAACCCATTTCAATTTTTGGAGTGCCGTGAAATGAAAGGAAGCGGTAAGAAAAAGATAAGCAATGCGGATGGATGATCAAGATGATGATGATAATAATGATAAGAACTGCAGCAAACACAACAGAAAAACAACAGAACCGACAAAACGAACAACAACGGTAATCGGGCTTGGGATTGTTATCTCTTTTCCTGCATTCGTTCATGGCGGATCTTTTGGGAGGCGTTGGGCACGCAGCGGGACAAGCCAGAGTGGCGAAATTAAGTGATCGTGCTCGCTTCCACAGATTGCAATATTCGTGTCCGTCCTGGCACAGCCATGTCGGTCGAATCACACTCGCGCGCTGTCCGATGTCGCTACGGTCACCAAGCTGGCCAGACGAGCGCATTGAGAAAGTCCCGGCGCGGCCAGCATCGGAGACGATTGCGAGGTTTGGTCCCCGTTTGGCTGCTGTTGATGCTGCTGCTCGGCGTTTTGCGTCGATAGTCGCCTTTCGATTTGTTCACTGATTGCGCCGAAGAGCGTCGCCAGCGGTGCCATGCTGGCTGGAAGGAATCGGCCAGCCGGCTTCCGAGCTGTGCCTACCCTCCGCTTGAACCGAGTCTTTCGTTCCACCAAAGTCGGGGGCAGTGTGCTCATACGAGCGTGCTCGCTACGCTGGTGCAACGCCTGGCCGGACCGATGCCCGATCCGCCCGGGCAAGGATGCGTACTGCTCGACGGGTGGGTACGGAGCAGAAGAGGGATCGTAGACGGAGCCGGCAGCTTGTCGGCCAGCTGAGCCCTCCCGCGTCTTTGTCGAATCCGACGAGCGAGTCGAGGCGTCGATCCTCTCGCTGATAGAGTCGACAGGACTCGGCGTCAATCGGTATGTCCAGCCCGTCGATTCGGCCTTCTCTGACACTGGCAGCTTCAGGTTGTCGGCAGAGCCTGAGTCCAACGATGCATTCTCGATGGTGGCGCCAGCTTTGGAGTGATCCTGTGACATTGGATCTGGTGACGGCGTCGGCGGTTTTGACGGCGAGGCGGGTTCGATGGACGGCGAGGCAGACAAACTGTCAGGCGAAACAGGCGCGCTATGTCGGGGCAAGACGGACGAGTCGATCTTGGTGGAGACGGATGCAGTGTACGGGCGAGCATCGTTCATCAGAGAAAACTTGTCTAACTGATTCATTGGCAATGGCATGGTCATGGTCATGGTTGAGGGGAATACAGCCGATTGACACCTAGAGGATGCTTCGCCAAGAGACTGGGTCGGCTGAATGAGCGCCGGTGCCCATCCATGATCAGCGGAACCGTGATTCTTCGACAGCTCCTCGGCAGGAAGACGCCCGTCGTGACGACTTTGATACGCGGTCGGATGCGCTCCAGATATCGATGTCTGTGTCTTGGACAGATCTCTCGGGCTTGCCTCGGTCTCAAGCAGCTTGACCGTCGATTCGGTGCCTGTTCTTGAGCAGAGATCGACAGTTCCATCCAGGCTGGAAGCCAGCGTCGGTCTTGACGCTGCCGACAGTGGTGCTGGGTAACTCGAGTGCGCTGTCGCGGCGACTGTCGCGGCCGAGACAGACGAAGGCGATTGTGATTGGGTAGAACGACGCTGAGGAGGGTGCGATAAGAACGGACGAGGATGACCGGCCATGCCGTGCGGATGGACAGGCACGACGTACGGACCTGCAGCTGTTGCGTAAACCACATGTGGCGCATAAACCCCTGGCGGAACAGAGTAGAGCTGCGGGTGGACCGGGTACGGCACGGGCACGGCAGAGTACGGGCTCGGCGGGAAGAAGTGGCCTGGGACCATGCCAGGTGCAGCAACCGGTCCTCCTCCTGGCAGCGCTGCCATTCGACGAGGGGGGTGCGAGGGAGCGCTGACGACAGTAGCTGGAAGATGCGCTTGTCTCATTTGCGGGTGGGCATTCGCAGTTTGATGAGCCGCTGCTGTTGCTGCTGCTGCCGATGGGTGTGGTTCTGCAGCCCGCGGCTGCGGAGGACCGAGATTCAACACAACCTCGACAGCAGGCTGGGTCGGACGAGGGCTCTCTGGCTTGGACACGGTCGGATCCTCCTCCGGGACGGCATACCGCATTGTAAAGACTTGGAAGGGTTCGGAGGTATGCGACCGAGGAGGATACGAGATGCGGTGCTCCCACGCATCGCCGGCGAGCTTCTCGGCGTGTTCGCAGAGGCTGAAATCCATGCGCTTGATCCAGGTGCGGTTGGGAATACCCGAGAGACTCGACATGTTCGGAGGCAAGACAATGGTCCGCAGTTTCTTGAGGTTGACGTTGAGGCCAGACAGACTCCTGAGTGAGAGGCATGCCGACAAATCTAGTTTCACCAGCGAGCCCAATCCGCGAGGCAGTTCCTTCAGGTTTTCTATATGTATAGGCGGCGTCAGCACCCTCAAATAGGGCATCGAGTGCGGAAGGCCGGCCAGGGTCCGCAGCTTCAGGCACGCCGACATATCGAGCGCCACAAGAACATCAAGGGCAGAGCTGAGGCCCTCGAGGCTGTCCAGATTGGGCGGCAGCGACAGCGACTCCAAACCCGGCAGGGTCGTTGGCATGCCCTCCAGGCTCGTCAGCTTGGCGCAGCCAGTCAGATCGAGTCGTTGGAGGAGTGGCATGGCTTTGGACATGCCCTCGAGGCTCGCGAGGGTGGAGGGAAGATGCAGCTCCCGTAGGCGAGGTAGCTGGTTGGGAAGCCCCTTCAAGTCGGCAATGTGCACGCACCGGGTAAGATTGAGGGTGCGGAGCAAGTCCATCGACGATGGCAGGCCCTCTAGCGATTCAAGGGAGGTTGGGAGGGAGAGCGTCCTCAGGGCCGGGAGGCTGAGGCACATGCCGGCCAGGGACTTGAGCTTGTGGCATTTGCTGATGCCCAGGTTTCTGAGCGAGCCGAGCAGCGGCATTCCGGCGAGAGACTCGAGCGAGGGCGGAAGATAGAGCTCCCGGAGATGGGGCATGGCCTCGGGGAGACCAGCAAGGCCAACGAGATCGACACAGCCGGATAAATTCAGGCTGGTCAGAGACTTTGTTGGCACGGTTATGCCGTGGAGGCTGTGCAGGTACTGCGGAGGCGAGAGTTTGGTCAGGGCGGGCAGGTGCTCGGGCATGCCCTCGAGGGTCTCCAGGCGGTCGCATCGGTTCATAACCAGAGACTCGAGGGCATCGAGCGATCGTGGCACGCTGGCGAGGTTCTCCAGGTCCCACGGCAGAGTGAGGCGAGCCAGGCTCGGCATGCTGGCCGAGATGCCCTCGAGGCTCTTCAGCTTGGTGATCAGGCTGAGATTCAGCTCGGTGAGCGACTCGAGGGTCGGCGACATGCCCTCGAGGCTCTCGAGGTTGTTTGGCAGAAGCAGAGTCCTGAGCCTTGGCAGAACGACAGGCATACCGGCAAGGTTTCGGAGGGCCGCGCACTCGGAGAGATCCATCGCCTCGAGCGACTCCAGCTTCCGCGGGAGGCCGATGAGGCTCCGCAGCTGAGGAGGGAAGATCAAGCTCCTGAGCGCAGGAGTGTCGGGAACCTGGTGGTTGCCCCAGGCGATGGTTTCGAGATTGCGGCCCATGAATCGCATGGTCACAACATTGGAGAGACTCTGCGGCCATCCGGCGAGCGAGGCGAGAGTGCAGTTGCAGAGAACCAGGCCGACGTTCTTGGTGTGTTCGATAAAGTGGAGCTCGTGGGGCAGCAGTCGAGCGTAGTGGTTCGGGGGGATCAGTGGATGCGATCGTGCGCGGTAGATAAGAAAGGTGCACTGTCGTCGGAGCCTCTCGCTTTCGTGTTCATCCTCAGGACAAGGGGCGGTTGTTTCGCTAGGCTCTGCCTCGTAGTCCGAATGGTCGCTGCCGACAGCGGCGGCCGCAGGGGGGTCTGTTGCGGCAGCAGTGGAAGCGACGCTGGGCGCATCGGACTCGGAGGGGACGCTGGCCGGAGCAGCGGGGGCGGCAGGAGGGCAGAGGATGCGTGCGCTGTCGAGGAAGCGAAAGGCCGATCGATCGTCCAGGTGCGAGAGGGCAGCCGGGCTGTACTGGTGTGCAGGGCCAAGCGCCCCAGGCAGCCGATGGGCTCGCAGGCAGTAATCGTGAATCCGATCGCGGAGGAGGCTGTTGTGGCGCACGGCCGACCAAAGGGCGAGCTCCTTCAGATAGCAGCTGGACGAGAGCGGGTAGTCGTTCTCACGCCGGGCAATGTAGCAGAAAAGGCCCTGCAAGACAGCAGCCGGGTCGACGGAGGAGCCAATGTCCTTCAGGAGAGTTGCGGTTTCACCCAGACGGAAGGCCAGGGCCTGAGACCAGGCGGGCTGAGAAACAGCCGAGAGAATACCACGGAACTCGCGGGCCAGCCGGGGGAGCTTGGCGAGGGTGGAGAGGCCAACGGCGGTGGTGAACTGGTGGTTGGTGATCAGGATGGCCATCAAATCACGGCGGCTCGATGCCGACAGCCCGACGGGCGATGAATCCTGGGCCAGCAGACGGGCTCGCTTGGCCACGGCTTCGTCTGTGGGCAACAGCGCTGCGAGTTGGCGCTTGTTGCTTGGCGGTGGTTGATTGCTGAGCAGTGTTTTGTCGTTGGGAGTGTCGTTGGGAGTGTCGTTGGGAGTGTCGTTGGGAGTGTCGTTGAGCATCGTGGTGGGCGACCTCTTGGGCCTGGGATAGCGAGGGGTGGGGAGAGAGCAGATGTGAGCGACGGTGCGTTTGATCAGAGGGCAAGCAGATTGGCGAGGGCCAGGACGTCGGGGGGGGGGTTGGCGATGAGGGGCAGAAGGACGGAGGAATTGCCTAAAGGCCGGCGGACAAGCGGGTGTGGGTGGGGGCTTTGAGGGCAGACAGGGACGGGAGAGACAAGGACGGGAGCGACAAGGCATCGGCGAAAGAGTTTGGAGTTATACAAGCAGGGGCGCCGAAGCGATTCAACAGCAATTTTATCGCTGCGATGGCAGCGGCAGCGTGATATTAAGCATTGCGATATTACTGCAATGTGATATTAATGCATCGTGATATTAATGCAATGGCATTGTTATATGAATGCGGTGCGAGAACTGCCGTTGTGCAGTGACAGCACAATGACAGCGGAGTTGCGGAGTTGCGGTCAGCTGAATTCAAATTGCAAACTACAGGCGGGTCCTGCCGCCACAGACCCGCAGCACAGTGCTCACACAGACTGCGTGGCGGAGCCTATTGGCACAGAAAGCAACTGTGCGCCACAATGGGAGTGCAAAACAAGCAAATGGCAACAAAGAGACCCAGCATAGCAGCAAACACAGAGGCAAGCAGCAGAAACAAGGGTGGCGGCTCCTTGGCCACACAGGGCAGAACTCAAAGCCGGCCCCAAGGCGGCCCGGCCCAGCACAGATCACATGTCGCTCCGCGGGTGTGGCCCCGCTGGCCGCGTCGCGTCCGCGGATATGGGGCTTGCCTTGTCGGGCGTGGTGCTGTGCGGCTGGCGGCCTTCCTCGTGTGCTCGCGCGCAGTTGCTTGGTTGCGCAGACGATCCCACGCGGCGCTGATGGCGTCCCAGGCCCTTGTCGCCGGGTGTCTCCTTGTTGCAGCCGGCCAATCGTCTGCCGACGTGCGTGGCCTTGCCGCGGAACTCTCTGGTGCAGTGGTGCGCATGTGGCACTGCCCGATTTGGCATTTGTTTTGCTTGTGCCACCGCAGGTCGGCGTTTGGAGGTGTGAATGTGCATTTCCAATGGTCGCGCCGAACCACTGCCCGGACACAACGGGGTCCCAGGCAGGTCCCAGGCGGGTCCCAGGCGGCGCTGGGGCGTTGCGCTGCTGTGCGACCCGCTTGCCCAATTTGGCTCTTTGGTCTGTGATTTGGCATCATCCTCCGTGCCATCCCTGTCGCTCCTTGCTGTGCCTCCGAACCAGTCGATCGAGACGGGCCGCTGGTGGAAGCAAAACCCCGTCTTGCGAACGTGGCCTGCCTTGCATCAACGTGCGGGGTCATGCCGCAAGTCGCCGCCCAGGTCGCCGCTCAGGGTGCGGCTCAGGGTGCGGTTCGGGGCCGTTCGGGGTGTCGTTTGGCTCGTCCGCTTTTGGACTGCCGCCTCTATTCCAGGAGATGCCATTACAATGCCAAGATATGCCCGCTGCCTTTCCAAGAAACGAATCGCCTTTCCGAGAAACGACAGACAAGACACGCATCGCCGCCGCTTGCATTGCCCCCAGCCCCACCGCCATCACGCGGCTGCTGTCTGGATGCTCATGGCAGCGACATGCCATTGGCCTCCCGCAGGCGCGAGTCTTGGCGGAGCTTGCCCTCCAGCTCAGCATACCGCAACGGGCCTGCGAGTTTTTCCTGGAACCGAGAGGCTTGCCGGGGTCAGGCTCGCAAGATCATGCGGCCAACGTCGCTGCTCCAACGACGCACGTTGCATGTCGAGCACATGCGGCCCGTCCGCCAATGCTCTCCAGACACATATCGTGATCTTACCGCGGCCACACGCTTCTCCAGGATGTGGATTCGGAACAGTGCTTCGTCGCAGAACTGGCAATTGCATCGCATTGGTCAACACGAGGATGAAAGCATGACAGAGCAGCATGCCACGGCGCCGCCATCGTACCTTGACATACGCCTCGGTCTCCTCGACGCTCATCGAATCGGCATTGCGCGAGTACGCAAGTTGGCGCCGCTGATACTCGGCGCTGACTTCGTCCAGCCGGGCTTGAATGATGGCGAGTTTCTCGGTCTTTCTCTCGCTGGCATGCCCCAGGCACGCCTGCCACACATCGTACGCCTCCTTGCTCGAGAGGCCGCTTGGGTTGGGCTGGGTCATGCAAAAGCCGAATGGTCAACATCGCCTGCGCAAATCCAAACGCCGAATCGGCTCATGCAGCGCCCTCGGTTCCAGACGCCTCCCCCCCCCTGTTCAAGACGCGACTGTTGCTCGGGGCTCCAAAAAAAGGAGTTTTGGCCCGGGTCCCTGTAGCTGAGCAAAGCTGTGCGCTGGCAAACGATGACGGATGACTGCCATCTGAATTGGCATCGGTCACAAATAGAAACGGGGGGCCCGAGCGGGTGCAGTCTGATTTCGGGTGGTCCTGGCTGGGTCGACAGCGGTCGCCAGAGTTTGCGGCGTTGCCTCGGCACGGGTTCGTGCAGGTCTCGCTCCAATCCCAGCAACCTTCGCTCGGGCACCTCACCTCTCGCTTCGTCAGCGCACCCCGCACGCATTTCTCGCATCGGCTGCGGACTTTGCAATACTCACATACGACACCAGGAACGGTGATAGATAGTCGATCTCGGCAGCGGCAGCATCGATCTCTGTGGCCTTGTGGATCTCAGTTTCCCTTTCGCTTGGTAGTTTCTGCACCGGTTCAAAGGTATATAAATGTGAGCAGGCTCGCCATGGCCATCACCGCAATCACAATCGAGACGACGCAAATTTGATCGCTGGCGCTGGCACCCGACCGATCGGCAGAGTCAATCCAACACGGTCGCGGGCGCTCGGGTTCGTCGTCCATCCTACCGTCTCATTCCGGGTGGTGTCGTAGATCGATATCGTCAGTGCCACCTCCTTTTCTTCGTTGAGCCGAGCAGCCACGATCTCGCTGGCTTCCTTCTGAGATCGCTTGATGTCGATCATGCACGCTGCCTCGGCCTTGAGGAGGCCGCAGAACTGAGCATACAGATGCTGCTTCTTTGGGTTCTTGAGGTATGGGTTGACCTGTGGCCGCAAGCGCCAAACCGAATGAGCGGCGATGCAGCGACGGCAGTAGGGCCTCGAAAAAAAAAGTCGTCACCTCGAACGAGTTTAGCAGCTCCACCGATGCAGCCTTCTGCTCAATCGCCGTTCGCTTGTATTCCCGCATGGATGGAATGACACGTCCTTCGCCAAGGTGGTACACAATCTTGATCTGCATTCCAGACCATGAATGTCAGGAGGAGGGGGGAGGAAACCATGTCACCGAGTCCACAGTTGTTGGAGAAGAGGAAATGACAGCCAAGTACGGGCGCTGCTCTGTGCAGTAGTGCCCGGCCAGCGCATTACCCGATCCGGAAAGTACGTCTTTTTGTAAATATCTTCCGTCGCCGGAATTGCTGGACAGAGCGAGGGAAGGGTGCTGTCAGAACCTTCACAGGGCAGCACGATCTCGCCGCCGGCAGAGTTTGGCATGTCGGCATATCCGTTCTGTCAGATCCATTGATCACGTCATGAATCAAGTACAACAGGAACCAGTGCTTGGACTTGATCCGGCCCAGCATCCTCTGGCTCAGACATCTCCCTCTCTCTGTGTACCATACCAAGGTTCCTCGAGAACTTCTCGGTCATCTTGAAGACCGGGGTTGGTTCTCCGAGTGTCTCTTCTTGTTGCTGGACGATGAAACAAAGATCCGCGTGAGGGAAGTCAGAAGGACATATTGTTTGACCCGGAGGGGCAGCGGCGACAGATGCTCTACTCAATATCGGAGTTAAAGTGCCTTGCTTTGGGACCCAGGACTGACAGTATTCTCTGTGGCCACTTACCGTCTCTGATACATCGTACGTAACGCTTCTGTAAATCAATCGATCTTCGCGGTTGGTAAAGTATTCCATCGTCTAGTCAAATGGCCAGAGTGAGTCACACAACACAAGGTGTTCCTCCGAGCGGAATAATACAGCTCCGCCCTCCTTTCCAACGGCTCCCAGTGCTCGCTCGTACCTTGTTCTCGGTCTCGACTCGCTTGACGAGCCCGTCCGATCGTGCTTCGGGGTAAAAATGCATCTCGGCCGTGTTGCCGGCGATGAGAAGGTGCTCCTTGAGTCCGGGCTGTCGCCCGGGGTCAAAGAACTCGTGGACGCGGTCCACATCCGGGTTCCTGATGCGCTTGCACAGCTTGTCTCTGGGTCGTGTGTTGTTGGACACCGGTCGCAGGGTGGTCCGAGACAGGTCGTGGCTGGTGAGGCACTGTCGGTGGGTGATCAGACGCTTTCGCCAGCACTCCGTAGTCAGACGCACTCACCTTCGGTTCATAAAAATCTCACGGATCTCGCCGTTGAACTCAATGTCCTCGTTCGAATAGAACGTCACCCGGGACACCATGCCGTCGTTTCTGTGGTACTCTGCAAAGGTTTCCTGGGTGGCAGCATCAGTATCTCGTACCGCTCCGTCGTCTTGGCCACACACTGTCGATGACCAAGCTCGTACTGACTTTTACTTCAGCACAGGATCTCCGATACCACTCTCCGTCTCCAATGCGGCTTCCAGAAGGCACAGGTAGCAAAACACACAACTCCATCCGCCATGCATGAGAGCGCAGTCACTCACCAGTTTGGCGTTGCGAAAGTACGACGTTTTGCTGCCGCTTGGACATCTGGACTCGAACTGATCCTTGGAAAGCACCAGCTTGTCGACCCAAGAGGGTGGCAGATCGAGGACGTGAGCGCAGCAGTTAAGGAATAAAGCTCATTCAGAAGGCACAGCCACTGGCTCACTCATATGACATGTCACTCGCTCCCGCAACCACTATCGTCCTCGAGAAGCAAGGTGACAATCAAGAGCTTCAAATGTGGATCCGTTTGAAGCCCCGACTCTCTCGTCCGCGCGTCCCCCCCCCTTCCGCCTTTCCATGCAAATCGCTTCAGAAAGGATATCTCCAGATTGACATCTTCTTCTTCGTCCTCCTCGGACTGGTTGTCGTTGCCTTGGTTGTCGTCGTCGTCATCGTTGTTCTTGACAATGTTTCCGCCTGGCTGGGTGTTTCCAAGAAGGAGGAACTCCCATTTGGAGTTATCGCCCAGGTCGAAAGAGATTCCCTGCATTCGCACCATACGTTCAGTTAGTCGGCCGGTGAAGCGATCGAACAAACAATCTGTCACTCTGCGATTCTATATTGTCCTTCTTCCAGCCTGAGGACTCATCAGCTCGCCCCAGCTTCCGTGGTGTGAGAAGATGCCGTGGCCACCTATCACGGAATGGCTCGATACGCTTGGAGAATATTGCCCAGTAAATGGCAGAGCGGATGAGTCTGGCTCACCTTGAGACCCTCATAACAGACTTGCATATTGACCCAATAGTTGGTCGAGCTGAAGACGCTCTCCACGCCGAGGTAATTCTCGTGCTCGGTTGGGTAGATGCGACCGGTACTGGGCTCTGGAGTTGGTGACGGTGGCGGTGACATGTGCATGTGTGATTATGATTATTTTGTAAGAGTTCGTGATGAAACACACACAGGGTCATGGCCGATCCAGTGATGGCCAATCCAGTCATGGCGATCCAGTCATGGCGATCCAGTCATGGAACGGAAGGAACAAAATACGCCGTGACATCATCGGGGGTGGTCGATCTTGCGGGCAGTAAGCAGAAGATCTTGTTTGAGTTTACCGATGAAGAACGCCTCAGCAACTTCGCGTTTTCCTGGAAGAACCAGAATCCAGGCGTGGATGCGGAGGCCCTTGAGTTCATCGACATCTTCCTCGGCGAGCTGGAAGGAGCAAGAGAGAGCAAGAGAGAGAGCAAGAGAGAGGCGGAATCGTCAGCACTGAATCTGAACGTGATCGACGGGCTCGGTTTGATGACTCCAGGAGTGCGGTGGTAGGGGTGGCGGCAGTGCCAGTGCACGATTTGGTTGCGTTTATCAGGCGGAATGGCTGCTCACCATCCTGGCCCGACGAATCTCCGCCAGCTTTGCCTCCTGCAGCTTCCGGAACTCGGCCTTGCGCTTCTCATCCTGTTTCATGATAAACTGGCTCCTCAGCACCCTGGGCTCCTTGACCTTGTATCTCGGCTGGATCTCGGCGGCGTCCTTTTCGGAGAGCTCGGACTTGGACAGCGCCGCCACAGGCTCCCCGCCGGCACTGGGCATCGATTCAGGTGGGTCGATCCCGAGCTTGACCGTGTCGAACCGGGTCTCGTCGACGAGGGTGATGTCCCGAGACGCGTAACCCGAGACCACATAGGCATCGTATCCCACGCCTCGCAGGAGCGACACCAGCAGCAACGAAAAGTCGAAGCAGTTGCCCGACTGGAGCTTGAGTGTGAAGGTTGGCGACGGAAGCGATTTGGGCTGACGTCGAAGCCGCGATCATGCATCACCAAAGGAGCGAAACTAGTGTCAATCGACACTCCAGAACAAAACACTTGCAGTGGCGTTGGCTCTAACGCACCCACGAGCCGAGATACAAAGCAATGTAAAGAGGCAATACCAGCTCGTGCGGCGGATCGAGTTCCTCATAAGTCAGATAGTCTGCAACAAACTTGGCACACGATTGGTAGTCATAGAGCTCCTTGAATGGCAGCTGCGTGGGGCGGATCGATGTGCAGACGAATTTCTAGACCAGATTCAGCAGAATAGAGTGTACCGCCTGGGTGAGATTGACTGGCCAATGGCTTCAAGCCAGAAACATTGGATATCATTGTGATTTTGATATGGAAAGACGAGCGTCATACTGGAATGACGTGATGCTGCGAAGGCGCAATGCCGTGGCGAGCGCGATGCTACGATGGCATGGAATGCCGACTCATCACCGCGCTCCGCGAAGATATCGTCATGCGCCAACACCGGGACACGATAGGATAACGGTCGCTGCACTTACGCGCAGACCAAACTCGTTGGTCGGGAACAACAGCAGCTCCTTGCGGCCGGGATACAGCTGGACATACTGTCGCTGGAAGTTTTCGACATACTCGATCACCAGCTCCTCTTTCTTGTTGTTGTTGTAGTAGGTGGTCGGGACCTTGGTTCTGTCGAGGAGGTCTACCAAGAGCTCTTGCCGCTTGGCTTCGCGCTTCTCGAGGTACTCGAGTTCGTGTTGGTCAATCTCGTCCAGCACTGGAGGCTGGCTTTCGGGACGTGGCTCCTCGGGCTGCTCGGCCGAATCAGGAGCATCGCCAGCGGCCTCTTCAGCAGGGGCGTTTTCGGCATCTGCAGCGGCCTCTTGGTCGTTATCGGGCTGAGTCGCGGCCGTTTCGGGATCCTCGGGTGGCTCGCCGGCCTGGGAGGCGTCCTCGATATTTGCAGGCTCCTCTGTTGCGAGCATGCTTCACTAAATCAAGCTGGAGGAGGAGGAGGAGGAGGATGCAAACGGCTGGGCTCGGCAAATATGCCTTACTCTGAGATTATTTGATGGTCTGACAACAGTGAAACTGCACTGCCGGCAGAGAGCAGGCGCTAAAATAGGGTTTCTCTTGGAGCGGGCAGGGCCACGATCCAAGACACTTGCAGTCACCGCACGACCCACTCAATAGCGGCTCTCCACATTTCACACTGTTGGCGCGGAGACGTGCAGGGTCGCTCGTGGTCGAAATTATGCTGCGATGGTATTCCATATTCTCAGTTTGCTGGAAATTGCGACAGCCTCCCCTCGGGAAGCTCTCTTCACCAAGGATAGCACCATCAGCATCAAGCTCGACCACACATCCGAGCGCCCGTTGTGAATCATGTCCCGGAAGCGAGGAATGCAAGTGGCTCAAAAATGTCATACACACAGGAAAGAGAAAAGCTTGCGCGTGGCGAACCGGGGAGAGGAGCATCGATGCCAGTCCCTGGAGCGACACGGCGATCATGGGCGACTCTACGATTGCTTCTGGATGGGCAAGAAGAGCTACAGGACGTGCAGGGCGAGTGGTAGTCAATGAGCGGGATGAAAGCACATCCAACGACAACAGCAACAACAGCAACAACAGCAACAACAGCAACAACAGCAATAACAGCGACAGAAGCGTCAGCCTACCTTGAATTCTGGTGGGAGCTCCTCCTCCGAGTACAGCCGATCGGAAAAGTAAATGCGTCGGATTCGGCAGTTGGCGTGGATCTGCACCCTTAGTGTCTCGATGTAGTTGGTACCGTACGCACGCCTGGTAAAGTCCGAGAGGTTGAACTGGATTTGATTCCATCCGTCGTCGAGCCTCATGGGCATCGTGCAAATAAACGGCTTGACACGGGTCGTCGACTGGACATGGCGGGGCCGTCCAAGGTAAGGCGATGGAAGCGGGGAGGATGGCGCAGATATTGCGATACAGGACCGAGTGCAGTAGATCGACAACGTGAGCACGGTGTGCCGTAGACTCGGCAAAGGCTCTATGCAGGGCCAATCCGAGCGAGGCAGGTGTTCAATGTCCGCGTGCAGGGGCGATCATCAGGGTAGCGGCGCCATCAAGAGCCTTGGAGACACTGACCTGGTAGTTACTGGCGCGGAATCGTCTCCTGACATTCTTGTCGTCCAAGACCTGGACCTCAAAGGTAAAGTACTTTTTCAAGTTCTTGATGATCATCACGAGGAAGGGCAACTTGATGCCCAGGGTGCGGTTCTGCTGGGCCGGACAGGTGATGTAGTTGGTCGAGACATTGGTGCCGATGATTTCCAGAACGGACGACTGGATGTCGTTGTCTGTGATGCGCTTGATGTGGCCGTTGCGGACCTTCTTGTCCCAGATCTGGAGCGGCTTGGAACTTGGAGAGCCGATCGGGAGAATGTGTGGGCAGCGCAGATGATCAGAAAACGGTGTCGAGCGCGAGGCTTTTGGATACAGCACAAAGATGAGGAGCCACCTGGGGCAACTCGGCTGAATCAAAGGCAGCGAGGGGGAAACATGAGTCCGGCGAGGGTGCGAAAGAAGGTCCGGATATAAGCGCAGCAGAGCATAATTGAACACGCAGGGCAGAATCAAACGCAGCCAAGAGAGTCGCACTACGCCAGCGCCACCGATGGTGGACTTGAGAGAATGATGCCTCCTGGCTGTGTATCGGCCATGGAGGAGACGCGTGCTGCTGGGGCTGGCCATATCACAAAGGGCTTGATCTGTTCCAAGCACACGGCCCACGGAAACGAAGCGGTGCCGCTATGCTCTGTTCCGTGATGGCCACCCATTGCAATGCTTCGCTCGTCATCCAGTTCATCTCTCTTGCCACGCGGCGATCATCCTGGTGAGCGGTCGCGTAATGCAGTGCCAGAGGCACATACCCAATGCTATAGAGAATGGAGAGAAACCCGGACTGGGGCGTACGCCGGTAGGGAGTCAGGAAAATTGCAGAGCCGCTGCCAGGCGCGCACCGTCGATACAAGAGGACTCTGACGGCGCTTGCACGCGTTGTGGGCCGAGTGCGGTTGCTCTGCGACGACAACGGAAGCCATGGGCAACGTACCTGGAAGGTGTTGCGGAACATGGCGGATGGTGGCGTTCGGCGGATATGGAGGCCTCTGTCTCAGGCCGGCGAGTGCGCGGATGAGGAGGGTTGTCGCAGGGGCAGAGAGCGACAGGCCGGAGGAGATGGAGCAGACCGGGAGAGAGGAAAGTGAGTGGCGGACGGAGGGTGCGGGCGGGTCGCCCAGCACCGAGAGGGGCGTGGCACCCGTGCGGAGCCAGCAGTCGCTCTGCCGGGGCCGTCGATGCAGCCCTGGACAGTCCCGAGTACAGCTTTTGATTGCCGAGTGGCGTGGGAAACGGCGGGTTCGATTTGATTGTGGGTTCGACTGATTGTGGGTTCAATTGATTGCGGGTGAGGTCACCCGGGCACGTGGGCGCGGTTGCATCCAGGATTGCCGTGGTTGCATCCAGGATTGCCGTGGTTGCATCCACGTCTGTTTTCTTCCATGTCGCACAGACTCGTTTCCGATCGCAGTCACCGTCCAACACCGCAAGCATCAACCCACTTCAACCCACTTCAACCCACTTCAACCCGCATCAACCCGCATCAACCCGCATCAACCCGCATCAACCCACACGGCCATGCTCGTCAGCCTGCGCCGGATCTGCCTCCGCGGGTCCTCAAATGCCCCCGTCCTTCCTTGCATGTCCCTCCGGATGCCCGCCAGTGCTCGGCATCTCGGCGGCCCACATCGCCCATCTTGGGTCGACTCTCGACCACCACTGCTCGAGCAGCACGCCCAGCAGGCGGTTTCTGGCCTGCGCTTGTTCTCCACATGCCCTGTCCGTGCCTCACGATCATCGACAACGTATACGTTCTCGACAAAATATCCCCGTAGGGCAGCAAAGCCAAAGACCAAGAAGCCCTCGTCCAAAGGACGACCCAGGCGGTTCTCGCAGCCCAGCGGCGCCAGGAAGCCGTCGCAAAGCCCTGGCTCGCTGCGGAACGTCCCCGGCCTGGTGCTTCCTCGCAAGCTGCAGCTCGATCCCCACATCGGCACCAAGCGGAACACCAACCACCAGTCTACCCAGGATCTCCGGCGGCCAAAGAGCAAGAAGCCGATGACAGGATCTGGGACCAGACCACCGGCCCCTTCTCCCGCGCAAAAGACAGCCAGAGCCCTGAGTCTCGAGAAGCGCCGACTGGTCATCCAGGAGTCGATCAAAAAACACAATCAAAAGTTTGCCCTCGAGCCCAACGAGTACTCGGAAAAGTCGGTGCAGGATCTGAAGCTCGAGCTCAACGGCATTCGCTTCGAGACCCTGGGGCTGCTCCCCGAGACCCTTGAGGCCGTCTCCAAGGGCCTCGGGTACCGCCGCCCAACCGAGATCCAGGCCCTGACCATCCCCAAGATCCTTGCCCGCGAGCAAGACATTCTGATAGCAGCCGAAACCGGCACCGGCAAGACAGCTGCCTATCTGATCCCCATCATGAACAACGCCAAGCTCATCGAGACTGAGCGGATCCAGCGGGCCACCCGGAGCGGCATCGACAGCTCAGCGCCAGCAGCCGTCTTTGGAGTCCAGGCCGACGGCACTCCGATCGCCACAACGACAAAATACAAGCCGCCGCTGCGGGCACCTCTGGCCTTGGTCATTGTGCCTTCGCGCGAGCTCGTCGACCAGGTCACCTCGGTCGCCAAGCGAATCACGCATCATCTGAAGCTCCGGGTGGTGGGCATGCACTCCAAAACCCGAGCGGCAATCATCCAGACCAAGCTGCAGTCACCGGTCGACGTGCTTGTGGCGACACCCTCGCTTGTCGAGCGGCTCGTCGAGGAGTCGCAGCTGTCGCTTAGATACGTCGCCAACGTCGTCGTCGACGAGGCCGACACCCTCTTTGACCAGGAGTTTGGAGCACAGCTCCGCAAGATCGTCACGCTGATCAAGGATGCCGCCGCCAAGCAGACGACGTCGTCGCTGCCCGAGATACCTTGTCGCTTCACCTTTGTGACTGCAACGCTGCCTCGCACCGTCACACTCGCCCTGAGCACCCACTTCCCCAACACCCTGCGCCTGACGACGCCGTCGCTCCACAAGACCCTGAAGCGGTGCTCGCAGCAGTTCCTCTACATCGACGGCTCCACCACCAAAAACCTGATGCTGCTGGACGTCCTGAAGCGCTCCTCCGGCGATCAGCGCATCATCATCTTTTGCAACACCCGCAAGTCGTGCGAGGCCGTTGGGCAGTTCCTGCGGTCCAAGGGCCTCAATGCCCACAACATCTCGGCCGAGATGGAGGTCGACGAGCGCAAGCGCATCCTGCGCGAGTTCACCGACAAGAGCCAGATCCTCTCCGTCGACAACCAGTTTGAGCAGGAGTTTGTCCGCAACCAGATGATCCTCGTTTCGACCGACCTGACCTCGCGCGGCCTCGACACGATGCTGGTCTCGCATGTGGTGCTCTACGACTTCCCTCAAACGGCGATCGACTATCTGCATCGGGTCGGCCGCACGGCCCGTAACGGCGGTCGCGGCCGGGCAACAGCCATTATCTCCAAGAAGGAGGCCCGCCTGGCCAAGAACATCGAAGCTGCCGTCAAGAACCACTCGGTGTTGGCTTGATCAAGCGATTTGGCAGCTGTCAGACGGAAGGGCGCTGGGCTACGGCATCGGGCGATGGTGCTGCGTCATCATTTCACACGACCGCGAGGCTCATGTACGATGCAAATGCACTCCGCGGCCGCTTGCTTGCTTTGAGGCCCGGCTGCTGCAGAGGCGCCCGCGGAACGTTGCCGGCTCGCTGCTGCTTCGGTGCTGGTGAGACAACACATTAGACAGATTCCTGAGGCAAACACAGAGCTCACGATGAAGCCGGGCACGATGCTTTGACTGAATAGGAATACACACGCATCCATCATAGGCAACCACCATCCGCTTTGTTAGAGACTGCCATGCGACGTGTTGAAGTCAATCATCGTGGCCCGAGGTGTTGGCCAAACGGCTTCCTGAGTGGTCACTATTGCTAATGGCCTCGTTAACGCTCTGGTCGCTATGGCTGAACAACACAAGTCTCTCTCCCGGGCGCAGGGTGGACAACGGTTTGGCGGTGGAGAACGTACATTTGGTCACTGGGTTCCAGGCCGGTATTCCCGTCTCCTCTACGCCTGCTCGATTCACACACGCATCACACCCATTTCGCCCGCTCGACAAACTACAAGGGAAGGAAGAAAACACAGCACTCGATCCGTCTCGCTCTCTAGAGGCACTCATACGCCAAGTTGGATGCTGGGCAGGCTCGCATCGGCATGTATCTGCCTGCCTGACACACACACACACTCTCTCTCCCCCTCCCACGGCTCCAGCTTAGTCACGGATGCCCGTCAGCTCTGTTTTCGGATCCCGTCCCATAAGCTCGGCCAGGACCATCTTGATGTTGCCGCCCTCGAAGAGCACCTTGTGGACCGAGTTGACCAGGGGCGAGTCCACGTTCAGCTTGCGGCAGAGGGTGTACGCCGCTCGGGTGGTCTCGACACCTTCGGCGACGGAGCCCAGGGTGGCCAGCACATGATCGAGGGCTTCGCCCTCGCCGATGCGTTTGCCGACGGTAAAGTTACGCGATTTCTCCGAGGTCGCGGTCAAGAACAGATCGCCGGCACCAGCCTAGAACCAAAGCGAAGAAAGAGGAGCCATGCAGAGGATGGGCCGTCAGAAGATGAGCCCACATGCCCATATCCAGGGCAGAAGAGGGAGACGGCAAGCGAGCCGCACATGCACATGCAACTGCACATGTTCAGATGGAAATACCCGTCCGTATCAAAGTTCCATCGGAGCCATTCTTCGGTCGCACTCGAGCGCCATCGATATCCCTTCCTCATCGACGCAGCGACAAGAGCCCCACGCCAGCCGGAGGCTTGCGTGCTTCGCTTACCAGTCCAGTAAAAGTCAGTGGATCGGCACCCATGGCCACACCGATCCGAGCAATCTCGGCCAAGCCGCGGGTGATCAGCGCAGCACGGGCATTCTGTTGGAACCCGAGGCCAGTGCAGGCGCCCGAGGCAATCGCAATCACGTTCTTGAGGGCACCCGCAATCTCGACACCGACGGTATCGACCGAGTCATAGACGCGGAAGTGCGGGGCGTGGAAGAGTCGCTGGGCCCTATGGGCCCGGGCTCGAGACTTGCTGGCAACTGCGACGCATGTCTGGAAGCGCAGAGGCATGGTCCGGCAGAGAGGATCACCCCCCCCCATCCGAGAAGAAGCAGCCGTTAGTGCTACGATCAGGCCATCGCTGGTTCGAGACTCGGTGGCTGCGTTCGAGGGTCGAGCGATATGTCCTGTCCTTGGCGGCCCTCCAGACTCAGGTTGTGACCTTGATTTGTAGTCCTGTTATGTGACCATGCCCGATGGTTTCTTCCCGTGTTCTATCTATGTTGCTCTCGCGTGATCTCATCTCCCCTTTATGAGGCACAGCAAGGGTCTTAGAATTCCCCGCTCATACGAAACCTACCGGCTGGCGCTTCACAACCTCGATGGCAAAACTCGGGCCGGACAGAAATGCGACCTTGGAGCCGATATCGTCGCCAAAGACTTCCAGGGAGATCTGGTTTGGCAGCAGCCCGCTGGTGATCTCGATGCCTTTGTTGGCAAAGAGCAGCAGGTGGTTGACGGTGAGGTAGGGACGGATGGTGGTGGCAACGGATCTGGGTTGGCGAAGAAGTGTTTGATGCGTTGGTGGCGCAGGGCGAGTCATACGAGCAAGGGAATCCTCTCGGGTTCGTCAGCTGCAGCACTTGGTGACGACAGAGGAGCCGATTGGTACTAAACGAAGCAAGCTGTGCAGAGAATCAAACTAGCTGCGCCGCCTGGCCAGAAAGATGCAGGATGCAGTGTAGGAGACGGCATCCACACGCACCTCATATGCTGGGTAGGAATCGCCATGATGATGACGGTCGCGGACTTGATCAGCTCGGGGGTCAGCTCGGTGGTGGCCTTGAGCTTGGAGGAGAGTTTGACCTGCAAACGATCGTACAGTTCCCACAATACAAGCAATGCCCCGCTCCGCGGATGAGTCTTGCGCAGAGATAAAGATTCGGCAGGCATGTGCAAGGATGCGCCGACGGATGTGAACCGACCCCAGCCATGTACTTTTTGTTCTCGTGCTCGAGGTTGATGCTGTCGACAACGTTCTTGTCTCGTGCCCAGATGGTGACATCGGTGCCGAGCAGGTCTGGCGGGGCCGCGATAGCGTTGTGATGGTGTTGTGATGGTGTTGTGATGGTGCGATGGTCCCGAAATTACGCCGTAATTACAAGGTGGAAACGATGGAAACGGTGGAAACGATGGAAACGTCAAATGGTCAGCGATCAAGCACACCCAGGCCTGTCCATCGCCAAGCACGCTCGATGGTTTGGATCAGAGGGAAAGTGTTGTGGACGTCGGGCTGGGCAAAGTGCTTGAAGCAGCGCGATTGATCGGATACATCGAGTGGTGGATGCGATGGCGATGGTTGTGGTTGTGGTTGTGGTCCTGCTGCTCACACCGCCAGCCAGCCGCCACCAACGGACACGGCTGACGAGCCATCCAGATGCTCGACCTCTCGGGAAGATCTCCAGCATCGGCAGCCTGTCCGCCTCTCCTCTTCCCTCGCGTCGTCGTAGAATCCAACGCCGGCAGCAAACAGGCAATGCACCCTGCCGAGGCATCAGCCTCCAGCCCAGGACGGGACCGAGAAAACGAGGTGGCCACGCCCATTCCAAGTTGCAGCGACGGCGGCGCAACGCACCTGCCAGATGGTCGGCCAGGCATGTTCCAAAGTTTCCGGCGCCGAGAACAATGACGACCTCCTCCTTGCCCTCGATCTGGCCGCCGAGTTTGGTGTCCTTGATATGGGATGAGGCAGCGGTGGTGTTTGGGGTGGAGGTGGTGCTGCTGGTGCCCCAGTCGAAGAGCCAATAGCCGTTGCCCATGGTTGCTCGAGAGACTACGCGGAGGAGGTGAAGCGGAGAGATGCAGACGAGTGCGTTGGCAGGAAGCGGCAACAGATGAATCGCAGATGAATCGCAGATGAATCGCAGGTGGAATGCAGGTGGAATGGAGGTGGAATGCGGGTGGTCGCGGAGGCTGGCCGGGACAGACACGTGACGATACATGTGACACGACTTGCCAGCCAGAAAAGGGAATCCCGGTTTTGCGCCGTGTGGCGGTGCGAGCGGGTGTGTGGCGGTGATGGTCGGGTGGTACAAGTCCAAGGCGACGGTGTCTGGGATGTGGGATGTTGAGCGGTATCTGGATATTGATGAATTGATTGAATATTGATTGAATATTGATTGAATATTGATTGAATATTGATTGAATATTTATTGAATATTGATTGAGCATTGACTGAGCGGCAATCCAGTGATGTTAGATGATACAATTTTCGATGTGTGCTGTCGATGGCCTCGGCAAGTGCAGAGTCCCCCGGAGGAACACCTTGACGTCCGCAGCACGAAACCATCGCCGTTCCTCGCAAAGACGTCGCTCACCGAGGACAGACCAACATCACGCTGAATGCGTCGACCCGGCGATGCCCTCAAACAATACATCCCAGGCAATGCTCCGCATCGATTTCCCCAACGCCAACAACAGCCCCTTGCGGCGACCTCCTTGACACAACCCCTCGTGCCCCATCGTGCGCTCACAAGAGGGTCACCATCCGCCCCTTGCCGGAGCACCCTCGCTGGCCACAGCCACCGCACAGTCGCAGCCGGTTGTTGGGTGCTTTTGAGACTGCTCCCATCGACCTGCGGCTAACAACACCTTCTAACACCTTCTAACACATCTAACACCATCCAACACCTTCTAACACCATCTAACACCACCTGACACCACCCATCATCGGCGACCAAGCGACATTTCCACCCCCGTGTCGCCTTGAGCAGCATGCACACCCACTGTGCCCCTCTGGTCACCGCCCTTGTCCCCGTGGTGCCGCGCGGCCGCGCAATCAACGATATGCGACCCTGCGTGACCGTCTTGCGTTTTTGCTGCGGCCACCCCTTCGACCTATCGTCCTCCCTGCCGGCTGCCTGCTTGTTGTTCGGCTGTCGGTCCGCTGTTGCTCGTCGGTTTCTCGACAGTTGCTTGCTTGTTGGCCTGTCGCCAGGAGCAGCGGCCTGCCCGGCATTGTCGTTGTCGATGTTGGCCAGGCACTGCCAGCGCTGCTCAGCACGGCTCGCGCGACAGCATCCTCGGAACACCGGCCTGAACCGACCGAGCGCTGTCGAACACAGCTCCCCCCCCCCTCACCTGCTCCTCTGCCTCTGCCTCCATCTCCCCCCCCCGAGCTGCTCCAGGCGGGCATCTCGGACTCGCTCCTTTGCTGGCATCGGCAGCCCTGCATCTGCTTGAGGCCCCGGCCACTGCTCAACCCACAGATCCATCGAGACCAGCCCTCGACTGATTCAGCGACAATGAGGAACTGGCGACACTCGCTGCTCTGCTCGCTTGCTTTGCCGCTGCTTGCCAGTGGGGCAGCTATAAGTTTCGTGGTAAGTTGCCCTCGCTCACCACAGCCCCAGCTCCTGCAGGTGGGCGGGAACTCGTCGTCAGCGGCCGAGATGCCGCCCCGCCGGCTGCGACATGTCCATGACTCGTGTGGATCCACATGTTCCATGGCATGTATCGGCCGACTGATGCGCCGACTGATGCGCTCCCCTGTCGATTTCCATTGCATAGGTCCCAGCGGGCGGAGAGATCTGGTCGTACGGCACGCACCAGGCTCAAATCGCCGTCGACCCCAATAGCGGACCGTTCTCCATGGGGTCAAAGCTGGATCTCAAGCTCGGCCAAGTTACGTTCGCATCCGGCATTGTCCTGGACGGATCCAAGACCATCTCCTTCACCATCCGCCAGGGCGATATCCCGGCGGGAACCTATGCCGTCGTCCTGAGCGACAGCAACGGCAACCAGGCCGACTCGCCATCGATCCAGTTCTCGCTCACCCCCGCAGTAAGTCTGTCACAGAAAGCAGCGTACAGCACCTCTTACCCCTGGTATCGCCCGTGCACTCGCACTTGTATGAAAGTGTATCTGGCCTGTCCTGAACCTGGTGCTTGGCAGCATGAACATACCCCAGCCACTAACTTTGCCCCTGTCCTTCAGCCACCACCACCACCACCACCACCTCCTCCTCCTCCTCCTCCTCCTCCCCCTCCTCCACCGCCACCGCCGCCTCCGCCGCCGCCGCCACCACCACCACCCCCTGTCTCCGCCACAGATCAGTCCCAGCCTTCCCCAGCAACCCTCTCGACGGTCGCAACGTCGGCATTGGCTTCTGCTCTGTCCTCTGCGAATGCCGCTCCTACTTTGTCGGTTGGTGCAGTGGCCCCTGCTGCCACAAGTTCAGGCGTGTCCAGCTCAAACACCGCGGCCGTTCTCCCAAGTACTCCCTCGGCTTCCCCGAGCTCATCTCAGGACGGCAACACCCCCTCCTCTGGACCAAATATGCCCATTGGCACCATCGTCGCCACCGTCTCGGGGCTGGCGGCAGCTACTCTGCTGTGCTTGGCCATCTTTATCTTTGTTCGACGGAGCAGAATGCGAACCTTCGTGAAGCTCCCCAAGCATGGCCGCTCCAGTCTCGAGGGCGGGCCTCCACTTCCGATGAATACTCTGGGCTCCGGCTCAACATCCTCATCGCCCCGCTTTGGCTCAATCGAGAAGCTCCACAACCCGCGCGACCACACGCCCCTTCCTGGAACCGACGGCCCCGCTCCGCAATCGTGGGAAGTGACCAAGCTACAGTCGGCCTCGACGTCCTCTCGATTGATTCCCATGACCGCAAGACACAAGCCCGACCTGCAAGCAGTCGAAACCACGCCCCAGATCACTCCAGTCTCGGGTGTTCCTTCGCATCTCCGTGTCGGTGGCCGTCCGAGCATGGATGCCTCGACTTCAGCCACTGTCGATCCGATCCGAGGCTTTGCTGCAATTCCGCCCGCTCCTGCGTCGAACCAGGATCCCACATCCCCGGTGCACTTCTCAAAGTCGCCTGTGGTATTGCCATCCTCCCTCAAGCCGACGGCCCATCCTATTTCCACCGCCAGTGCCGGGGCCGGGGCCAGTGCTGTGACCGCTGCCGAGACTCCCCTCGAGCTTCATGAACGCCAACAGCACTCGTTGTCTGCCACACTCGAGCCCAGTGTTCCCAAGAGCAAGCTTTCGATCTTAACTGCTTCCGACAGCATTGCTACGCCAACCATCGTGCTTGCTTCAGACTCGATCCCCAACCTGTCTACTCCAAACCCCGACCTTCAGTCTCCCACCGGTCCAAGTTCACAGCCCGCCCATGCCTCTGGAAGCCGTTCTACCTTTGGTCGGCCGTCCGCTGGAGCCTCGGCGACGGTCACCCGCACCATGAAGAGCATCCGAGATGAAGCGCCAACGACCCCTGTCAGCCCGGCTTCTGCTGCTGCTGCTGCCGGCTACAACCCGTTTGTCGCACCAGGCCAGAACCAGTCGGTCTGGTCGCAAGGCACTGACTCGACCTCAAGCATCCTCACTAGCAGTCCATTCGTGGCCACTGCAACGACGACCCTGACGACAGAAACAGCGGCCTCGACCTTGACGACCCAGCCGACCTCCCAATCGATTCCCCGACGGCGCTCAACTCTGATCTCGTCTCCGGCTCAGTCGTACCTTGGCGCCTCGGGCGAGATCGATTCCGAGTCCCAGCGCCATTCCATTAGCCGTCCTTCGACGCAACAGCAAGGCTCAGGCTCAGGCTCAACAACACCACCTCCACCCCGGACTCGGTCCCTCAGCATTCCTGAAGGACGCCCCTCCCTTGAGATCGGCGGCCGAGGTCGCTCGGTTTCCATCCACCGTCCCTCCCTTTCCGGAGGAACCAACAACAAGTTTGCCATCAACGTCGTGGCAATCGCCGACGATAACAGACCCATATCTGCCTCGGCCGATGACGACAGTAGATCCTACAAATCCATCGGCACGACGCACTCGATGAAATCGGCCAAAGCAGCCTTTGACGAAGGGCTGCGCAATCACCCTTCGCTGGAGAACCTCGCTGCAGATTTGGATGCCGACATCCACTGAGTTGGACCTTGTGTATGAACGTGTACATGTACATGTCCATGACTGGCTCGAGTCGGGCGCACTTGGGATGTTGCCGCTTGACCTTTCGATCCTTTCTTCCTCTGCGTCACCCCTTCCTCGCCCTCCCGTTCTTCCCTTCTTCTTCTGCATCGGATTTCAGGGACCTCATAACTGCCGCAACTGCCGCATTCAGGCTCTGCGCTTGATAATCCCCACCTTTGTCTCCCAATCTCGCTCGCTCTCCCCTCGCGTGCCCTCAGACAGTATGACTAATAGTTTAACACGGTCGTCTTTGAACCGAAGTGTGTCTGTTGGTGGCTGTTCGTCGACAACGCCTGTCCGGGATGCTCGCCACCATTCTTGCCAGGAATGTCCCACTGATCCATTGCCATCATCGCCAAGGCACCGGTCTGTGACGACAGGGCACATCCAAGTGTGGTCATGCATCTCCATGCCGCGATTGTTGTCGAGGACGGAGTATATTGTTCCCAAGTCGTTGATTGTTGTTGCCTTGACAATCTCCATGCCTCCAATTCATCCCCGACTCTAGTTGCATAAAGCCCAATCAGCTTCGCTGTCTATGGCTTTGGTCTCTGCAGTGCCCTGCCAGTTCGGCCATGTGGTGCTTGAGGATGGCCCGCATCCGATCCATCAAGCTCGGTGCCCATTGATCACTCCGACTGGTCGTTCGCTGATTTGCGATCTCTGGGTTCATTGGTGCCGGTGACGCTTGCCTCGAGCAGCCCAAAGACGGTCTTGTCTCGCTTTGCGGCTCCTCCAAGGCCGCTGATTCCGCCGACACCCTTCACGGCGGCAGTGCCGGCCTTTGCCTTGACGTCGGCATAGTTGGCCATGAACGAGCCGGCGGTGTCCTTTGACCCAAACTCGAGTGTATACGTCACCTTGTTGCGGCGGACCCGGACACTTCGAGCCAGGACCTTCTCTGCATCGGGGTCGCTCTCGGGGTCGCAGAGCTCGCACTCGCACGATGAGAAGCGGAAGCTGGCCTGGATGGTCCCGTCCATGTCGGCCTCCCGCATCTCGATCAGATCCAGGTTGGTGAAGACCAGGACCGTCGACGACACCCAGGCGCCTCCAAACTTGAGGCCCTGCAGGCCGCAGTCGTAAGCATAGGCGACGATCGAGGCTCTGGCCATGCCTTGGCTTGTGACGGACGACCGGTTGGTGGCAGTCGGGGACGATCTCTGCGTTTGCTTCTCGCTGTCGTTCCCGACTGGCTTGTGCTGGAGCACCTTGAGGAGTCTTGTGCTGAAGAGAATGATCGGGATCAAGGACGAGACCATGATGACCAGACACGAGAGAATGATCCTCCCGACGACATAGAGGCCCTGTGAGCTCAGCTCCTCCGAGAGCGCATACACCATCGGCAGACACAGCAGCAGCGTCATCGACACCACATAGCTGCACAGTCCGATGACCCTGGACTCTTGGAAGCGCTCGTGGGCGCCTCTGGTCAGATATGCAAACACCACACAGCCAATCAGGATGGCTCCGTTCAGGACATAGATCAGGATCTCGGGGGCGGCCATGGAGCCGTGAGCCGAAGCGCACACCAGGGCGTAGAAGCTGCCCTCGACCACGGCGGTGGGACTGCCGATGGCGACCCAGGCGACGCAGACCACAATCTCGATCCCGACGATCATGGCAGAGGCGAGGATGAGCTTCCAGTCGGGGGTCTTGATGGTGCGGATGCGCTTGTATCCAAAGATGATGTAGATGCGGATCGACTTCATGAGCAGCATGCTGGATGCACAGGGAGTGAGTGAGTGAGTGAGTGAGTGAGTGAGTGGGTGAGTGAGTGAGTGGGTGAGTGAGTGAGTGGGTGAGTGCGATGGCCGATTGTATCGACGACTGGTGCTGTCCACAAGTGAGTCCCAGCCATGTCGATGAAGCAACATTGCGGTGGTGTTCCAGAGCATGAGACCCAACAGCACCATACCTGAACACGGACGAAAACGCAATCACCGGGAGGAAGATGCGGCCGGCACAGACCAGGGGACTCGGATCGGCCGAGAAGAAGAGTGCGGCAACCTGGCCAAACACTGGTTGTTCGAGGCAGCGAGCGAGTCGACGACCACATCATTGAGCAAGATGATGTAGCAATGCAGGACAGCACCAGCACCCATCGCACCCATCGCACCCATCGCACATCGGCAACTTACAGGCGCCGGCCATGATCACATAGCAGCAGTTGGGCGAGATCGCCTGTATGTCCGGCCTCTTCCTCCACAGGACAATCAGCGTCAAGATCCCGGTATTGATCAGCACCGTGACAATCAGCAACACCAGCATCACAATATTGTCCGAGTCCAGGTTGTTGAAATGGATCATGAATGGCGCCGATGGCTCCGAGCAGTCCAGTTGCTGGTTGTTGTAGTAGCCGACGTCGCAGATGCACTCGATTATCGACGACGACTGGAAGGGGCCGTCGACGATGCAGTATCCGTGCTTGCAAGAGCTGGCGCTGACATAGATATTGTTTGAGTCAAAGTACGGATTGCAGGGCGAGGCTGGGTCATACAGAGACTGGCCGCCCTGGGTGACCAGCATGAAGGCATCGTAGGCGAACTGGCGGATGTTCGGGTCGGTGTAGTGGACAAAGTTGTATTGGTCGAAGTACGTGGCGGTGGACGGCGATGCGATCGGCTCGGTCGAGAGAGTCTGGCGATCGTATTTGTCAAGGCAAGGCCGGTGGTGCAGATGATGTTGATGATGTCGGTGGTGCCGATGGTAATGAAGTTGATGACAACACAGCAAGATGCCAGACCAGCGAGTATCGCAAATGGTATCGAATCGACCATGAGAACGGGCGGTGAGCAGGCGCGAGCCATGGTCAGTGCTTTGGTGCTGTCGGTGCTTTGGTGCTGTCAGCGCCGGCGCAACGATTGGAGTCAGGTCAACGACTACTCACCGTCTGAGTGCCGCCGAATATGATCCAATACAAGAATCGCAGGGTGGCTTGGATCTCTGCGGCGCTGACCCCATACAGCTGCGAGTCTTGGCGCAGAATGAAGAAGGTCGGTTCCATGAGGGGATAGGCATTGGGGACACTCGAGTCGAGGTAGCTTGACTGGATGGCGTTTCCGATGTCGTTGGAGATGTGTCGCAGGGCCGAGATGTTGGCCGTGATGGGGGAAGAAAGAGCAGCCTGGGCAGGGAGGAGAGTCGGTGGCAGAGGACCATCAGCTCCGTGACTCGCTGGACTGTGGATGTGCGTTGATGTGTGCACACAATCACCAGCTCGAACAGGATATCCAGTGATGTGGGTGGGACGATCATGGTCGCGCTGATACCACCGAGGCATCGGGTGCGCAACGAATCCCAACCCACAACGGGGAGGGGCGAGTGGATCGCACTTGCCTTCATCGTCTGCACGGATGGAGCGACAGTGTCGCCGTTCTTGTTGATGATGTTAGCGATCCCGTACAGATTGAAGCTGGATGCCATTCCAGATAGGGTGGCGTTCACATATGGCAAATCGACATACCCAATCGAAAACGGTACGACTTGGACGCCGTCCGACAGGATGCTGTCGCTTGAGCCAGAGAGAGGAGCATTTGCAGGGCCCCAGGTTGGAAGCGGATAGTATCGCGTCCCAGTGAGATTCAGGGTGGGATCGAACTTGTTCAAAGCCGAGAGGAAGTTTGCCGTCAGTCCTGAGGCGCCACTGTTGACGATCGTTTGGATACGCGCAGTGATCGTGGTGAGGTTTGGGTTGTTCTGGGTGAGGCGGGTGTCGTTCCAGAAGGCAATCTTGCCACTGAAGATGTCGGCCAGGTTCTGCCGAGTCAGCGTGAGATTGGTGACGTTGAGGTGATATACGATGGCAATGCAGCTGGTTTCCCCGTCATCGCGAGGATAATCAAGGAACAAGATTCAGTTCACGGGTCGCTGCGATGGCAGTTGGATGAGCACGCACAGCAACTGACCTTGCCGCAACTGGGACGGGAACAAAATACCCGAGAGTGTTTCCTGGCCCCGTATACGAAACGTTGGAGGGAATCACGTCGATGGCGGCCCATGTCAGGTTCGGAGCACCGGCCGCAAGAGCAGCTCGAGCTGCTCCGGAGCCGACGTTGGTATAGCTGTAGTCCCAACCCGGATCATAATTGGAATAGACACCGGAGATTGCATGGAACAGGGATGAGGGAGTATTGGATCCGATTCCTGCAACGATCACGTTCGGTTGCTGACAGAATGCGCCTGTGAGACGTGTCCAGGTCATATCAAGGAAACAGTCCGAAAGAAATCAGCTTCTCGTGTTTGTGATTCATGAGGGTGTGCCCAGTCCATATCATGCGACATCATGTTACCGAGACCAGACAGCAAGGGCAGGAGCCAGAGCAGGCACGAGTTGAGGATGGTCATGATAGCGACGCGACTTGAACAGCGATGGAGACCCGAACGAGAGGTGATGGTCTCAGCGCCTTTCGAATAAGCTCTTCAAGCGATGGAATGGATCGTCGGCGCGGAGGGTCTTGACTTGTTTCTTGATATATCCAACCAAGGCGATATCCAGTGAAACTCGACTTCTGATGAAGGCTGGGCGTCCTCAAATATTGTGACGGGGTTACATGTCGGTGGACGGAGAATATTCTCGAGCGGCGGCCCCGCCAACAAGTGATTGAGCTGAATGGTGGTCAAGGACCTTGCCATAGCGATCATGAGTATCGTCATGACCTGCGACAGGTCGGGCATGATTGGGAAGGGTCCTTTCGCCCGGCTGTGCTCATGGATGGCCCGTTCAGAAGACAGATCCCCAGAGTTGATCATTCAGAGCTGATCCCTGGAGAGCAGATCCTACAGAGCTGATCCCCTGGGAGTCAATCACTCAAAGAGGCGTTCCTATCGTAACTGCCATCGACATATCAATTGGAGTGAGCACGAGCTGTTGGCGGGACAGAGGTTGGGCTGGCCCGACCAAGCCAAGGTGCATGCTGGCACTTGAACGGCAAGAATGGCCTGATGGCCGACTCGCCAATCCAAGCAATGATTCGGTCCGGCTCGGGCCGGACTGGGCCAGACTCACCGGTCGATGTGCGATGCAAGCAAGGGCAGACAGATTTGCACCATGCCGATACCCTGATGATGCCCTGATGACGCCTTGATGATGCCTTGATGATGCCCTGATGATGCCTTGATATGCCCCGATGATACCCTGCCGACGACATTGCGGCGAGACGGGACAACCTGCGCTCGATTCTGCAGACGGCAGTGATGGTGTTAGCGCCAAATCTTCACCACAAGCGCCAAATCACTGTTTCTCTTCCCAGTGCATCAACATCAACACCAACATCAACATCAACATCAATACCAACATCAACACCAACATCAACATCAACATCAATCGTGTATCAACGGCTCTTGTTCCTCTTGCGGATCCGACCGAACCTTTCTGCCGAGCCGCCCAACCAAACGATCATCCTGACTCCGTAAACCACTTCGTCCCGCGGCCTGCCACCGGCCCTCGATCGGCGGAGCTCTGAGGATTGCTCGGGGCGATGGTGACCGGCTTGGTGGGGCGAGCGCAAGCCTCCTCCTCCCTCCCCTCCATCGTCTTGCCCATCCCGTTCGCCACCGATTCGACCTCTCTCTGGTCCGTGGTCTCTGCTCTCTATCGACCCCGCGCCTAGCCTGCAATGCCCGATTCCATGATCGCCCGCGAGGGGCGTGAAAAGGTGCATCCTCGCTCTCATCCGTCTGTCACCCGTGTTGGCTGGCTCTTGTCGCTGTCGTTGTGCCTTCTCGATTCCACGAACGCCGCGGATCCATATTGTGGCCATATATTGCCCTCGTCGCCGTATGACTCCCTATATGCGTCTGACCGCCATCTGGCTGATCTCCAGCAAGTCTACATCGAAGGCATTCGTCAGGTTGTCGGAGTTGTTCCGGTGCTGAAGGGCCATCCAGACCAGATCGTCCTGATCTCATCTCGGCGATCCGACACCTGGAGTTTGGTATGGGTTGGCCTCTGGATCGCGCTCGCAATTCTTTGACACTGCCGCTCGAAACTCTCGATTCGTGCTGGCCAGAAGGCATATACGATGCTTGACCTGTTATGCATCGCTATCTTGAAGCCCTCGATGCCACATGCTCAGATGGATCGCTGACTCTTCATCGCTTGATCCCACTTCCACGACTCAATCCCTTGCAAATTGATATCCTTCGGGACTCCTCCCCTTCCTTCCCTTCCCCCAACTGATGGTGCCATGCAGCCCAAAGGTGGATGGGAGGAGGATGAGTCACAAGGTAATGATCCATGGGCCGCCGAGATGGCGAAGCGAACGAGGACAATCACCAACCGACCAACATTGCCCTAGACACCAACATCCCCTGGATGGCGGTGCACTCATGGCACCCTTACCTCCGCATTCATATCCTCACCGAGACTAGTTGTCTCATCCTGGCTGCTGCTGTAGCCATCATTTATCTGATATTCACCCGGCGTCTTTGCGCAGAGGGTTCAGCCCTTCGTGAGGCTTGGGAAGAGGCCGGAATCAAGGGCAATATCGGGCAAAAGCTCGGCGTCTACGAACATACCAAGATTGAGCCCGATGGCCGCCCAAAGTCCCAGTTTACCTTCTTTGAGATGCAAGTTGAGGACATGCGCGAGCGATGGCCCGAGTCGACCGAACGAGACCGTCGGACAGTAAGTCATATCGCTGCAGCCCCTCTGTCTGTGGTCAGCATCGGTGCATGCTGTCGTGCAGAGAATGCTTTGACTACTTCAGAGACGCCGCTGGCGAAGCTAGGAGCACAATGTCCATCTGGTGACTTTGGCCACCGCAATAGTGACGTCCTCTGTGGCAACCAAAGCAACCGCCAACCACTCCATGGATACCCGAGCATGCTGTGCCTGAGAACCCCATACTGAACGATTATGTATCCTCAACACATACCGCTCTCATTATTTGCCTCTAGTTCCACATCGACGAGGCCCGAAGTCTGCTCTCCAAGCGGTCGTACATGCTTGAGCCACTTCTGCACTACGACAGTCTGCTGAAGAGCGGCAAGCTTCACTGAGCTCATGGTAGCCCATGCAGCTCTGTCTGATGACGACATTCCCATGTCCAAGATAGAACCAAGAATCGATGATCTTCCCCACCTCTATATTGCTATCATAATTACCACTACCACTACCACCACTACTATAACCATTGCTATTGCTATTACCATGACCACTACTACCACTACTATTACACCTTGTGCGGATGAAACGGGACCGTGTGTCCCTGAATGCGACTTTCAGTAGCCCCCAGTGGGCAGGCCATGGAATTCCACCCTGTCTTCGTTGGCAATCGGCTTGTTTTTGGGCTTGGGATCACAGTCTCGAATATACTCGGTCGATCTCCTGTGGCGATGATTGACTGTCATGGATGCTGCAATGCGGGGTGTGGCACTTGCACTCGACCATCTGGGCAGTTCCGTGGTTTCCTGACACCATGAAAGTCGGTAACTCGAGTCGCTTGGCTTCCAGGAACTGTGGGAACACTGTTTGGTCATGGCGGGCGATGAGCGAATGTGTACTCAGGACCCGGAAATACACTTTACTCAGGGGGAAATGGGGCACCCTCATGATCCCATATGTCAGCGTAGTATGAGATGGCATGCGTCCAACTATGCCATAAGAAATAGAACAGATCACTTTGGCAGCCTCCGAGTGAAGACCACCGCTGTTGAGACAAAGCCGCCGTTGCCGAGAGATAGCTTGGCTGTGATATGAAGGAACATCTCGCGACCTGCACGCCATGCATCAGCAGCCTTGTCTCTGTCCACAAGTACTCGCAATCAGCACTGACACCAGACGAAGGAGTCGCATGGAGAATCCAAGATGGCTGTGATATTGACCAGGACAGACAGCCAATTGCCGACAGGGCGACTGGGGCGACATCGGGGTATGTGGACGGGGTGAGAGTGGGACACATCGGCAAGCACTGGATATCGTGCACTGACTCCGAAGCGATAGATCAGGAATGTGTGTCAGGGAGATGTGAAGCACCGTGCAAGTGGAGGGCCATGGCTGTGCATGGGATGCACCATGAATGGCACTGCCAAACATGCAGTGACCTCCACCACCGAGCTAGTTGTGGGTGTCGGGACGGAAGATGTTGGGCCGCGGGTGCTCCTCGGGTCTCAGCGGCGACGGAGGGTTCGGAGGAGGTGGCAGATACCCGATGTGGGTCAGGTACAGCAGCCCTCGCCCGGCGATCCTCCCGGCCTGGGAACCGAGGGCCGGATAGATCGACCGGGTGTTGGTGTTGTCGACCAGGAAGGACATGCTCAGGATCAGATGCATGAGCGTCAGCATCGACGAGCCGTTGGGCAGCGACGGTCGGTAAAGCAGGGCCTTGAATCGCTCGCGGGTCTCGAACATGACAGGCCAGCCATAGGCATTGACGATCTCGAACAGTTTGGTCTCGGTGACGACGCTGCGAGGTGGGCCGAGGGACAGGATGTGTGGGATGGTGGTGTGGGTGAGTGACTGCCGAGGAATGGCACTCATCCTGCTGCTCTCCCTGTCTGCTTGCCGCTCGGCTCGCTCATCTCACCTGCGCTCTGGGTCGCTGATGTGGAACACAAACTTGGGCAGGGCCACCTCGGAGGCTGCGATCGCAGCGACCACCTTGGCGACATGGTCGACTGGATTCATGGTGATGATCACGGGGGTGGCATTGGAGGGAGCGATCTCGATGCGGATGCACCCCTTGATGTACTGCCAGATGTAGTCGTCCGAGTGGCACACTGAGAGAGTGAGAGTGAGAGTGAGAGTGAGAGTGAGAGTGAGAGTGAGCTGAGATGAGCTGCTGCACCACCACACCACCACACCACCACACCACCACACCACCACACCACCACACCACCACACCACCACACCGCATTGCCATATCACATCCAGTGACTCACCTCCATAGATACTGTCGCTTGCAATCAGCGATGGTCGGATGATCGTCGCAGGCACTCCCCTCGATCGTGCCTTGTTGATCAGCTGCTCAGAGACCCACTTGGTCTGTGCATACCCGCCAGAGACGTTCCAGTTGGAATACACCCTCTCCTCGAGCGGCGTCCTTGCACCCCGTGCCATGGGAATCGCCCCGACCGCCGAGATGAAGTGCAGCGGCTTCAAGTGGTGGGTCGTGGCCAGCCGCAGGGCCGTCGCCGTGCCCAGGACATTCGGCCCCTTGAGCGCCTCATAGTCGTCGAGCCAGTGCACCTCGGCGCCGCAGTGCACAACCATGTCGGTCTCCTTGCTGATCTTCTTCCATCGCTTGTTGGTCAGTCCCCACTGGTCGAGCGACAGATCGCCGCAGACACCAACGAGTCGCGGCTTGACATTGTTCACGAGGTAGTGCGTCTGCTGCGGGTTGAGGATCAGCTTCCTGGCTGTCTCAAAGATGCGGTCGATGGCAACCTGGTCGCTCGCGGCTCGGACCAGACAGTAGATCCTGGCAGCAGGGAACTTGGCAGCCAGCTCGTACAGCAGGAACGATCCGAGGAAGCCAGTGGCCCCCGTCAGGACGATGCCGCGAGGCGACTCGGGAAAGACAAGTGGAGGGAGACCCTCGGCCGTCACACTCGCATCGTCGAGCCGGGCGGCCTCCTGGTCGAGGTCGACTGTCGGCGGCATCAGCGGGTGGTTGCCTTGGAGATCAATCACCAGCTGGGCGACATCGAGGGGCGTCAGGCCGTTCGAGAGCAGCATCATCGGCGAGATCTCGACATCGTACTCTTCCTTGATTGCGAGGGCCAGGCGGCCGACACTCAGCGAGTCAAACCCAGCTCCGCTGATGCTGTAGTTGCGGCCGTCGAGAGAGGGAATCCCGAGGAGCTGGCTGCCGAGGCTGGAGATTGCAGCCGCGATGCGAAACAGCGGGGCATCGCTGGGGGCGAGACGGGGATACACAACGGATCCTTGGTGCAGATCGTTGTTCTCGGCGATCCACTTGATCCTCTTGAGGTCGCGCTTGCCAATCTCGGTCATGGGGATCTCGTCGAGCTGGAAGCAGTTGTGGATCGGCACCTTGGAGACGTTGACGAGTGCAAGCAGATCCTGGGTCATCCGGATAACGACGCTGGGCTCGGTGCGGGTCGTGGGGCGGGCCTGGAGAACATACAGCATCACGATCTTCTTCTCGGAGGTCTGGACAAACGCACAGTCGGCGATGGTGTGGCTCAGGTGCTGGACGACCAGGGCCTCGAGATGGTTCAGGTCGACATAGACGCCGTTGACCTTGATCTTCTGGTCGAATCTGGGTGTGTGAGGTGTGAGGTGTGAGAATGAAGAGTATGGGATGGATTGGCGGAGAACCAGTGGAAGGAGGGCACAGACCACTCGGTGGATACAGGGACATCGCACTCACCTTCCAACGACCGTAAACTCGTTCTCGCTGACCATCTCGACCCAGTCCATGGTGCAGACACGAGGCGAGCCGTCGCTGAGGAAGCCAAAGGAGGCCAGTCTGTCGTTGGGATCGGCGTTGACAAAGTCGGGGTGGTTGCGGACGGGATGGTCGGGGTCGACGGCAAAGACGAGGATCCCGCTCTTGGAGAACCTCGGTCGACAAAGTTGCCATGTTCATCAATGATATAACATCGAACACCGGGCTTGGCTTGTTTGTAAACCAGCTTCTCTGGAATGAGGCTGTTGGCCGGGATCCGCAGAAATGAAAGTGCTCCGATGACTGCTGACTGGCGAGGTATGTTATTTAGTTATCGTCTAAAACGGTATCGTTGCCAAGTAAATGAATGAACTGTACCTCACTCGATCCATATCCCGACTGAATATCAGCGTTTGGGAATCTCGCCCTCGTCATGTGAATGACACTCATGGGAATAAGCTCGGAGCCCAGTCCGATGACTTTCGTCCTCAACTCAATAACGATCGGGTTCCTGGACCTGGAGGCTTCGATGATCAGTTTCAAGAACGAGGGAATCTATGAGAAGGTTAGTGACATCAGTTTTTGAACAGCTTGGTCGAGAAGTATTCACTGATTTGGTAACTACCATATGTAAATAATGTAAACCGTCCTTCAATAACTGAACGATATTGTTTGCATTGTCGATAGAATTGAATGCCCGCCTTGGAATCCACACAGATCCTCCTAGGTTGACGGAGCAAAGGAGGAATCCCAAGGCCGCAACAAATGATGGTGCCTGAGAATCATCAATTGTCAGTATATTCAACCTTGCCCATGTATCAATGCGACATTTGATATCCTGCATAGTTACCTGCAAAAGCCCGACTCTACACTTTGTTATTCCTATAGAAGATCGAGCAGTTATCCCTCCAGTGTGTGCAAACTGGAACCTGCAACCATCAACATCAAGCACAGAAGGATTCAGTCCACGAGTGTTGATGCGGTCAATTGTGACTGTGAATAAGCATCAGGTAGACACAGAAACAGAATCCACAACATCAGAATCCACAGGATAACTCACGACTTGGGGATGCCTGTGTGAGCGACGGGGATGCAGGAAGCAGAGTTATTGATTGCACATGCATCGTCAGCACAACCTCTTGCTTCATGTCACGCCCCAAGCTGTCCACCATCCGACATCATGCTCTGCCGTTCTTCCCGACTATTCTACATACCTGTCGTTCCCGAGGTGCACTGGATGGTGACAAAGTCGTCGAGAGCCTCACTGAGCTCGAGCGATGGAGCAGGGACCTCGCTGAGCATCGGGAAAGTGCCGCCGTCCACCAACGTCACTCCTTCCGTCCTTCCAGGCTTGGTGTAGTGGTGAAGGATGTACTTGACCGAGTGTCTGTTGGGTGCCATGGTGATCGAGAGTGCGTCAGTCCCGGCTTTGTCGATCGTGGGTCAGTCTCCCACTCTGTCGACTCCACCCACAATCGGACAGCCGATGGCCAGTTGAGACCAAAGTTGAGGGTTTTCCTGTCGGTGGATACGTGGGTGAGTCAACTGCGGCTGTTGCCTGTCATCTCTGGAGGGAGGACTCACTCACAGCACATTCCACAGCCAATCCTTCTGACCCTGGACTGGTGGCAGCGACATCCACAGCCAGGACCATGCAACAGACAGATCGAATCACAGCATCTGGGCCGATACTCACTTGCCCAGCATCCACACGGCGAGCGAGAAGAACACCCAGTGCGCCTCGCCTTCGCAGAAGGTGCCGATGGCATCGTGGCCGTCGTCGTTCCAGCCAGGGAGAGCCTTGAGAGCCTGGGCGATTGAGTATGCATGTTTCCACACATCGCGGTATGAGTAGCGCACGGACTCGCCGCTCTCGTAGGTGTTGATGCAGAGGGCATCGGGCTCGTCGCGGGCCATCCGGATGAAGGCTTCGACCGGATGGACCCAAGGGTCGAAGGGGTCGGCGGGCAGAGCTGGCTCGGGCTGAACAGGTTCGGGCTCGACTGCGGACACCTCGACCATCTCGGCATCCTCCTCCATCGACTCGATAGGCTGGACCTCGATGCCGAGCATGTCGTCCGAGTCGTGGGTGCTGACGACCATATCGGAGCCAAGTCGGCAGGAGAGACAACGGCAGCGGGATGCTGTCGGCGAGGAACAGGGACAGGCAGATGGCAAGGAGCCAAGGGGCGAGGGGCAAAGGGGCGAAAGCTGAAGGCGCCGTTGTTGTGGGGAATGTCGTGTCTGGTTCGAATCGGGTGGCCAACAAGCCGCGCCGATTCCATGGTCTGCCAGACATGCATGCCAGCGAGCTCGGATGGAAGGAGTCTCTGTGCGAGGCAGTATGCAGTCGATTGTTGTGGGAGGCTTAGCGAGCATCACAATCTCACGATCACCATCGACGACATGCGGCCTGGGATGTGTGTCCTGTCTATCATGGATGAGAGTGTGAGCAGCACTCGCAACCCGAAGCAAGCCACTCTGCTACCACCTCTCCCATTTGTATTGGAAAACACTCGTATCCATTATCCGGAATGGACATCCTCATTTTTGCATATAGGGCAAGCAACACACCCCCAGCCCCCGTCGCCAAGGTGTGCGCAAGTCCACCATTGCCCATGGACGTTCCAGTCACGGCGGACTCGACAACAACGATTGGTCACCGCCTTCAGTCATGATGTCCCTGGACCTCACATTTTACTCTTTGGAGGTGCTATATTCAAGATCCGCAGCAAATTATGCAGATACATGTGTGTCCAGGTTCGTTTTGCGAACGAGGCCACGGTAAAAGAAGGGTTATAAGAGGTCTGATCAGAATCTCGAGATAGAAAATGTTCATCGCATGACGGATGTATGTTGTGAAGAGTGGGGCATGCAGTGGCCAAGAAAAGGCAAATCAGACTGCTCCCGAGGTGGGCTTTGAGACGGAGGAAGCAAGTGCAGTGAGAGAGACACGATGGCATTCATCCTTTCCTCTCAGATACAGCGATGTTGGGCTGTCTTGCGACGGAGGGTCGGTCCTTAAGCGCAGGTTGCGGCGCCGTCGTCGCCCTGGTAGCAGATCGAGAACGAAGGGCACAGGGCGGCACTGACCCAGACGCCGTTCTGGCAGACAACGGTCGAGTAGCGGTCGCCGCAGGTGTACTGGCCACCGACCGAGCAGGGTGAGCCCGGAGCAGCAACCTGGGCAGGGGCAACGATGGTGATCACAGTCGAGGCGGTCGAGGAGATGGACTCGAAGCCCTCCAGGACGGCGCGGACTCGGAAGCTGCCGACGCCGATGGTCTTGAGCGAGCTGGACGGGACCGAGGTTCCCGAGCGCTTGAGCTTCCAGATGGTGGAGCCGTCGACGGGCATGGTGGTGACCTTGTTGGTGTCGACGTTGATAAAGTCGATGCTATGCGGGCAAAGCGACGGGTGAGCCGGGCATGCAAAGGAGACAGCGAGGATGGACCCAGTGCGGCCTCGATGGGTATTCAGTCATCCGAGTCCCTGCACATTCTCTCCACCACCAGCCAACGCGAGCGACATGAATACTTCATGAACATGGCAAACACGCGCCCTGATCGCCCCAAGAGCACTCACCGAAGGACCAGCGACGAGCCGAGATAGGTGTCGGGCAGATCGGTGTCCGCAGCCATCTGGAGCAGATTGCTGTAAACGTTGGTGTCGTCGATGAGATAAGTGTCGTAGGTCTTGCCATAGCCCGTATGGCGCAGATAAAAGTTGAACAGCGAGAAGGCCGGAGGAGCCGTCGGCACCGCCGAGGGAGTGGGCGAGGGAGCTCGCGAGGAAGACACCGAGGTGACGGGCTTGGTGGTCGTGGGGGTTGGAGCGCCAGCGATGGTCGAAACCAGGGCGGCAACGATGAGGAAAAGCTTAGCGAGCATCATGGTGCGGGATGCGAGAGAGGTGGGAAGAGGTGCGAGCGATGGGCGACGATGAGGATGCCGATGAGGATGTCGATGAGGATGTCGAGGAAAATGGCCCGCCTGGAGACTTGCTCATATAGGGCCGTGGCCGGATGGACCTTCGACCTCTGCCGCCACCACCGCCGCTCCAGCGGGGCCTGTCCTATGGTGCATCTGCGGTGCAAGGAGGCTCGGATGAGAGATGCAAGCCTCGGTGGTGGATGGTCTTTTTTTTTTTCTGACCCAGGACGCATCAGAGTGAAGGCGGTTGGTTCCAGCGCAAGACGCAAATCTGCACTGCTCAGCATCCAGGAGCGAGCGCCCCAGCACAGCATCAATACAAGCCGACTCCATCGGTCCCAGCCGCAGCGACAAAGCAAGTCAAAGAGGAGGTGTGGCAGGTATATGGGTGGATGCTGTGGCATTGTGGCGCTCCCACCGAGCAGATCTGCAGCGAGTGTCCCCAGAGCCCTCCGGTACTTGCCACGGATGCAGTGCCGGCACGGACTTGCGACATGTTCGTCAGCAACACCGATCGTTAGTCATGGAGGCTCGGGGGTTGTCCCAGGCATGTCGGCCGATCCTGACGAGAACTCTGCCTGGGTCAATGTGCTCTGCCGGAGCAGAACAAGAGGACGGCTTCGGTCGTTGTCGGTCTGCCCTCCAGCAACCATCGCCCGAGAGGATCTGGAGACAAATTTTCGCTCTCTCTTGATGCAACGCGGCTGTGGAACTGTGGAGGTGGCAGACCGGTGCATCCAACGACACAAATGAGACGCATGGGCCAGGCGGCGGTTCTCCTGCGGCGCAAAGACGCTATTGCCAAGGGACATTGCGTCGAGGGACATTGCCCTTCTTGCCTGCGGTCGATCGCCGTGCTGCTGCGTGCAAGAGCCCAAGTCGACCTCCACCCAGATCCTCGCTCGGCTGGATATCCAACAAGCACAGACTCGCTACATCGCCCAAGAGCAGAGGGGGGCAACGACATCGCCTCTCTTGCAGCGACCAGGGTGTCGCAAGGCCCATGTCCAGCCAGAGCAGCCCAGCCCCAGGCAAATTTGCCTGGTTTGTCTGTCATCACCACTGGCTCTGGCCCCCCCTGTCCATTCGTGCGGTTTGCGCGTCGTCTTGAGCCTCCATGACGGGGGTCGACAGCACGATTGATGACGTGCCTGCGAGCCAGAGGCCGAGGCGGAACGCCCATGCTCTTGGCGATGGTGAGTCGAATCGATGCACCACACCAGGTCCAGAAATGTGCTGGGAGAAGGAGGATGAAAGGCGGCCAGCAGACCACAAAAGCTGTCGTGTTTGTTATGGCAGCGGCTCTTCGCTGTCGCTCAGGCGAGACAAATGAAGATAGGCATCGGTGCCGTAGCCCTCCATGCTGATGAGCTTGAGATCGCCTCCGAAATATCGAGCATAGAGGCGCGAGAGCGGCAGGCCGTATCCGAATCTGGAGAGGAGCAAAGGTTGAAGGCGGCACTTAGCGCACATGCGACGGAGGGAAGGTGATCGCCGTGGACACGAGCCAGCTTCTTGGCAATGACAGTCATCGACGTCGTCATCAGCACGGGCATGGCCGTCATCGTCATAGCGCTCGCCCACCACTGGCCTCAGGCCGATCCGGCAATGGCCATCCGGCAGGCTCAAACGCAGACAAGCCCCCATCCCACAAGCACGCACTTCCTCCTCGCCTCGGTCGACGTACCCGGCCATGGGTGCTTTGAAGTCGCTCTTGTCATAGTTCTCTTGGAGCATCGGGCTCTCGGCCGTCGTATACATGTACGACCAAATCAGCGGCATGCCGCTTCGGGGGATGCCGCCGCCTTCGTCGCTGATCTTGATGGTGATGTCTTCCTTGCCCTCGGCCACGACCACGCGGATCTCGGGATAGGCCTCACAGTCGGCGCCGTAGCGCTCGACAACGGCTCGGAGCGAGTTTTTGAGAAGCTCAAAGAGCATGTGGTGCAGGTGCGAAGGTACGTACATGAACTCAATCTCTTGTTTGCCATACAGCTTGATGTCCGGCGCCTTCCAGAGGCCATAGTAGTCCTGGCAGATGAACCGCGCGTCGTCGATGGCGTCGAGAGCGACGTTGCGGAGGCTGGTCTTTGGGCAAATGATGCCGACAAAGCCTGGCTGCTGGGCTTCTGGCTTGGAGATGGCGACATGCTGTCCGATCAGCATGCGGATTCCAATGCGGGAGAGATAGAAGCGATCCAGGAACGACTGCACGGGTGGTGGTAGAGGGAGGCTATGCCCGTCTCGGGGATCGCGCAGATACGGGGCGTTGGTCTTGCGCCAGTGTTCCTTGAGCTCGACGATACCCTGGGCTGCAGAGATGAATGCGAGTGTGGGAATGTCGTCAAGAAAGCTGGCAAGACAACACCCGGACGGCTCGAGCGCAACAGGCCGATGTACCGGATGGGGGAAGGCAGAAATGGCGATACCGTCCCAATGCAATACCACGGTATCGAGACGGAAGGAGCCATGGAGCAGCACAGGCACTGCAACGACACGAGCATGGCAACAGTATATTCCTGGCAGCGCTCGGGCGATAGCGTGACGCAGCCCTCACCTATAGTGGAGACGACGGGATCGTGTCTCCGCTTGACCTTTTCGATGCACTTGACAAACATTTGGTTGTACTTTGCAAGTTTCTCGGTGTGGGCTACGTCTTCGACTGCCTTGAAGTATCTGGCTCGGGGCAAGGGGCCGGATCGGGGAGGAGACAGGCAGAAGCACAGCCAGCGGCAGGGGTTGTGAGAAGGGTATAGTCGACAGCCGGTATAACGCATGGCCGTGTGCATGCCGGGATGGCTGCGGCCGAGCAGCATTTGCCCGATGGCGCCTGAAATGTAGTGCCTACCGGATGGCTAATGAGCATTTGTGAGGAGGGACGAGAATATCGATATGGCAAGGGTGGAGGCCATGGGCCATTGATGTTGGAGATGTGGGCAATCAGAGCCAACAGCATCATGCGGCCAGCTCGGGGCCGGCATTGGGGGAAACGATGACATTGGGTAAATGGCGCAGGAAGAGCAGTCACAGGCATGGCATATGAGACAGGGTGTGGGAACAAGGCGACAAGGGGGGCCGTGACCGGATCGGAGCATGATCGGAGGGTGGAAGTTCGGGATATCGAGGGAGAACAGCAGGGTCAGCTGTGGTTGTCACTCGACGAGAGGAGCGAGGAGAGTCCTGGTCGCTGAGGAGAATGCATTCGGATGTGCTCTGGGGAAGGGATCGCTCACATGTATGGGCTGCTTTGAGAGCGCTGTCGGCTGGCGGCACGAGGGTGCCTCGATCAAACCACGAGCTGGTCTCGAGTCCAAATTCGCTTGGGCTTGGGAACTCGATGAGGTCCTGGAAGGACTGAGTGTACATGTTCTTGACCTTGATGACGGACTGCATCTCGGACAGATTGTGGGGGAGCGACTCCAGCTCGACGACCCGGTGAGCCAGACGCACGGGGAGCTCGGCATGGATGAACTGGGTGCCCCGGGCGAGGGTCGACTGGGTGGGCTTGCTGCCTGAAGTTTTGGAGGGGAAACATGGAGAGCATGAAACGGAGACAGAGGGTAAGAGGATGGGAGCCGGCATGGTGCAAGCGGATCATCCAGGGTGCAGAGTGGGTGGGCAACCAGTGAATGCTCTCGGACTTGTCAAGAGCGAACAGGATGACTCGAAACCGCATCGAGGCGATTGTCCCATCGACGACCCATCTTGGCGTGTGGGTCTCTTGGAATACAACGCTGGTGCTCACCAAAGTTGACCATCTGCTTGAGCGACACCGGCGTTTGAGGAAACTTTGCAAAGTGCCGGATCTTCTCAAGCACCTCGGGCGGGCATTTGTAGCTCATGGTGGTTGCAGACGGTCCTGGCGGTGATGACTGGCGGAGGAAGACGGAGCGAATGCGCGTGACCGCCCACTTGAATGGAAATGCGATGCGATTCGATTCGACGCAGTACGATGCGCTGGGATATGGAAAATATGAGGGATGATGTTCAGGGCGTTGGGGGCCGATAGGTGACCAGAGACAACAGGGACAAAGAGCGACGATGGAGGAGGAAGAGCAGGGAGGGAGAATGCATCTATAAGTAGTCGGAATGGAGGCGCGGAATAGGGCATACGGCCGGGTCTGATCGCCGGGATGATGGCGGATGACGGCTGGCAGGTCGCTCACGAGATTCGCATCGGGAGAGCGAACCCAGCGGCATGACGGGAACGCCCCCGGAATGCAGCCGAACCTACAAGTTGCTTGCAGGATGATTACGAGCGATGGACACGCTTCTTGCGGGGTGATTACGAGCTGATTGATATCAACGACAAGTCGCCCACCAATGTCCTCGGGATGTCTCCGAATGTCCACCAGCAGTCGGCTGGCCAGGGCGAAGGCGCATCGGGCGGGTCTTGTTCGGGTCGGCGGGCTCATGGCGGCTGCGCACGTGGTGCACGTGGCAACACATGTGACGGCTGGATCCGGGATTGGCGCTGGCTGGATCCACGATTTGCGCTGGCTGGATCCACGATTTGCGCTGGCTGGATCCACGATTCATATGTCCGCTTGGAGTTATAGTGCCCTCGTTTTTGTTTTTGCAAGCGGCACAACCACCGTCACAACCTCAACCTCCATCACCGCACCCGCATCCACATTCACATCCACAGCCGCAGCCGCATCCGGCCGTCACCGATCCGTCCTCTCGTCAAGTCCACTCCAGCCGCAACTGCACACCCCCCACGATGGTCCGAAAGCTCAAATTCCACGAGCAAAAGCTGCTCAAGAAGGTCGACTTTCTGCAGTGGAAGTCCGATCAGTCGCTGCATGAAACCAAGGTGATGCGCAAATATCACATCCAGAAGCGAGAAGATTATATCAAGTAAGACACTGTCCATATAGATGGAGAGATGGTGGTGGTGGTGGGAGGGAGCAGAATCCCGCGCCTGGGCTTCACAGCGTCGGCATGCGCTTGTGGATCGCTTCCTCTTGTGCGCATGACAAGACGACAGGACGACAGGACGACGACGACAGGATGACAGGGCGACGGCACGAACCCATCCGATAGATTGAGCGTGGAAGGACCGGAATCGCTCGATGCATCGTGTGTCGTTGATGCTGCATACCGGCATCTCGGCGGCCACTTTGCAGGAGCAGTTGCTGGATCCGTCGAACGGCAGCCCGTCGAATGGCAACTCCATCCACAGAAGGCACAAATCCCCCCCCCGAGATATGGAGGGGATTTTACGAATGCTCTCCAATCCTCTCCCTGACATCACCCCCTCTCAAACTCGGTCGCAGATACAACAAAATCTGTGGACAGATCCGCAAACTGGCCACCAAGCTGTCCCTTCTGGACCCACACGATCCCTTCCGCGCAACCAAAACCAAGGCCCTTCTGGACAAGATGTATGCGATGGGGCTGCTGACGGCCAACAAAAACCTCTCGAGCTGCGACAAAATCACCGTGTCGTCATTCTGCAGGTACGATACGGGTGCATCCTGAGAGGCGGGGCCAGTCGTATCCAAGACAGAAGATCTCCAGGGTGATCAGGCTCCGGGCTGCAGGCTGCAAATCTCTGCTAATGCGGGATCTCCCTTCGCGCAACTCTTGGCTCAGACGCCGGCTACCGATCGTCATGGTGCGCCTCAAGATGGCCGAGACCGTCAAGGAAGCCGTTACGTTTGTCGAGCAGGGTCATATCCGTGTTGGCCCGGAGACTGTTACCGATCCAGCCTACCTCGTGACTCGCAACATGGAAGACTTTGTGACCTGGGTCGACACCTCCAAGATCAAGAGGAAGATTCTCAAATACAACGATAAGGTGAGTCCGGAGCTGTGGGTGGAATAGCTCGCGGCGCGGCAGTGCTAGGCGCTGCGAAAGATCGCTGCAATCCAGGCATGTGCGGAGCGATCAACACACAAACTGACATGTTCTCTGCGACGGCTGCCTTGCCATCGACACCTGCCCCACACACAGCTCGACGACTTTGATTTGCTGTAGCCGCACCCAGTGCCAATATACTCATGCATTGCACCGACTTGATCGTGTCTGTCTGTTTGCTACTTCTTGCCACACGGGCGATCGATATTGCTCGCTTCCATCGTTCATGGCAATCGTTCATTGGCATCTCTGGCCTGTGCGACAGACAGACGCGCCAGAACCGTGTGCACAAGGTCGTGTCCCAGCCGAGCCAAAATCGGCTCGCCAGCGCTCTCTTCTTCTCCTGGCTCGCATCTCTTCCGCCCTCATCCCGCACATCCCGGGCCTCATCGCAGGACATTCTATGCAGATACCTCGCAAAGCCATGCATCCAAACCGCCGTGCTGCTCCGTCATCTGGGGCTCGAGCCGCAGCCAGGAAAGCCGTCGCAGCTCGCCTCTCGCCCGCTCTCGTCCTGGTTGTTGTGTTGGCTCTGGCCCTGGGTGTGGACGCTCAATGGCGAGCGGGACAGGCCACACATTACGGTAAGCTGGTGGACAGCAAGTGCGACTCGCTCGACTCTGTGCTTGACAAGGGCGCTCACTGCTCACGGCTCTCTGCTCTCTGCTCTCTGGTCTCTGATGGCTGTTCTCTGATTCCTGGTCGCTGCTGCAACAGGTCCCTTCCCCGACTATTTGCCGCTCTCGGAAGCCGGTTACCAGGCCAACGACGTCGGCGTGGGCTGCTCCAACGGCCAGCCCGGCGGCGACCCACACTGGAATGCCATCCTGAGCAAGGGCGTCTATCCGCCCCTGAACAACTCCATCAACATTGGCACCGTCTGGCCAAAGACTGCCACGGTCGCCGTCTCAGAAGCAATGTACGGCTTTGCCAACAAAGACAAGGTGTGCTGGTCGACTCTGACGATCCGAAACGCCGCCAACCACAGCCAGACGGTCCAGGCGATCGTGGTTGATTTTTGCCCGGCCAATGGATGTCTCTGGCCCGCGGACCAGCTCGCCAACAACGTCGATCTGTACGGCGAGGCCACCTGGAACGCTCTCGGAGGCGGGCTGCTGGACGGAACGGTCAACATCGAAATCATCTGGCCGGCGAACCTGAACCCCAACGCCCAGCCCATGAGCGGCTGGGCCATCTTTGGCATCGTTGCGGGAGTGCTTGTTGCCCTGGGCATTGTCGGGTTTGTGGTGTACCGGCTGCGATGGCGCCACCGACGACACCGGCCCTCGCATGTCATTCTGCCGCTCAAGGTCACTGCACCGGGCAAGTAGGAGATTGAGGCGCTGCGGGGGGGCCATCGACTCTGGGGATCGGCCTTTGCTCATACGATGCTGTAACACGAATCGCTCTCGCTTGAACTGGATGTGGGGGGCAAGTCGTCGGCACCGTGAGCGTTTCACTCGCCAGGGCAAACGGCCGTGTCCATGTCCATGTCCATGTTGGACTGGCATCTGCTGTCACTTCGAGATCAACCAGCATGGGCGGCGAACGGGATCGGATCGGATCGGATGGGACCAGGACGGATGGATCGGGGCGGCGCCGGCGCACGCGCTGGCTGGATGGCTCCGAAAACGGAAAGCGACGCGCCTGGACGCGCCGACAGACCCAGCTGTCCCGCCCATTGTGGCTCCTGTGTGCCAGTCTTGTGCTACAGAGGATACGTGGGACAGCATTTGGCATCGCACAGGGACAGCGTGTGCGAGACACGCGCATGTAGCACGGGCATCAAGGTGGACGCGACACAGACGCGCATGGCTGCGTGCCTGGTTGTCAGTGTGCCTTGCCTGGCTGTCAGTGTGCCTTGCCTGCTTGTCTTGCTTGTTTGTCTTGCGCTGCAGCCTCTCCCCTCGCTGTTGTCGTCGTTCGTCTTTTTTCTTCCGCCTGCCGTGTCGCCAGCTCGAGGGGTCGCTTTCTTGGGTTGTTTGCCGATTCTGCACATCCTCCCTGGCCCTTCTCCTCTCCCTGGGGTCTCTCTGTCCTCGGTTCTTCCTCATAGCTATCTGAAGAGAGGTGAGTGTCTGCGGCGATGCGGGAGAGCTGCTGGTCTGCCATCGGGGGTGGGAACTCCAACAGCCACCACGAAGCCATCGCCCCTCTGCAGCAGCGACGTCCATCAAACGACGTCCATCAAACGAGCGACATCCATCGGGGACACACCCGCAAGCCGCACCCACCAGATGGCATCCGTCTGGGGCCGGCCTGTCCACTCGAGTCTTTGGAGTTGTTGTGTTCGATCCATCGATGCTCTTCGCCAGGCTCGCTCGCTAACCACAAACGCCCCCATATCTCCTCGCACCGCAACGAACCCCCTCTCCTGTCTCGTATCGCAACGAACCCCCTCGGCCTCACCCCCGGCTCGCTGGGACCAGGTTCTCGTTGGACCACGGGTCGTTTTTTCCTTCTTTCGTTTCCTTCCCTTGGCTACCCTTGGCCTCCGTTTCGTTCTCGCATCAAGCACCGTTTGCTGCACCCCCTGTTTCCGCCGGTGCTTTATCCGCCTTTCCTTGCTCGGACCTGAACCCTCCCTGTCTCTGTCGCCGGGCTCTCCGCCACGATAACAACGTTCGCTGAGTAAGTTGACGACCGCATGGAGGTGGCTGTATGAGCAGCGGCGGCAGCAGCAGTGGCGGCGGCGGCGGCCTGGTGGTGCCTGAAGAGCCCGCAATCGTGGCTGTCTGTGGACTGCGGTCCCTCATCGCTCGCTGCTGCTTATTCGTTTCGTTGTATGCTTGCCACTCATCCGCTCGACTCTGTGTTCCATCGACTCGACTCGCCTCGGTGTCTGCTCGATGTGCTTTCCCTCGGCAACTTGACACCAATCCTCTGCAAATCAGGCAATATGTCAAAGGTACAGAGCAGAACGGCTTCCTCGCGCGACCGATTGGTGGCCTGCGCTGCCACCCAGAGCAGCCTGCATCGTGGTGTTATGTCGCTGCCGGTGAACTCTGTCGCCAACTGCTGTATATATACTCACCCGGGCATTCTTTATCCATTCACTCACTCACCCGGGCATTCTTTATCCATTCACTCACTCACCCGGGCATCTTTCATCCATCCATCCATTCTTTATCCATTCACTCACTCTGGCGACCCGGATCAACCCTCGATGGCATCGACTCGATCCAACCATCAACCCGCCACCCCCCATCAAACTATCGCACATCAATCGCACCCAATCCTTCCCGCCTCGCAGCTCCAGGTCGCCCTTCCTCCCAAGTTCTTCTCGACCATCATCGAGTTCCTTGAGGAGCATCAGGACCAGGTCTCTCTGCTCCTGGTCTGCAAGGAGTGGTCGCTGCAGGTCGCCATGTCCATGTACCGTGCCCCGCCCCTGCAGAGCTCGGACTCGTTCGAGCGGCTCATGGGTCTGCTCAACACACCTCTTCCCTACTACAACTATCCGTCCTTCATCTTTGAGCTCAGCATCTCCGGCATCGCCGCCGACAACTTGTACATGGGCGATCTCGACGCTGCCCTCAAGCTCTGCACCAGCCTGCAGGTCTTCCGGCTCGAGAACTGCTTCCACATCTCCAACATGCTCGTCCGCTCGCTCTCGCACTACTGCCAGAACCTGCGCCGCGTCGATCTCCCCGGCTGCCCCATCACCGACTCGTTCATTCCCACGCTCACCAAGAACTGCAAGAGTCTCGAGTCGCTCGACCTCAGCTTCACGAACCTGACCGTCGCCTCGCTGCACAACATTGTCGTCAGCTGCGAGTCGCTCTTGCGCCTGGATCTCTCCGAGTGCCAGAACGCCGACGAGGTCACCGGCCTGGATCTGTCCTCGCACAAGTGGACCCGCCCCCTCAAGCATCTCAACCTGCGCAACACCCCCGTGGTCGACGACCTGTTGCGCTTTGCTGCCGCGCACTGTCCCAGCCTCGAGACCCTCATTGTCGAGTCCTGCACGCTCATCACCGACGACTCGATCGTCAAGATCTCCAACTGCTGCCCCAAGCTGCGACTCCTCGACTGCTCCTTCTGTGACAGCATCACCGATCTCTCGCTGCAGGCCATCGCCGTCCGAAGCGGTGTCAACCACGGCGGCAGCCTCGAGCATCTGTACATGTCGGCCTGCGACCTGATCACCCCCTCGGCCGTGGTGCTCGTTGCCCAAAAGTGCACCAAGCTCTCGCTCCTGGTCTTGGACGGCTGCGAGCTCATCCTCGGCACCTACATCCAGTCGTACGCCACCTACCAGGACGACCTCGAGTGCACCCTTGAGGATGATGCCATCCGCCGCCTTGCCAGCCACAACTCGAGTGTGCAGCTCATCACTCCCCCGGCCACCCCGGACCGCCATGGCGACGCCCACTCCCGCAACCATCACATCCCCTTCAAGGTCGGTGTCTCGTACTCGGGCGCATACCTCACCGAGGCCGAGGACCTCGAGGAGCAGCGCCGGCGCTTCGAAAAGACCTTTGTCTCGGAGCAGGGCCGCATGTCCCAGGAGCCCGACAACTACTCCGAGTACTCGACCGCCTCGCTCTCCCGCCGCACCTCGCTGCGTCGCTCCAATTCCAAGACTTCGGTCAAGGACGAAGCCGAGCGCGCCGAGCGCCAGGAGCGCATCCGCGAGCGCCGTCGCTCTCGTGGTGCCAGCATGAGCTTCGACCGCCCCCCGATTATTGTCGACGGCAACACCGGAGTCGATACCGCCGCCGCTGCCGCTGCTGCCGGCTTTGGTGCGGGCATCTCGCGCACGTCGAGCCCGTCGCAGTTGAGCACCGTCAGCGCCGCCTCGACCATCACCCCTGCCGCCCCGGTCATTGCCCCTGTTGCTGTCAAGCCCGCCGACCCCTGGGTCCAGACCCCGCCCGTTATCCAGCCCGCCATCCTGTCGACGCCCATGGTCCCTCCCATGGCCACGGCGGCCTCCTCGACCCCGGCCGCTGCTCCGGCGACCCCCAGCACCCCGGTCGCTGCCTCTGCCCCATCGGGCTCGAGCACCACCGCCATTCCCCTGGCCTCGGGCAAGCGTCGCTCGCAGATCGGCGCCATCGCGACCTCCAAGTGGAACGGCAGCCCCATCAACACCACCAGCGCTGGTCTGCCTCCGGCCTCGCCCGCCCCCGTATCCGCGGCTCCTCTGTCGGCTGCTCCTGTCGAAGGCGGCATTCTGCTGGCCTCTGGCCGGGCCGCTCGCCAGTCCGTCGGCTCCATCTCCCAGGTCCTCAGCAGCGCCACGACCGAGCCCAACACCCCCTCGACCATCAGCTCGCCTGCCGCTCCTGCCACCAAGGGCGCCAGCGGTGAGGAACAGCCTCTGCTCATTGCTTCGGGCCGTCGCCGCCAGAGCCGCAACTTTTCGATCACGCCCGAGAGTCAGGGCAGTATCCTCCCCTCCAATGCCGCTGCCGCCGCCGTTGCTGCCCAGCCCGAGCACCAGCAGTCGGCCGCTCCCGCCGCCGAAAAGGGCCCCTGGCCCTCCGCCATCCCTGCGGCGGCCCCGCCTGCCCCCTGGGGCACCAACCCCACGGCCTGGACCAACCCCTCGCAGCTCACTTCGCAGAGCTCGACCTGGTCCTACTCGGGCCCGACCCAGCCCAGCCAAACCTTTGTCGATCCCTGGTCCCGCCCGCCTGGATCCCAGGGCACCTCGACCGTCGTCGCCGACCCCTGGGCCCAGGCCAGCCCCCCTTCCACCAACATGGTCACCAGCTGGGGTACTCCCGTCACTCCACAGGTCCAGCAGTCGTCCTTTGTTCAGCAGCAGATCCAGTCAATCCAGCAAAAGCAGGCCCCTGCTGCCGGTCTCCGCATTGCTGCCGGCGCCGGCTGGGACAACACCCCGGCCAAGCTCGCCAACAACTGGAGCTCCTCCGCCCCCGTTGCCCCCGCTCCCGCCCCGACTGCTGCTGCCGCCGCCGCCGTTGCCGCTAATCCTTCCGCTCCCGCTATCGGCAAGCCCTTTGGCAGCACTGGCGCCGCCGCCCCGGGCGTCTACTTTGATCGCGGCAACCAAAAGTCCGCCGAACCTACCAAGGTCGCTGGCGACTTTACCTTCTCGAGCTCGAACCGTGGCAAGCTGCTGCTGAAGCTCAAGATCGAAACCAAGAGCGGCGAGCACCAGAACCTGTCGGTCCACGAGGTATGTATCGTGTACATCGTGCACGCGCTGTGTCGATGGCTGTCTCCCCCCCCCCTCCGCGGGATGGGGTGAGGTGCTTTTCGCGGTTTCATCGGATCCTGGACGCTGCCATCGGCGAGTCTCTCTCTCTCGCATCTGGTCTGTGGAGATTACTTCACTTTGTACCCGTAGAGCCATCACGACTAACACATGTGTCACTTTTCTTTTGCGATTTGCGATTTGCGGCTGCGCTTGCCAACACCCTGCTCCCTCATTCCTCCTCTCCTCCCCTCATCTTCTTTCCCCTCCCTCAGCACGATGATCCCTCCCAGCTCGCCAACGAGTTCTGCAAGCACTACGACATGGTCGCCTTCCAGGAGCCTCTCTTCCGTCTCATTATGTTGAGAAAGACCAACGCCATCAGACAGCGCAGCCAAACCTACACAAAGCAGCGTTAAGCCTTGATAGCCTAGAGGCGATGGTGAAGGTGTGAATAAAGCACGCCAAATCCATAACAAGAAACAATAGCAACCACAATAGCATCAATCAATCCCAAAAAAAAAAAAAATAGCCGAATGTATAGATGACTCCTTTGAACTTTACGCCTTGTACTTTCTTTCCCTTTGCTTCACCCTTCCTCCCCCACCCCTTGGTTCTTGGTCTACTGTCATCCCTCCTCCTGTCTTTTTCTTTTTCTTTCTTTTCCTTTTCTTCCTCTCTCTGCCTGATCTCTCCTGATCTTTGTCGATCGCTGCTATTCCCCTATATGATCCCACCTGACCTACATTTGCTCCCGTCCGAGGGTCCGTCTCTGCTTCCAGCGTACCCTGTTCTGAGCCAGGGCTGTCGTTTTTTTCTGGGTCCTGAATACACTCCCGCCATGACCAAATCAACGACGGTAGTGGGTGAAGGTGAAGGAACACAGATGGGCACTCTTTCCCTTTCAATCTGAACGTGGTGTTTTGAATACATGGATTGGATTGGATCGAGCAAGAGCAAACGCTGTCCAGTCCACAAATGTCTACTCTTGGATCGAGGACGGGTTTTTGGATCCGTCTGCATTACTCATGCCCACCGCTCTTCCTCGCCTGCTGTTGGGCCCCAGGGCCGCCGGCACACAAGAACAGCACCAGCGGCTTTGCGGTTGGACTGTGAGTTCCGTGGCCGCCGCTTGTTCGATAATACCTTGCTTGGCGCTGGTGTCGATGCAGCCCCGTATAGAGCAGCAGCGGGCTCAGGCTTGTCTTCTCGACCATGGTCGGGATGGTGCCCGTCCTCATGACGGGTGGGATGCCGATAGTGCTCGAGTGCTTCGGATAGCTCCCACTCAAAGTGCCGGGCATGCGGGCCCAGCTTGGCGACGGCCCGGTTGAGATCCAGGAGCCGCCGCTTCATCGAAAAGATCTTTTGGTCCAGACGCCGGGTCAGCCTGAGATAAATCCGACGCTGGCCGTCGATATAGTCGGTCTGGTTGGGGCGAAAGTCCACTGGCGGGGTCGGCAAGGACGGCTCGGCTGAGGCACTAGCATCACCGGACCTAGCTGCGATACCGGGCTCGCGGGACTTGAGGTCGTCAAAGAGAGCATTGACTTGACCCCGAAGCGCCACTATGGAGTAAAGATTGAAAACAGCGAGAGCCAAAGTGATGGCAAAGACGGCCAGGATCACGAGCGTCAACCGAGGCCGGGACCGAGGGCCGGGGTGACCATCCAGCGCAAGCAGCGATCGACTTCCGAGCGACGCTGTCGAGGAGTTGCGTCCAGAAGCCCGCATGAACGACGAAAACGACCCGGGAATCGTTTCAAGGCTGTGCCGGGTCATCTCGGCCATGGAGACATGCATCTTGCCAATCGTCCGGTGCGAAGGTTTGCCCACCGAGCGCCATTTCAGCGACCGTCGGCGTCGCTTGGTCGTTCCTTCGCTCTCCAGATGCTCGAGGGACTCGGGCTCGCTCGACTCGCCGAGCCGCTCCGGGGATGTTGCTGCACCGTTGCTCTCCGACAAAGATGGACTGCCGACCACGAGGACCAAGAGTTGCTCATAGAGTTGCTTCCACATCGTCCAGCACAGGAACCACAGCCACCCTTGGATGACGGTGAGCACCGACCCGACGCTCACAGCCGAATCCGCCCCTGCCTTGGTTTGCGAAGCTGAAGCCAAAGTCGAAGGTGATACCGATAGCAGCGTCGGGGTCTGCACAGAACCCCCGCCCACAGCCGCCATCGAGGCTGGGTCTGGGACTTGGTTCTTGCGCCTGAGATACTTGCGGATCTGTTTACAGAGCTCCTTTGCAAAGTGCTCCGAGCTCTCGATACTTCCCACCTCGATTCGATCTGCCATGCCCGACAGCAGGTCGGTGAATACGATAGATGCAGAAAGAACACAAGTGAGTGAGCGGTACTGCAGGTGGGAAGGGAGTCAAGCCGGCTTCCAAAATCGCAGAGTCGACACGTCGCAGTGGCAGTGGCAGGCCCAGGTTGCAGCCCAGTCGCAAGTGCCGTGCGGAAAGAGATCACAGCCACCGGAATCCAGCACCGCACAGCGAGTGCTGTTTTCTACCGGAGCTGTAGAAATTTCAGAATCGCTCCCGCACCTTTCCATATCAGCTTTCGGTGGAACACAGCGCTTGCGGTGACAATCAGTCGCGACTTGCCGACTTCGGCTGGCTCGATGCTGTAGAGGTTGTGCGTCTCAAAGTCGCTGCCGTAAGGCACATTTGGTGTTTTGATGACGCAGTCAACGAAGTACCTTGTCCTTCAGCAGGAAAGTGACCCAATACACGCGAAGCCACGCCAGTATCAGCAGTTCGGCAGTCAGCCTTCGAGTAGTCGCGGCCCATCAAGGCTCATACACGGGCTCAAAGCTGAGACCATTTACAGTGAAAGGGGGAAAAAAAGTCAGCATCCATCCTGAGCAGAACAAAACTGACACTCACCCCTTCTCCATAGAGACCACAGTCTGGCTCTCGGTGCATTGAGCAATCTTTTTTTGAGCTGGGGTTGAGCATTGGAGGGGCAACAGAGAGGGACGTGAATGATGCAAGGCAGAAAGTCAGTTGCTCGTGCTCAAAGACACGAGGCAGGTTCATTTCCATCGTTCTCCCGATTAGTGCCTGGGGGGGGGGATAGAAAACTGCCATCCCGCCTCTGACATACTCATCGTGGTCTTGTATGTTGGACAGTAGGTCACCAGACGTCGTTGCCCCTGTCCATCGGCGACTTGCTCCCACGGCTCAAAATGCACGTCGGCGGTCTTGCGCTTGGCATGTGTTGCTCGGATCACATCCGATCCATTCGAGCCAAACAAGAGCTCAAAGATGGCTGGCGGATCCATCTCGATGACTTCATCCAAGATCTTGTACTTGTACTTGCGCCAGGATGGAATCTCGTCCGTGTCTTCGGATGAGACCGGGTCCGCGCCAGGGATCGGGACCGCGAGACCAGGGCCCTTGGAGAGAGGCTCGAGAGGAACAGGAGGGCCGATCGAGCTACTGGAAGGCTTGCGCGATTGCAATGTTGCTGTAGGCGTCAGGCCCGTTGTGAGGAGCTGCGGTGTGTTTGGGGCAGGACCGGGGGCAATCGATGCCAGCCGCTGAGAATTGAGCACGACATCGACATCGATCTTGCTTGGCGCTCGTGAGTTCGAAAGACTGTGTTGAACGGCAAGCGTGGTTACAGCGCCATGCCCCCATCAAGAAGGATAGTTTGAATGCGTGTAAGCATACCAGCTGCGCTGCTCCGCTTCGGCCCTCCAGATGCAAAGAGCACCCGCAACAGGACCTCACACCATTTCCCGAGCTTGCCGTGTTATGATCGCGAAATCAGTCGACCAGCCAGTACCTCAAACGATGCTGTTGATCGGGTGTCTCGGACCACGCAGCGCTGAGTGACTCGCCTCGGAAACTCGCCATCGTAGTTGAAACCTCGCTCCGGCGGTTGTCGTCTTCGTCTCTGCTGGCACTGGGTGCTTCATCGTCGTTGCTCTCCAAGAGATGTGGCTTCCTTGTCTGAGGAGCGTGGATCGAGATTCGGGATGGCGATAGCACGTTGCGGAAACATGTGGGATAACGGCGATTGTGAGCTCATCAGTCATAAGCACGAACAACGCCTTGATGACATCCCCGGATCATTGGGTTATGCATCCACCGACCGCATACGGGGCTTACCAGTCGGCACCATGCATTTACCAGACAATGATATGCCGAATCGCGCTTCAGGAAAGACGAAAAGACACACTAGCAGTGCCAAAGAAGGTCACGATGGGTCAGTCGGTAGGTCGGTGAGTCGGGTACCAGCATTGGACAGCCCAACGTGATATCGCACATGCGTGGATGACGATCGGACGAACAAGAGTGTGCTTCCCGCCGAGGGCAGATGATGTCACCGACCTTCTTGGAGGTGGTGCATATCCTGATCGCATTCGGAAACATCACCACCGTCGATTTTTTCTCGATCGAGATGATTTCTTCAAAGGGCAACACAATGTCGACGGTCCGGGCAAAGATATTTCCGTGGAACAAGACGTGGGACCCAGTAATGTACATCTTTCCTTGCCAAAGGACATCTTTCTCCAGCGCGCAGCTGAAGCCTGCGGGCATATCGAAGAGAGTCGCGGATCAGTCTATTTGTGAGTCTGTGGAGATGCCAGATACAAACTCCGAAGGGAAAATGGCTCGGCACATGGGTTTGAAGAGCCGACATGGCGGAATTGTTATCGGGTATGCGACTGTGTACTCACTGTTGACGACTTCGGTCTTGCAATATTCCGGAAACAGCTTCTCGACTCGCCTTTGTTCACGATTGGAAGTCATACTCGGCGATGCCGGACACACAGTCGAGCCAAGAAGGCGATGGTCTGCATCACTGTCATCGGCGTGCACGCTCTGGCCCTTCTTTTCGCTGAGGAGGTCGGGCTCCGACACAGGATGGCTGGCCGTGTTCGCACGGCTGAGAGCGCAAGGGCTCTTGGAAACCGACGCCGACCGCCTTGATTCGGGTGTAGCGGCACCGGAAGGGCGTGGGTGTGCGGATGGATGCTTGGAGAGCTCATCGTCGCTCACATGAGCTATCGTGGCCGGTAATCTGGGTTTGGGCTTGGACGTGCCCGTGGATTTGACGATATCGGTGGTTGGAGGGGTGCTGGGCTTGGAGGAGGGTTGTTTGAGGCTGATGTCGTCTGCCTCCAGGACGAAAGACTTCCAGCTCTCTGGAGGCTGCCACGAGCTCATCGAAGCCTCGCGCGAGATGATCTGCGGTGCATTCCCATGAAGTCTCGGCGATTCGACGGCGTGAACTCGGCTGCTGTGGGCGCTGGCGATAACCGCCTCTCGGTTCACACGCTCGGTTGGCATCAGCGATATGGTCACGGACCGTCGCCGCGCTGGCATATCGCCCTGGCTTCGAGAGCATTCGTCCTCGTCGCTGCAGGCAGATAAGGGAGATTCGTCGCGAAAGCCCAGGCTCGGTGGGTCGAGGCTGGACCCAGATTTGATGAGACGGTTGGCGAGCCCATCGTCCGAGCCGTGCCGAATGTGGCTCGGCAGCGACGACGGCTCCCAGTCGGGGAGCAAATGCGGAGGAGGCGACTTTGAACTCATTCAGAGGAGAGCCAGTCAGGAGTTTGGAGGGCCAGGTATCGCCCGCACGTATACGGTCCACTTGGTCGGGAAGAGTTGAGTAAGTCGATCGGCCACAGCCAACTGAGGGACTTGTCTTCAGAAGAAATTGTCAAGACCGCCGCTTTGGCGAAATTTCCAAGTATCAACGCCTGTGATTGGGGCGAGGCCTTCGTTGGTGGAGGTCTAGATTCACATCCAGTATGTCCTATTGATTTTTGTGCGGAGTATACATGAAAGGATACCCTTTGCTTTGCTTTCTCCGTCAACTGTTTCTTGAGTCTGAGCAAATCGAGGGAGTCTGAACTACCGCACAATCATCGGTGCAAAGCTTGATTCAGACGCTGAGATGACGGATTCCTCACCGAGTTCGTTTCAAGCTCTCGAGGGCAGGTGGGATACAGTGCTGAATAACACCTGCAGCCCAGACTGGGAGGCTCCAATCGTCAGTGCAGGAAGCGTCAGAGAAGCCATCAAGGTGAAACCTCCAAGGAAGGAGACAGCTCTGGCAAGATCAAGATCGAGCTATTGCTGCCCTGTGTCTACAAGAGTTCTGGTACCCCAGAGCCATCGGCCAAGGACTGCGATGAGGGTGGTCAAGACGTTCATCCGACCGATGACGGAGGATTGATCGACCCTCGAGACCCTCAGCAGGCAGCGGGCGGTGATACTCAGCAGACTACTGCCTGCATCTCTGTTCCTGTTCATACAGAGCATCCCACGATGCAATATGCTCCTCGGCTGCAGCCCCATAGCCCCGTCGAGAACACTGCCGCACTCTGCACTGTCTCATTTGCCAGATCAACTTTATTCTCAAGAGCGACCTTCAGCCGGCTGTTGACGCTGTTGCTCATAAGCATCCTACGAGTTTAACATCAACATGATATCCATGAGTATATCCCTGCCTTCGTTGGTGTTCGAGCCCAGTTTGGTAGCCTTGATATACCAATCTAAGCTAGCTAATGGATTGCAGACGACTCCCAGGCCCATCGCAAAACAGTCGCCAAGAGCCCACATGCTGTATCCATTGTTCTGGTCGACGGAGGCCCAGTACCACTTCAGCGCCTTTGATCTGCTGCGGAGTGTTCCCAGACGGAAGGAATAGCAGTGTCCGAGCCAGTACTGGCTGTCGCTGTGTCCCTGCTTGGCGAGCTCCTTGAAGATCGTGAAGGCCCGGTTCTTGTCCTGCTCGGTGCCGAACCCGTTGACATAGCACACGGCCGTCAGATGCTTGCAGAGCCAGTCGTGCTCGGATCCCATGTGACAGAGCTCAAAGTACTTGCAGGCCGCAGCCGACCTCGACGACACCAGTACAAAGCCGCTCAGACACGATCTCTCGCCAAATTTGAAGTCGGAAGTGTATGTTGCGCTCTCCTGGATTTGCTTGATGCCGGTGACGGTGTCTCTGTCCACTCCGCGACCGAGATACCGGAGCCAGCCTTGCATATGCAAGGCGATGGGAGCAAGCATCGGGTCGCCAGATTTCTTGTGGACCTTGGTCCAGTACTCAAGGGACTTTTCAAAGTCTTGGTTGACACCCATGCCGATCATGTACATCCAGCCGAGATAGAAGCAGGCCTCGGGGTTGTCTCCGTCGGCCAGATGCTGGAAGATCTGGAGGGGAGTTTTGTTGTTGGGCTGGGAGGGCTGGGAAGGCTGAGAAGCCGAGTGGTGGGCGGTGTGCTTGGCAAGGAACTTGAACAGACCCCGCGGCGGCTCTGGCAGCTCCGGCAGCTCTGGCGGCTTGAGCAAGCTCTCGGCGATATCGAGGGCGGCGTCGGGATCGCCGGCACGGAAGCGCTGGACCATCGACGGCGACAGATTGCAGTCGGCGGGAAGATCCACGGACACGGCCTGGGAGGACTTGGATGTGTCGGGGGACTTGGGTGGGTCCGATGGGTCCGATGGGTCCGAGGAGCTGGGCTGCTCGGGGGTCGGGCGGATATAGTCCTTGTAACAGTCGAGGGCCTCGACGATGGCGGGGAACTTTGGGCGACTGTCGGGAGCCTGTGCCCAGCACTCGCTGATGAGCTGCCAGACGTCATCAGAGACACCGCTGATGCGTGCGGGTCGGTCGCCGCGAAGAACATGTCTGGTGATCGAGCCGTTATCCAGGCGGTTGCCATTGCGGGTCCATGCGGGCCGGCCGTCCTTGATGACCTCGACCGCAGTGATGGCAAAGGCAAAGACGTCCGAGCGCTTGGTGATCAGCGTTTGGTGCGGCCCACCCAGCAGCTCGGGGGCCATGAAGCCGGGAGTGCCGGAAATCGAGCCCTCTCTGTTGTCGCTTCGGTCCGAGTCGGCTCGGATGCAGGCCAGGCCAAAGTCGGCAATGACGGCCGAGAAGGACTTGTCCATCAGAACGTTGATCGGCTTCAGGTCGCCGTGGGCAATGTTGTTTGCGTGCAGATACGCCATGCCCGAGGCCACTTGGTAGAGGAGACAGAGCTTTTCGTTGAGGGGACGCACGGAGCTTGGATTGCTGATATAGGCGTGGAGTGTGCCGTTGGGCATGAATGGCGAGACGACGCAGTGCTTGGAGTTGTTGTCGCAGGCGCCGATGAACGGCAGGACGTGCGGATGGCTCAGCTTGCTCCAGATGGCGATTTCCTTCCGAAAGTCGTCCAGCAACCGATTGTTCTGGCCGCGGAAGGGCTGCTTCACAGCAACGTCGATTCCGTTGTATGAGGCTCGGTAGACCTCGCCAAAGCCGCCGTGGGCGACGGGAGCGAGGACCCAGTTGGTGATGCTCTCGGCAGGAATGATCCAGGACGGCGATTGTGTCGACATTGTGGATGTGCGGATGGTGTGGATGTGCGGGTGATGTGGATGTGCGGATGGTGTGGATGTGCGAGTGGTGTGGATGTGCAAATGCTGGAGGATCGATCTTGGACCGACAGTGTTCGAGAAGAGAGCGCAGTGGACGGTCGCAGGGTCGGAATTCACCCAAAGGAAGCGTTGAGAGACAGAGTTTGCGGGCTCCATCGGCGATCGCGGGGCGACGGGGGTTGATATACCAGAGTTGCGATATCGGTCGGTATCATCGACGCGTCGGTGGCGGGTCGGTGGCGGGCAGTGGCGGGGCGGCTCGGCCAACCAGAGAAGCGCTGGGGCAGTCACGTTGTTCTGGCGCGGTATCATGGCTTGGTGGATTGTTCGGTGGGTTGCTCGGTGGGTTGTTCGGTGGGTTGCTCGGTGGGTTGCTCGGTGGGTTGCTCGGCAGTTCGCTCAGCCGGCCGCACGGTATCAGGATGCAGCATCATTGGTCTCTGCATTCCTGGCCGCCTGATGATCGCAGGCGAGATCAGCATGCGGCAGCGAGCAGCCCCCAGCGGCTGTCGGCATTGGTGTCGCTCTGGGCATGGTCAGACAAGTCGCAACCCGCTGAGTACCATCCAAGATGCTTGGCCACCAACGAGGTCAACAATGATCGCTGCCAATAGCGAGCTGCTCAAGGAAGGGAACGCGTTCTTCAGCATCTCTTACATGGACTGGTGGCCATTTGTACCGGATTTCATTTGGTGATTGGAACGCTTCTCATTCATTTGCTCACAGATTCCGCTCGCTCTCAGTGGTGTTTGACGACTGGCTATCTCGAGATTCACAACAATATTGAGTGGATGTGGCCGATTCCTTCTCTCTGATGAACAGGATCGGGACACACCCCGACAGAATTTGCTGGACATGGCACCGATATTAGCAGTGCTGTTGGACGCGCTGGCCGAGTGTTCCATATGAGAAACCATCAATCCGCTATTTGCTGTAAATGAAGCGACTGCGTTTATTTGACGAGCACCGTTCAGGAGTTGTAATCGTCAGTTTTCGCTCTAGGTGCTGTTGAACACGGAGCGAACAGAGGCGAGCCCCATTGCATGACATGGTCAAAGTCTGGAAAGACGAGCGTCGAGGGCGGAGTCGATTCGGTGCCTACAGGCTGCTGTACTGACTCTTGATCTGCGTGAGGCGAGGAGCCAACCAATGTGGGGTTATTCGTGCAATTAGTCGAGTGCGGATGATGCTGTCTGTTCGCAGAGTTTGATTACGGCTGCGTGAAAACAGCGACAGCCTCAAGATGCCAACGGAATCGTTCATTGGGGTATGGCTCAAGTGGGACTTCCTCCCGTGCACTATCGATATCCCATGCTGTCGCTACAGCTTGTATTGCACTCTACTTACCCTCTCCCAGGTTCGCTCAAAGTGGCTGGGACACTCGTACCCGTCCGGGTTCTTGGTCAAGTACTCCTGTTGGAACCGAGTGTTGGTGTTATGTGAGCAGCGAGAGCGACAGAAAGAGCGACAGAAAGAGCGGCAAGCATCGGGTGTATTCAACGGCGTATAATGGAGGATGTCAACATGGAGCTTTGATGCGCTCCGAACGCATCTGAATACGACAAAGGTGGCCACTGAGGTTACCTGATGATATTCCTCCGCGGACCAGAAGGTGTGAAAGGGCTCGAGGGTGGTGGAGATCTTGTGATGGCCAAAGTACGGCTGGATCCTGTCGATCACACTTCTGGCGGTCTGCTCCTGGCTGGGGCTATGGAAGAGAATGCATGATCGATACTGGGTGCCAACATCACCGCCCTGACGGTTGAGGGTCGTGGGGTCATGCATACGGAAGCTGGGACGAAGCAACAGGATACCGTTATTCACCGGTTCGCAATAAATAGAACAAGCTCGACAAAGTCAGGCCAGAGAAGGGCAGATTGAGTATGCTAGGGGCCAGAAGGCTGTGTGCGAGGCAGCAGTGATGTCCAGTAAAGTTCAAGGCCGAGGCAAGACCATGGGCTGTGTTGGGTGTGAGCCGCTCTTGCATAGGACGGAATGCAGTGTTCCTTACAAGAAGTCGAGGATTGTTTCATAAGACAGGACCCTAGAATCGTATTCGATCTGGATAACTTCGGCATGGCCCGTCTGTCCTGTGCAAACCTGCGATAGCAACAGTGTCAAGACAAACTGTGAGCTGATGCACTGAGGGATAAACAGGCATCATTTGCGGATCTGCTTGGTCTGGGAGCGTATCTCGGAATCCAACGATGTAATCCAACGATGCATTCCGACGATGGAAGCCAGTGTTCAGCCGCAGACTCACCTGTCGGTATGAGGGGGTGGTTGCGACGCCGCCGGCATAGCCGACCTTTGCCGAGATCAAACCGGCGCCGGCAAACTTTCGGCGGAACGACTTTTCAACACCCTAGAGGGTTGACGGTGCCAGAACGAGTTGGGGAAGCAGAGGAGGCGACGGGTCAGTATGCTGCGACGAGGCATCTGTTCGGACCGGGCGGATGGACGGTACGATTGCAGAGCCGGAGTTGCAGTCATGCAGACTTGCCCAAAAGCATCCGGCTCCGAGGGTGGCCAGCTCAGTGGTAACAGGGGCAGCCATGACAGGGAAGGCTCGAGGAGGGAACGGCGATACAATGGGTGGAGACGGGCGATGGAATGGACGCAAGCGATCGAGGGAAAGCGAACGGGGAAAGCGAACGGGGAAAGCGAACGGGGAAGCGAACGGGGAACTGCGATGGAGGGAATTCAAATGCACGCCGGCGAGGCGCTCCAATCGCCGGACGGGGGAGCGGATGAATGACAAGCTCGCAGGCCGGCGATGGCGTCGACGGACGGACGAATGGGCAATGCGTTGGTCCGCGGGAGCGGTGCGGGCGTGGAGATGCAATGTGGATGGAGCAATTTGATGTGGATGTCATGATGATGATGATGATGATGTTACTTTATTCATGAGACACTACATTCCATGAACATGTCGTATGTGCTGAGATTGCGTCCAATGGAGATACATGCAATTCAACAGATCAATTTGACAACCTCCGAGTGAACACCACCGGTCGCTCTCCGGTCTCCACAATCGACATGCATACTGGTCTCGGAGTGCGGGCGGTGAATGGTGCTCTTGGACGCACTGGCGAATGGTCGTGGCCAGTGCGCGATAACATTGGGTAACAAAATATTCGACCAATGGTCAAAATCAAGGGTGTCCCGTTATTTGTTGGATAGACTGCAATAATCTCATCACATCGATAACATCACATCGATAACATCCCATGGATAACATCCCATCGATAACATCACATCGATGATATCACATCGATGATATCACATGGATATCGTCCTCGTCTGGCCCGCATTTGATTACCCGGCCCGCCTGGCTCTGTCCGGGTCCGTGGTCTTCAACCCGCCGCTGCCGCCCTTCTCCGTCTCTGTCCTCCTGCCTCCCCATCGCTCGCGCATCGCTGTCCCGCCCGACCCTCCACCATGGAAAGCGGTATCGACCAGGCTCTGGAGAGCATGTGCGTATGCTTTAACTGCCTGCCATCGTCGTCGTCGCTGTCGTCACCACTCGTCTGGCATTCGGCAAACTTGATTCCACGGGCTCTGTTTCAACTGCCTCTGCTCCTGCTCCGGCCTTGAATCGCCCGGCTGACCATCCGGATCCTTTCACGGTTTGATTGATTCGCCTATTCATGTCCTCCAGTCTTCAGTCCGAAGATCCTCGTCCATACGGCGTTCTCTTGGTCGATTCCGAAGGGCTTTGCCTGGGAGGTGAGCCACCGTTTCATTTTCACGTCAGCTTGGCTTGCTTGCTTGCTTCTCTTGGCTCACCCGGTCCGTCCCGCTATCCATCATCTTGGTCGATTCGTCTGGTCATCCACAAGCCAAAGGACAGGCTCCCCGTGCTGTTGCTCCGCAAGCCGCTTCGATCGCCTCCAGAGCCTCGCTGCTCTCGGGCTCGCCATCGGACAAGATCACCATTCGGATTGAGACCGAAACCTCGTAAGCAGCCTCTGTCCGTTTCGCCATTACTTGACCCTTGCAACGCTTTGCATTTCCCGTCATTGCGAGGCCACTTTTATCGCAGCACCCGATCTGGCTGGAGCTGACCTGCCTCCACTCCCTGCCAGCTCCATCACCATTCGTCCCGACCAGAACTTTACCCTGGCCCTGTTCAAGAGCAATTAGAGTCTTTCATCCACTGTATTCCCGGCGTCGGCTGCGCCCAGAGGTCGGGTACTGCGTTTGTGTCGTCCAATACACTTTATCGGATGCACAATGTGGTCGCAAGTACGGCTCACTGGTGAACCTGCCATGAGGGGCTGAGAGTATTCGCCATATTCTCCAGCATGCACCCGCATCCACCGGCATACCCTTCGCAAACAGTTTCCAGAGTCAGGACTGTGGGAGTTCGAGTGCGAACGTCACAGGCGCCGATACCTGAACTTGCCCTTGAGCGCCAAGGACGAAAACAGCGAAAGGCCGAACCAAGTGATGGCATAGGACAGGTGGTTGTTGCTCAAGTTGAATCCAGGCTGCTTGAGGATGGGATTACCTCTCTTCTCGAAAGGCTCATTCGAGGGAAGTCCTGCCACGCAAAGCGATTCCATGATGATGATTCAGTCGCCGGCACATCATTGGGCATCCAGGATAACAACAAGCTCGCCAATGCGGGAAGATTCGGCCACGAACGCTTTTCAGAAACGACGGCTCGTGGGGGGGGGCATACCGGCAATCATATCCACCAGAATCGCCTTGCTATCCGTCAAGTAAGCCACCAGTGGCAGGTCGATCCAGTACCACTCGTCTTTATCTGCAAGAAACGAACGGGGCGGCGCTCATTAGCAGTCGCGCCGGGCCCTGCTCTTCAGAATGAGTCTCCAAAGTCTGCGAAGGTGCCGGCAGCTCACTTACCAGGGACGTTCTTGGGCATGACGTCGCCGCTCTCGCCACTGCGCCGGATGCCTTCGATGGTCACCTTTCCAGGGACCTGGCCAAAGCTCGAGTTCGACAACTCCTTGGCCTCCTTTGGGATCCAGCCTCGATTGACGAGAATGCGTGGCCCGCCGTTCGAGATTTGGAAGGGCGTGAGGATGAAATAGCCTACAGGGTTTCGCCCGACGCCGCTTCCGGGCTGGTTGGGCAGCCGGACGAGACTGGCACCACGAGGGCCAATGAAGATCTCGTCGCCGTAACAAAACTCGCCAGCGAGGAGGAGGCGTTGATATTCCTGGTCGGCGCTCACGGCTTCGTCGAGCTGACTGGAATGGCGGGCCGATGTTGGTATTGCGGTGGTTGTTGCAGGGGATCAAGTATGAGGATGGACATTGGCCATTCGATCGGAGTGTGGTAAATGTTAGACATCAATCTGGAACATACACTCAGTCGAAGCCGAGGAGTTTATGCGATCGACAGTTGATCCAACCACACGGGCACGGCGTTGGCCGCTCGGGTGCCCCAGAACAAGAAACAGACGACTGCATTACGTGACGGGCTGGGCTTGATCTTTGAATCGGGCTTCAAGCGTCTGAATCAAGTCCAACTTCCACTGCAGGCGATAGACCTGCCAACAGCCAAGTCCAAAGGTGATAACCGGAAATATCCACAGCCACCCGCCGCTGGTGCGCGATGACGATGGAAAAGTGGAGGCCGATCGGATCTGTGCGGCCGCGGTGCTCGGTGGAGAGCCGGAGGCCCGAAGGACGGGGATGGTGGAGTCTCTAGCAACTCGGGATGGACGCAGCGGTCCGCAAGGCTGGTGGATCCAGCGTCGGTGCGATTGCAGACCGAGACTACCTCGAAGCGCCCGCGATGGAGCAGCAAGCGGGGCGGCCAGGATGGAAAGACGCATGGTGAACGGAGATGGATCAGCGGCCAGTGATCGCGATTGAGAGGCGAGATCGGGAAGCGGGAGGTGTGCCTGTGCGAAAGCTTGGCTGGCCTGGCGATGCCTGCGACTTGGGTGCCCAGTCCTCTGGTTTCAGCGGGAGGATGCAAGCGAACAAATGGGTCATGCAGCATTCACCGAACCCGCGCCACAGCCGGTCCAGCCAGCTTGTCAGCACGGACGATCGAAATGCATCAAATCGGTTGGAGATGAAGACAAGCCAAAGGCCCAGATATTGGTGCGATTGCCCGGACGGATGCCTGCACGACGGACAAACGCCACCATCAGCAACATCGGCAACGCTGATATTTTGAGGGAGAGGGGGGTGATTCGCTAGCTTGTATTTTCTTCAATCGACCGCCGGGAAGGTGGCCGAGGGAAGCCGTGACTGCAATAATAAAGGGGAATGCGCGGGGAAGAGAAGGGAAGAGAAGGGCAAAGCTCGTGCGGGGGAAGGGTCGATATATCAAAAGCAGATCGAAGGGGTGGAGGATAATTGAGGGCTCTAGTCTACAGCATCACACGGCTGTGGCTGATCCTTGCGACGAGACCGACGATCCCGGAGGGAGGACCAGTTGGTTGTCCACGGCGGCTGTGGACGGAGGAGGCGGATGATGGGCGCTTGAGCCTCGACGGACCGAGTGTGTGTTTCACGATAGATCAGATATATTTACAAGTCATCATCTACGGGGGGGAGCGAGACCCGGTTCCAGGAAGGGAAAGTGGTCAGTGAACATCGACAGAATAAAGCGTGCGACCAGCGATGGCATTCAGGGGGCGCGGCATAAGGGCTAACAGACACATACCATCGCCCTCGGGGACAGGAGCGGCAGCGGCCTCCTCGAGCTCGCGGTTGTAGGTGGCCAGGAGCTCGGGGTCGATGATGACTTCCGGAGGAGCAATAGCGGGAGCGGCAATGAACTCGAGGTTGGGGTTTCTGGGGGACGGGGAGGCAACAGAGGGTTTGGATGAGTCGGGAGCACACTGGTACAGTAACGCCGCAGACTCGACGAGAAGCAGTCGCTGGGCAGACGGCGAGGGCCGCTGGTCACTGACTCGACAGAACGTGGGCCACGCCAATCGCTACGTCGGGCTCCACGCGCGGGACGAGGGAGGGAGGGGCTTACCCAACGAGCTTGCGAGCCAGCCACAAGAAGGGCTTCTCAAAGTTGTAGTTGCTCTTAGCACTGATATCGTAGTACTGGAGGTTCTTCTTGCGGTGGAAGGTGATGGCCTTGGCCTTGACCTTTCGCTCCTGTTGTTGAGGCGCGTGTCAGAGAAGCAGCAAGGGAGAGCGAGGCGGGTGGAATGCCTCGAGCCGCTGGAAAGTGCCTTACCTTGATGTCGACCTTGTTGCCGCAGAGAACAATGGGGATGTTTTCGCAGACACGGACAAGATCACGGTGCCAGTTGGGGACGTTCTTGTAGGTGATACGAGCAGTGACATCGAACATGATGATGGCGCACTGTCCCTGAATGCTGGGAAGCGGCAGTCAGAATGCCGAGTCAGCAACGATCGGTGGTGCAGTCCAGGGGTCGAAAGGAAACGTCGCCAAGACGCGATGACGCTGGAAATAGCTGTGTTCGAAAGAGCCGCATCCAACAGCAAAATCCAAGCAGTCCTTGCAGACACAAAAGCGCGACCAGCGGACTTACTAGTAGCCATCACGGAGACCACCAAACTTTTCTTGACCCTAGAGCACCAGGTTAGAGAGGAAATGAGCAAAACTACCGCAGGATCGATGGCAAAATGCAGGACACGGCGGGACAGTGCTTGTTGGAGAAACAATAAACGGTGCACAGCCTCAATCGGTACTTACAGCACTGATCACATGCATGCCATTGGGAGAGACGATGGGTGGTTCGTGAAGCATGACCAAAAGCGTAGGGTATTAATGGCGCTGAGGGAGACAGAGATGCCGAGGACAGTCCGATCCGGGCCGAACTACGTACGTATCCCAGGTGTTGAACACAATGGTGCCAAAGTTGGTGTGGAAAGAGAGGGGGTGGACCTCGACACCAAGAGTAGCTGATTGTGCGAGGAGTTGTTGATCATGTTTGGATTAGAAAACCAGAGAGCTCGGCAAGGGATCGCAGCGCCACAGTGAATGGACGAGCCCAAGGGCCACAGGGGACATCCTGAGACGTTGCCATCGGGTGTTCTGGTGGAGAAACAGCAAACGGGTCAAGCATGGCCAAGAGCAAGCTGGCCTACCGATGTACTTCTTCTCGAATTCACCAGTCAAGTGGCGCTTGACGAAGGTGGTCTTGCCCGTTCCACCGTCACCGACTGCAAGGTTTGGGAATCCACCGAGGACGAACAGAGAGCCAGGGAGGTGTGGATGCAGCACGAGCGGGAGCCCACAGCGAGGATGGAAGATGGCAATGGATGCGTGAGTGTGTGATGCATGAGATACAGGTGATGAGAGCCGGCTCGGAGATGGACACCGAGACTGGGCCTGCATAATGCTCACGGTGGTGGTCGAGACCGCCGACGCTGCAAACACCTCCGGATCATCAACGAGCTTGAGCGATCAGTCGATCCTCCCGAGATCGATCGAAAAGCCAGCCCAGCCCAGAGCTGACCAGTCCCAGATGGCACCGAGGCCATGAAGACCAGGATATTCAGGCCGAATACAAGCAATAAACGGGCTCCAAGCATTGGAAAGGTCCAGGAGCAGCTTGCGATATTTGCCCAGCGAGCAACCGGACCGATCTCGGGTTCATGGGTGTTCGGGTTCTCGGGTCGGAGGCCGAATGACCGAGATGCAGCGAAGCGGCAGGACATGCTGTCCAAAGAGTGCCGGCAGAGCAAGAAAGACAGACAGAGACGTACCAAGGACGAGTTTGAAGGTAGGGATGTCAGCCATTTGTGCAGCACGGGTGATGGAGATGAGGAGGGCGATGGACGAAAGAGCAAGCGGCCAAGTCGAGGACGGACAGCGGCACTAAAAGAGGCGAGGTCGAAAGCGAGATGCGGGCGAGACCAGAGCGAGACGCGGGACGAGAGGGGCCGGTCTCGCTCGGCGAGAAACCGAGGCGCCGAGAGGACAGCGAACAGCGACGAGAACAGCGGGAGCAGCGACGGGAACCGTGCTGGAAACAAGAAGCCGGTGGCGAGAACAGGATGCATGCGGTGGGTTGAATCGAGAAGGAGGCCAAGTCAGTAGCAACAGGAGGCCGCAGGAACGAGGGCGATTCGCCGTGGCCTCACACTCGAGCTGCTGCATGCTCGGGCAGTCTGCGGTGCAGATCCAGTATGGCCGCAGGATGCGATACGACAACCAATTATCAAAAGGTGGCCATAGAGCATAATATGCCGCATGACATCCAGACGCGCTATATATCCAGCTGTCATGCCACACCAAGACATGATCCATTCCCACCCATTTGCCGTCTCGTCTGTCCTCTGTCCTCTGTCGTCTCGTCTGTCGTCTCGCCTGGCGCCTCGGGCACCCTCTCGCCCGCCATCTCGCTTTGCGACCGAGAGCGTCGCGGCTATGCCAGTCCAGAAGAGAGATCTCGCGAAAAAAATTGCTGGTCATGAGAAAAAAAAAATAGGGCTGGGGCTGGGGCTGGGGCTTGCGCCGGCGTCGCACACGCGCCCTGGCTGGCGCGATTCATATGCCCCGAAACGATCAGCTGCGCACCGCATTCGATCCAGAACGCCCGCCCACGTGCCGGGTGGGCGCCCGGGCGGCGCCGCCGGGGCTCGCTCTCTCTCCTGGCTGCTGCCGAAAACCGGTCTCCTGGCAGGTTGGCACTCGTCTCCTGGCTGGCTGCTCGTCTCCCTGCTGCTCGAGATCCGCTTCTTGCTGCGACACTGCCTCGCCATCCTTCTGCACCAATGCCCCGTCTCTTCTCGCTCCTCATATGGGTTTCCCTGTGCTGGTTCGCGCTTGCCGCGGCCGCCTCCCGCTCTGGCCCCGTCCCCTCAAACCTCTTCCCAGACTCCAAAGTGGTCCAGGTCGATGACAGCTCCCTGGATGATTTGCTCACTTCCGGGGAGTGGCTCGTGGAATTGTACGTACTCTCAGTCTCTGACCCGATAATGCGGCCTCACCCTCTGGAGTCATTATTCCTCCTCCCACCTTGCCAGGGGACTCGCCTTCCCACGACACATAGAACTGGTCGGGATAATCCCAGAGACCGCGGAGGCTTATGATCGCAATCGCGACCGTTGGTGGCATTGATTTGATGTGGGCCAGCCACTTTCAATGATCGCGACTCCCGACTCGTACCCGACGCTGCCACCAATCGGACCAGAACACCCGTTGAGATTCGCAGCTAGAATCGCTGACTCTTCAGCAAGAGCAAGCATCCCGCCGATAGCTGTCGTTCCAGAATCCAGTCGGCTTTCCCACTCTCTGATGAACTCACCGTCATCGCTCCCTCTCTCTGTCGCTAGTTACGCCCCATGGTGTCTCTACTGCAAGCAGGTCTCGAGTGAATTTGAAATTGCTGCGGAGGAAGCCGAGTCTCGATTCCCCAACCTCCGAATCGCCCGCGTCAACATCGACAATAGTCCTCGTGCCACTGTCCGCTTCCAGCTCTCCAGGTGCGAGCTCGAGGGCATTGCACCAAAGGCTTGAATATCGACACGGCCTGCCACCGAGTTGACGCCAAAGCCTTCGCCCACCTGAACGCGGTGTCTCATCTGAACTGTCGCCATTATATTCGCAGGTTGCCATCTTATTACTATATTTCGGACAAATCAGGTATGCTTGTCCATCTGTCATCGGCAGTGGTATTTCGATCTGAAACCTGGGCCAGGCTCGCCAACATCTAAATCGGATGCTTGTTCAAGTGCGATATGTGGAGTTCAAGCCCCGCGCATCGGAAATCCTTGAATTCCTGGAAGCTGAAGAATGGAAATCGATCGAGCCTTATTCAGAAATTTTCGCGCCGTTCTCGCCAGTGTACGTCAGCATGATCATTTCGTTTGTAATCGCCACCCTGATCAGAGCTAAGCACTCGACCGTTGGGTTATAGTGCTGCGTAAACAGCAAGCCCAGCTCTGCCAAGGATGATCTGTGCCATCCTGCCACGATTAAGTGCAGATCCGTCCCATCGGCCAGTCAGATGTGTGTGCTTGATCCGGTCGACTGCGGCAGGGTCATTCGCTTCGTACGGAATTCGATACCACTATCAGGTTGACTAACAGCTCTGTATGATGCCCGGAAAACAGGATGCAGATTGTGGGATATGGTAAGGAGATTGTGAATGGTGACCCTTGATCAGCTAGATCGTCCCTGGACCAAGGAGGGTTGGGCAAGGGGCTCGTTATGATACACTCGCTCGCGCTAGCCCTATGGGGCAATACGGAGCCACGGGCACCCCGTGTTTGACTGTCGGCGGAGTCAAGGTACTTGCTGACTGTGGTTGCTCCCTACCTTGTCGAGAACAGTTGGTAGCTTTGGATCGTACCTTGTCGTCGGCTTCAACAGCATTACCAAGGTTGTCCCGTAAGTATCAGTATGGAGGGGCTTGCCACTGAAGCACAAGGCGGGCCGGACAGACCCTTCTCGTGAGATCTGTCGGCTCAGGATGTTAGGAAGTGCAGCGAACCACGGAGAAGGACAGTCTTTCTTATTTCTGGATTAATTTACTTCCTATACTTTCAGTGCCTGGGTTGTGGTCTCGGGCTTGGCTTTCTCGGTCTTCTCGGTGAGTTGGATTGGATTCGGCGATCAGATACGAATGTCGCTCGGATGCGCTCACTTTCGGCCGTGGATAGTCGAATGGAAAGCGAAAACTGAGCCAAATCTGGAACTGAGCAAAGCATCATTGGAGCCGGACCCGAAGGGCTCGTGATGCACACTGAGACACACATGCGAAAGAGCTCGTACAGCCATCGGAGCCACTGGTGGCGGACCTGCGCCAAGCGGATACGGATGACAATGTGACGGGTGCTTACCTTCCAACCCGGTTTTCGAACCAGTTCCTCTCCTTGGGCGCACAGGCTGCATCTCGAAAAGCCAAGTCAGCTTAGATGATATAGATGGGATGTGCCAATGTATACCGGGTTTGTTGAACTGGATAGTCTACCACTTACAGAAAGAAACGGGGAAGCCTGTATCGAGCCAGGATAGTTGATTTTTCTGGAACCTGAATACACCCACCCACTCATCGCATTCATGACCAAGCAAGTATGTCCAAGGAGACCGAAGTGGTATTTGCCTTTGGAAATGCCTTCTGGAAGCAAGGGTGGGATGTGCATCCAGTCCCAGGAGACTCAGGTTCGCCAAGTACTTTGAGCAATACATCCACCACCAGAGAGACGTCCAGGTGTGCTCACATTGTCGGGATGCCAAGGTCGAGTATCTTGATATCGAGAAACCATGAAGCTGTCCAGATGGTCGAGTAAAGGCACCACACTCCCACATCGGGTGCATCCTTCACACTCCCACATCGAGACATCAATGCCAGTCGTTCGTCGCCACAGGACACCGACCGAGTGTATTCAAGACCATGCTCCCCAAGCCAGCGAAAACAAAGAGATTGCCAACCAGGACGGGAATCAATCGCATGTCTTGCCCAATGGAGCCTATGAATCAGTAGACTGCCCCGCTTATAGATTGACTGCGTGCACAACTCATGAAAGTCGAAGCTGAATCGAACACGGAATCAAATTGAATCGAGTCCAGCAAGCGGTATTGTCCCATGGCCGATGATGGACTGGTGTTGATGATGGCTCTGGCGCCCTATCGGCCAAAACTTAGCTCTGTGATTATGGGATTGAATGTGGATATGTTGCTCATCAGCGGGGCTTGTGGGCTCGTGTGGCCAACCTCAGGCGTCCTTCATCGCCTCGATGGCCTAGAATTCAGCGCATGGCTCTGCCATGTCAATATGCTGCAGCTCCAACGGTCTGGAGTGACGAAACGTGGAGCCGGGGGGAATACTTGCACACCATCCCAAAGTGCTCGTCTGCGAAACAGTATCTCCCAGCCCACATGTTCACGAGACACTTGATGTCTCCCATGCTTGGCAACAATTTCGCAATGGTGACCACCATGGACTCTCCAAACGAGCCGCTGTGACCCTCTATCTCAGTGGGGTCACAGTGTAGCCACGAACAACTGCACCACCTACATCCCCTTCAATCGTGCCGACAATCCGATCGCCGTCGTGGTCATCCTGTTGTGCTGGTGGATGCTGAAAATCGTTGGTCGAAAGTGCTCCCACAAGCAATCCCAGCCACACCATCTCAACCAAGATATGTTGCATGCACAGACAATGTCGTTAGCTCAGGATGTCCCTGCGATTGGTGTGGAATTGAAGGCGCTTTCGGAATCGCCAACACCCAGCATCATCCCATAGCACTCTCATCGACTCTCATTTTCGATCAGTTTCCCTCCCTTTCGTGGTCCATTCTGCCCCGCTGGAGAAACCAATTTGCACTAATTATACATTGTCGAGTCGTTCCGGGAGGCCGGCAATGGTAGCAGCACGTCCTACCTTCACTGATTTCAATCGTTCGATGGCATAGTGGTGCCGATTGCCACCAACCTGTTTGCTCATTCTGCTATGCGGGTCCATGAACGATCCCACTGACCGACGGCTTGCTGTTGATCTCCGCTATCCAGCATGCACCTCATCCGATTTCCTCTCCCAGATCTGCGCTTCCGGTCAGCCACCAGTTAGGAATCAACACTAACCAACAAAGCACCGTCACCCATGCGTTCGCCGTTCTGCACGCGATTATTTAGTGTGAGAAACACCAAGCCAGTATAACTTCCACGAGATCAAGTTCAACGACATATTTGTGGAGTGGGTCGTCGAATTCTAGCGCGTCCTGGGCAAATGACATGATAATTCCAAAGAAGAAGACGAGACCGCTCTCTCCAAACCAAGGTCGGCTGATGCCCACACAGCCAGCTGTCATTCCGGGTGTCAAGTGTCTCGTCCTGGTGTGCAACACAAGCGGCTGTTCACCGCCACATCGGCATCAACCCCAGTTGAAACAGGGGCTGACCACGGAGACGATCCTGAGATTCCTCTCTCCTGCACATCCACCGGCCGCGCCATTGCATATCCCTCTCCCAGGATTGATTCCCAACCATGCCTGTTCTTGAAATCGCCATTGTCGTCAGCGGCATCGCTGCCCTGGTCCACCATTCCGGTGGCTCCTTCCAAGGCCTCGTCCAAGCCGCCAAGGCCCTCTTCACCGCCGTCCAGCAGGTGGAGGAGAATCAAAAGTCGTGGGCCTTCCTGGCCAGTCGTTCCCGCTGACATTTTGTTCACCCTCTCCCGGTCTCGGACAGATGCCCGTGGATTCGCCGAGCAAGCGGACAGGCTGACTGTCTTCTTCAATACCATCCTTCGAATTCCATTTTAACGAGGTTCAGTCCCTCCACAAGGTCCAGCGGGTCTTCAAATCGGACAAGATCCGCCGCCAAATCGAGCAGTACTGCCATGAGCTCGAGTCCCTCTGGCAAAATGTCGTTCTGGCACTCGCCATCGACAGCAACAACCGGCTCAACGAAGCCGAGCTCAGGCATGCCCTGAGGCAAGACGAAGACTTGGCCGAGACACAGATCAACGAGCTTGTTGCGATGATGCAGCAGAACCACAGTCTCGTCATGCAGAGACTTGACATTCTTGTCAGCGGCCAGCAAGACTGGCAGCAGCGCCAGGCAGTCACCGCCCTTCAGAAACTCCGGGACGACAGCTCCACCAATGCCGTCCTGAAAGACAGGACGATCGTTCCCCTCCTAGAATCACTGCAAGATGCATCCCCTGTCGCCAAATCCGTCCAAGTAGAAGACTGGCGAATCTTCCCCGAATCTATCACCAACTGGTCCGCCAAGCCCATCTGCTCTGGTGGCTTCGGTGATGTCTACACTGCCACATACTTTGGAACCCGTGTTGCCGTGAAGCAACTCAGGTGCAGCTGCCTCGAACAAGAGATTGGCGAGTTTCGAAGAGAGATTCGGGTATGGCATCAACTGAGCCACAACCACATCCTGCCCCTCCGCGGCGCCTGCGACACTGTAGAGAAGCTCTTCATGGTCTCGCCCTTCATGGAAAACAGCACCCTCAAATCGTACTTGGGCGGGCCCGTCCGTCGCCCCCCTGGCCGAGAAGCTCCGCTTGATGAGCGAAGTCGCTTCGGGCATGGCGTATCTCCACAGCAAGAGCATCATCCATGCAGATCTCAAATCGTTGAATGTGCTCATTGGACCAAGCTTTGAAGCTCTGATTTGTGATTTTGGGCTTGCCCGCACCAAGAGTGCCACATCATCTTCGACCGCCCGCGACCCAGCCCTGTATATTGGGGGAACCTTGATGTACAAGGCACCCGAGATGCTATCCTTCAAAAAGCCAAAGGGTGCCTCCGCCGCCACCGATGTCTACGCCTTTGGAATTCTCTGCTGCGAGGCCCTCATGGACTGTCTCCCCATATTCTTGGCCGCCGACGGAGACGTGATGGCTCCCGATGTGGTCGTGGTCGCAGTCTTACAAGGATTCCGCCCTGCCATTCCTGAGGGGACCCCTGAAGCAGCATGCACAACTATTGGGGACTGCTGGCACCAGGATCCAGCCAAACGCCCGCCCTTTGATGAGGTGTTCAGTCGACTGGCCGTCCTCAAACCAACAGTCGATCTTGATCGGCAGGTCACGCCGAATGAACACAGGTACACCCCCCTGCCCTTGGAGCCCCAACACGACTCTGGATTTGCAAGCCGTGCATCGTCCAATATCCTCACTGAGGGTGTCCGCCGTCTCGAATTGGAAACCTCCCTCGAGAACCCAGGTGACGGAATGGAAGAAGACCCCAACTGGCAGGCAGCCCTTCGCGGCCATGCGTGGGCGCAATTGGAGATCGGGAATGCCTACGCTGCAGGCAGCCGTGCCAGCCAGAACTGGTCCATGGCATACAGATGGTACACCAAAGCGGCTAATCAAGGAAATGGAGAGGCTCAGTTGCAGCTCGGCTGTTGCTATCAGTATGGGAGAGGCGTGACCAAAAACATCGATGTAGCTCGTTACTGGTTCAAAAGAGCGGCAGGCCAGGGTCACGAAGGGGCTCGAAGGGCACTCGATCGCCTATGATCACCGTATCAATTGATTCTGCCACCAACCGCCGAGGATGAATTCTATAGAATTGCAAGGGCTGAATAAAGGATAGCGAGGGGCATTTAATGTGCCAGTTAATGAGATCCAAGAAGCGGGATTCAGAGCCCAGAGGCCATTTGTGGGCTGACGCAATACTGAGAGCACAATGTCAATATTATCGCATTGGGTCCCGCGCGACCGGCCTTTGACGAAAGGGTCACGATATACAAGGAAAGGGATTGTGGCAATAGGGAGGAGGAAATGTTCCAGAGGAGGGATGGGATCATATTGAAAGAGGAGGGAGGTATTTGACTTGGTGATTATCTCTTCTGGTCCCTGAGTACTTCAATTCCCTCAGCGGTCAAATGACGGTACCATCGAGCTCAGTTGGAGATGAGTCACGCGAGGTCTCTGTGACAGTACAAGAAGGGATGCGGCACAGGGCGGGGAAAGGCAGGGATGGACAGTGCAAGGCGACTGAAACGGACGACTGAGTTCGGGAAGTACCTCGCTGCTTATACGGAGCCGAACTCGCGAAGAAACACGGTGACAGAACCGATCGCAGGAGCACAATACGGTGGTGAGTCATGGTTTGTTGATTCGAAGAGCACAGGACGGTATTGGAAGCACAATCTCTACGGTAACATGGGGTGAATTCTCCAGGGAATACCATATGTAATTCGAGTGTGGGGAACAAACCCACTTGACATAAAACCGGGATGATCCATCGGCCGCTATCTGGTCCATCATGGCCATCTCCGCTTCGTGTAACTGAGAGTAGGATTGTCCGTGCGGGTCTGTGGATGATGTGGCGAGGTAGCTTGGCCCCCCAAACAACAGGATGGAACTTGTTTCAGGCGCCAAGTTCAACGAGTAGCTGAATGGAGTGGGTATGGAACTGAGCAGGCCTGGGTAGAGGCGAGGACATGACAAAAAGGGTGGCAAATTCAGATGGCAAGGAGAAAAGCGGAAGACGATCGGGGCAAGCTGGGTTAAACGGCATTGTTTGCCTGCTGGTTTATTGAGGCCAAACAACAGGCAGCTTTTATCTGCACTGGCGGGCGTCCCGGCGAGTGCCTGCGGAAGGCAAACGGGTGGGGCGCAGTACAGCTTGGTGCTGGAAGCTTCTCCAGCCCTCCGTGCTGCGCTCTGTAGCACGTTCCGTTACATCACCTCCCTCTCAAGTCCTCCCCCTACGCTCTCAGCACGATGTTGATAAAGTTGTCCGTGGTGTTTGTCTGGATAGCGTTCATGAAACGCTCGGACGACATCCGGGGCATTTGTGCAATTCTCCTCAGGTTCCCACGCGTCTACCTCTCTTGCGTGCATCCAAAATGCTCTCCACTTCGTACTCTTCATGGTCTTCAATCACGATGGGTGGTGGAGGGGCAACTGTTCTTCCTGGAATCGTGTTCGCATGTACTGGCTCGAGGAGCGAGACATGGAACACCGGGTGGACCTTGGCCATCGACTTTGGCATCTGGAGGCGATATGCGACTTCGTTGATACACTCGATGACCTCGAAGGGGCCCAATCGTTTCCAAGCCAATGTGTCACATGGTCTCTGGGTCCTGATGTTGCGCCTCGATAACCATACCTTGGACCCCACAAGAATGTTAATGGCCTTGCGGTGTCGGTCGGCGTAGCGCTTTTGCTTCTCTTGGGCTCCACGAAGGTGCTGTTTGAGGTCGTCGAGCACCTGCTCGAGATGCTGGACGTGTTCCACAGCTGCCGGAATCTTAGATTGTGTTATGGTCTTGAAGTCGCACACCGGATGGAATCCATGGTTTGCATCGAACGGGGTCGTTTTGGTGCTCGCATGCACCGAGTTGTTATATGCGAACTCCGCCAAGGGGAGATGTGATGCCCAGTCATCCTGTTGATAACCGCAGCAGCAGCGTAGGAGCGACTCGAGGACGCTGTTGACTCTCTCTGACTGTCCGTCATCCTCGGAGTGATAGGCACTCGACAGATCGACTGGCGTTCCCAGGAGCTCGTGAAATCGTTTCCAGGAGGCTGACTTGAACTGGGGGCCTCGGTCCGAGACGATGGATCTCGGGGCCCGTGCTCCCAGAACACAGTGTCGACGAAGAGCTTGGCTGTCTCTTCGGCTGTAATTGCGATGTTGCAGGCGCGGAAGTGGGCCATCGTTGTCAGTCGATCGACAAAGACCACGATGGCGTCGTAACCCTCGGATTTCGGCAATTCGACGATGAAATCCATGGACACTTCACTCCATGGTGCTTCTGGGATCGGGAGTGGCTTCAGTAACCCGTAGGGTGTGTGTCGGACCGGCTTGGCGCGACAACACACCTCGCATGACTTGAAGCAGTTGCCCACTATTTGGTGCATCCTGGGAAACCAGTAGTTTCGCGTGATCAGCTCGATGGTTTTTTCCCTCCCAAAATGCCCCCGCGGTCTTCGAGCCATGACAATCTCGGAGGACTTCGAGCTGAAGCTCCGTTGTTGGGATGTACAGCAATTCGTCGCGGTAGAGGAGGCCATCGACAGACTTGTGTAGGAGATGGTATCTCCGACGCTGTGCTGCGCGTACTGCGCGTACTGCGCGGCGCAGTGGGTCGTGACCTGTGCTGCGCTTTGCGTTTTCACGCACCGCAGGCAGGCCACCGCAGGGTATACCTGCGGGTTGCCCCCGTTCCCCCCGTTTGTCTGGAGTTCGGTTTTATCGTGAATAAACGTAAGTGCTCCCCGAGCTCACCCGTCCGCTAGAGTAGCCTAGCACCGCCCTGTTCTGCCCCGTCCTGTCTTGTCTTGTACCCCCTCCCTCCCCGTCTTGCCCCAACGTCCCAGTAGTGGACGTTACATGGTAGCATCGGAAATCCTCGTCTTGTTTTCGTCCTGTTTGTCCTCTTTCTAGATCCTCAAGCTGGATCCCGCCTCTCTTGCCGACCGACTCTCCTCTCTGTCCCTGGAGCCTGCCCCTGCCATGAGCAACCCCCGCCCACTTCCGGAAGCCTTCCTCAAGACCTTCCGTGCCCCAGTGTTTACTGGGAAGAGCCGCTCCTCCTCGGTGGAGGACTGGCTGCAGCAACTCGAGGACTACCTCGATGCTGCCCAAGTCGCCCCCACCCACCACATCGTCGCCGCCAAGCTCTGCTTAAAGGACCAGGCGTACCGTTGGTACCGCCGCCAAGGGTTCGACGAGCAGAGCGAAGGTGTGTTTGACGACTTCAAGGACCGCCTCCGTCGCCGCTTCGGCAGCCCCAATGCTGAACTCATTGCCCGTGACAAGCTATACTCTCTCGTGCAGCGTGGTTCTGTGACCCGCTACATCGAGGAGTTTGAAGACCTCTCCTCCCAGATTGAGGAGCTGGGCTCTGCTGATGCGATGTACCTCTTCCAGAAGGGCCTCAAGCCCAAGATCAGAGAGTACATCGCCAGCAACCCTGATGCCCGCAAGTCCCTGGACGTGATGATGGACGTTGCCGAGAACCTCGACAACGTCCAGTACCATGGCCGCCAGTTCTACCCGCAGCTGGCAGGCGGCCATCGGTCTCATCACGTCCCAGCCCGTCCGCCTCGCCCGGCCCCGCCCGCAAGACCCATGCCTGAGCCCATGGACGTTGACGTCAACGCCATGGAGGCTCGTGGCCCTCCCCGCTCCCGGTTCCAGCAAGCTGCCACTGTCTCCCCCAAGGACAGACAGAAGCAGGAGGACCTCCGCCATGGTTCCTGCTTCTTCTGTCACCGACCGGGACACCAGGCCAAGGAGTGCCCCATGAAGTCGGGAAACGGCCGACCCTACTAGGTGGCTCTGGAGCCCTAGTAGGAGACCAACGCCGTGGATTGCTCAATGCAGTCCACGCGTCTCCAGAGGAAGTTCACCTCGCCCCCTCCCCCGAAGGAGAAACAAACCAAGTGTTGTGCGTCGTGCGAGAGGTGCATGGTGGCGCAAGCCGCCTGCCTCTCCACGAACGTGAAGAGAAAACCAAAATTGAAAACCAAAACAAAAAAGAAAATCAAGAACCCTTGAGGGACAGGACCGCCTGTGCCCTCACCCCTGTCAAGTCGTGTGTGTCGGATGCTTCCGACATGTGTCCGCAAGCCGTGGACGTCGTGTGCAATGGCGTGCTGACGCCGCAGGCCCCCGCAATGGCCGAACCCTATCCAAAATGTCCGAGTGGCCGTGATGAAGCCAACCAAGACCAAGTGTCGCCCGTTCCCCCAAGTCAAGTCATGGTGCAGGAGGCTGTGCAGGAGGACCATGAAGAGTCCCTGCTGTACCTCCCTGCCACCGTCCAAGGTCACACCGTCCGAATGATGGTGGACTCTGGAGCAAGCTGCAACTTTGTCAGCAGACGCTTGCTCCAGGAGCTCAACATACATGCAACCAAGAAGAAGTCGCCGATGAGTGTGGCGCTTGCAGACGATCGTGTGCAGCAGTGCACACACCAAGTGGTCCTGCGAGTGGCCCTCCATCCCAAGTACCATCCTGTCCTGTTGTTCCAAGTGATCGACACCAAGTTCGATGCCATCCTCGGCATGAGCTGGCTTGCTCGTGCCGAGCCGACTCCAGTCGTCGACTGGAAAGGCCGCACTGTCCGTGTTGGCCCTGACATTGTCCTGCAGGGCATGGCCTCACCCAACATGCCACCTCTCCTCTCAGCCATGCAATTCAAGAGGCTGATCAAGAAGGACACGTCGTTCCTCTGTGTCGTGCGTGAGGTCGACGACACCGACCAAGCCGGTCCCGGTCCCCCGCCTGTGGTGACCAAGCTGCTCGACGAGTACAAGGACGTATTCCCCGACCAGTTGCCACAATGCCTGCCACCCCAACGCACCGTCGATCATCGCATCGACATCGAACCAGGCTCGTCGCCTCCGTCAAGACCGACGTACCAACTGTCGCTGACGGAGATGGACGAACTCAAGCGCCAGTTGGATGACCTCCTCGCCCATGGGTTCATCCGCCCGAGCCAGTCACCGTATGGTGCACCAGTGCTCTTTGTCAAGAAGAAAGAAGGTGATCTCAGGATGTGCGTCGACTATCGCGCACTAAACAAACAGACCATCAAGAACACCTACCCGTTGCCCAGGATCGACGAGTTGATGGATCGTCTGAGTGGAGCAAAGGTCTTTAGCAAGATAGACCTCCGCTCAGGCTACCATCAGATCCGCATCCACGAGGATGATGTCCACAAGACCGCCTTCAGGACTCGCTACGGACTGTACGAGTTCCTAGTGCTGCCGTTCGGATTGACGAACGCACCTGCCACGTTCATGCAGCTGATGAACGATGTGTTCCGCCAAGAGCTCGACAACTCTGTCATCGTGTACCTGGATGATATCCTTGTGTACAGCAAGGATGAAGCGACCCATGAAGGTCATGTCGCCCGCGTGCTGGCCAAGCTACGCGAGCACAAGTTGTATGCCAAACTGTCCAAGTGTGAGTTCTTCAAGAATCAAGTCCCGTTCCTGGGACACGTTGTCTCAGGAAGAGGAATCGAAGTCGACCCCGCCAAGGTCAAGTCTGTGGTCGAGTGGCCGCCGCTCGCATGCGTCTCTGACGTGCAGTCGTTTCTCGGTCTCGTCAACTACTACCGCCGATTCATCCCCGATCTGGCGCGCACTGCCGGTCCACTCACAGACCTACTCCGCAAAGAGTGCCCCTTCGTGTGGGACCACCCACAACGCCAAGCGTTCGAGACCCTCAAGCACGCCTTGACGAACGCTCCTGTCCTCGCTGTGTTCGACCCGAACACGGATGTCTCCGTGCACACCGACGCCTCCGACTTTGCGGTGGGAGCTGTTTTGATGCAGGAGGGAAGGCCCGTTGCCTTCGAGTCGCGCAAACTGTCCCAACACGAGATCAACTATCCCGTGCACGAGAAGGAGCAGCTTGCGATCATCTACGCG